GTATGTGACCGAAATTCGCTTTTTCACGCATATGTTCATCGACTATTAGCTCGTCCATCAAGCCAAGGCTCGACGCGTCTTCCTCATCGCGTCTTCCTCTCTCTCTCTCGAAGCTGCGAACCTGTTTGACCCAACACAACCAAAAATTTCCCCGTCTGCGCAATCGATCATGCCTCGCCCGAAAGCCACTCTTACGAGTGGGAGGAATAGCATCCATAACCGCGGCGCCATCACCAAGTTCAAACCCAAACCCAAAGCAAAACCAACTCGCAAACCTCCTCCAGCACCACCGCAACCAGAGTATGCAATTAAATACTGGCCCGCAGAAAACTTAATATGCTTTAAGAATTATGCGGAGTGGGACGAGACGAAACTGAAGTTAGTCGGAAATACAACGAAATCTATTTGTTTTGGTCTTGATTTCAATGCTTTAGAGTAATAAGTTTCCCTTTTAAAATCGCTTAATAGCGACTAACGAACGCAGCCACCATCTCGACGCTATTGTAGCAGCAGGTCCCGAATTCTGATTCTGCACCCAAATATGCCGTTTCACCTGCGGCGACAGCGACACCGGTTACGGCAGTCGTCTCACGGACGCAGCCATATCCCGCTTCACAGCCGCATGTCCGAATCTCGTCCACATTGACATGGACTCCGCTCGGGATCTGACTGGCGCAAGACTCCTCGCCATGTGCCGGAACTGTCCGAATATCGAGTATATTAGCATTGACGGGAACGACAAGTGCAAGGGCCATGTTGGGGGCACGGCGCTGGATGCGTTGAGCGTCGTTAAGAAGATGGCGAAGGGACTGAGGGTGTTGCATTTGGTGGATCAGGGCGCGGGGTTGGAGAAGGAGGCGAAGAAATTGAGTAAAGCCAGGAAGGGACTGGAGATCACGTTGGGAGAGACGAAGAAGTGGGGGAATGGGAGCGCTGAGAAGTTTGTGGGTGGGAAGAGTAATTTGAATTTCGGAAAAGGGTGGGATCGGTATGATGGACCTCGTGCTTTTGGTAGCGGGTGGCGATTTGGTTGATGGAATGTTGGAGGAAATGGGAGGTGTAAATTTTAAGGGTTGTTAGATGTTTCTTGCTGCAAGGCTTCGATCAAATGTCTGTATATGGGTCAGGAAATAGGGTCGTCGTGTTGTTGGGTTCAGTTCCGTGACAAACCAGAATATTTTAGAATCAATCTTCAATCATCTAGAATAAGTATTAATTAGCATAGCAAGTTGCAACACTTTAGGTGCTTGGATGAAATTTCCAATGTATCTCAGAGTTCCGAGGAACACATTAGCATCTTGAGGCTTAGATTCTTCAATCTCACAATCATGAACAGTGTATCTAAAATTCATATTCATTTCATAATAATTACACAACAGGTATCCAAAACCCAGGTATCACACGCTACACGACCATCCAAGCGTTTATTTCCTCCCAAGAACGCCATTCATCCCATCCCATTATCGACACAACACAATTAAATAGCATAATTCTCCGTATGCAAAAAGATCTCATCCTTACTATCATCGCCCCAAATATCCGCCTGCAGTCTCGCGACGGTATTCGCAACGTCGACTCTCATCGTAGGCGGACCGCACACAAACACACATGTCCGTCGTCCAAAGATTCCTTTCCCGTCAGCGCCACCGGTTGCCATGTCTTTAAGCATGTATCCAAGATCAGGACGGCCGTACTCTGTACCCCAACCCTCTTTCTTGACCTTCGCGCCTACAAAGGCGAAGCGCATAAGATTCTTCTGGAATTCTGTTGGGGTGGAAGGAAAGCCGAAATCGAAGTTTGAGGGTGCGGGTGCTGGAGCGGTAGGGATGGCGATGTGTAGATCTGCGGATTTCTGGCGGATGTGCGCTGCTTCGGGTGCTGAGGGGTATGGTGATAATGATGGTGAGAGTTGAGGTGTTGTTGTCTGAGGGATTGGTGGTGGAGGTGGGAGTGCTCTTATTTGTTCCTCCGTCATTGGGGGCGGTGGTGGGAGCGGAAAGTTGTCCACAGAATGTTTCGAATCTTGGGATGCACGAGTTGAATCCGCGAAACTAGGAGGTTTGAGTCCATCGTCATGTGAGACTCGCTGTATCTCTTGCGAGGAAGCCTTTGAGTCGGGTGTATTTCGGAGATCTACAGATAATGATGTCGAATCCTGCGAATTGTAACTTGCAGACCTCTGATCTTGTAGATTCGATGGTGGAGGACCTGGTGGTGGTGGTGGTAGGTTTTGAGGGTTATATGGATTATTTGAGTTCCGCGGTGAGTCCATATGCGCAAGCCATGGGTTATTGGAAGAGTTTCGCGGTGATGGGGGCGCAAAGTTGAAGTGAGGAGCATCGGCTCGTGGAGGGGGTGGTGGAAAATGAAACTCTCGTTTGCTTGTCGAACCTGAAGATGGTGACAAGAATTTACGAGTTGCGTCGTGCGAATCTGCCAACGCATTCGGCGAAGGAGGAGCTCGTCCTTCTAGCTTTTTCAGAGAGTTTTCGCGCATGACTTTCTTCGGTGGTGGTGGGAAGGACATCTGTGGAAGAGGAGGTAATACTTTTGGTTGTAAGTGTTTCGCTCTCGGTAGCGAAGTTATGGCATCCTCGTCCTCGGCCCTTAGTTCTTGTTCTCTATCAACATCCCCATGTGCTTCTTCTCGGATGAAAGCGGAATTTCTCTTGTTAGCGATGTCTGAAACGAAGCCGTCTAGCTTGTCGTGTAGCATGTTACTAATAGGACGAGGTGCTCGTCCATGACCCGTAACTCCTTGACCAGTTTGTCGTTTGGATGCCGTGACGTAAAACTGACAGGTTACGGTTCCTGGTGGAGCATACTCCCTACAGATACGAAGTTCTTCTCTGAACCAGTCCATAGCTTCTAGTCTCTTCAGAGCCCAAACCACCTCAATCTTCTTGGTGACAGCCTTTCCATCTCTCATACGTTTGATAAGATTAAGGAGCTGAGAAACAATGGCTGTGATGCCGCTTCCTCCAGCGAACAAAATCACAGTATCAAATGCGGCCAGCTCTCGTTGCATTCCACCATATGGCCCCTCAAGATACGCTCTGTACGTTTTGAATGGCCCTCTTTCGATAGCAGTCTCCAGGACTCGACGGGTGAATCCACCGAAAGGTCTGAAAACCAGGGTACAATCTCTGTACAGATCTCCATATTCCGAAGGAAAGTCTTCGCTGCAAAGTGAGGAGATAGTGAAAGGGTGGCTCTCGAAGATCGAGATGCCTGGCATTCTCAGATACACATATTGACCGGGATTCCAGGTCATCTGGGTTGGGATCGTCACCTTGATGGCGTTTTCGGCCATTAGAGTTATCGCTGCTTCATCACCGATCAACCACGCATTCCTCCATGGTTTTGCCCAGTTCAGGTTGAATATTCTCAGAAAGTACGAAAGACACCAAATAGCGACTGTTGCCCATAAATAGCTCCAAGAAGTGAGGTAATTGTGGCAATGCCAGAACAATAAACCAACGTAAGCGATAGAGACTGGAATGTGTAGGAAGAGAAACAACTCATAAGCCATTGTTCTGATAATTGGAAGCGAACCGATGCACAACCATCCTAGAGGTGCCAAGCAAGCAATTCCGGTGCCATAAATGACCCCACTGCCTTCAGGGAAAAGTTTCTTGTAAATTTCCATTCCTCCATCGTTGTAGACTGGCTGAACGTAAAACGGAACCATGTGAACAAGTGCTAGAAATAAGCAGAGATACCCACCCCATCGATGGAAGACGCCCAATCGTTCGTGGCCAATCCCGGTGATAGCAGAAATAAGATTTGCTTTCATACTTGTAGCAACGATCCATGGCGTCATAGCAACTGCGATCATGCCAGCCCTGATCGCAAGCGGTGGAGATCCAAACTGTATGCTTTGCCAGTAGAGCGGCTGCGGTAAGAAACAATAAAGCGTAACAAATCCGAGACCGATAACGAGAATTGCAATGACTGACAGCGATGGAAACCCTAAAATCACCTTCTTTTTGTACTTGATTTCCGGAACCGGCCGATAGAAGATCCATCTAAATAATGCCAGCGTATCATTGACAGCTCGAATGGACGACCAGTGCGATTGACCTCTCGTAAGCTCCATGGCTTTCTCCCCCTCCTGTGGATATATCTGCTGCTGCGTGTGTTCTCGATTATAGCCCATTTGTCCTCCTTGCATTTCTTCCATCGCGTAGTCGTCTTCCGGTGAGTAGTTTCCATAGTACTGCTGAACTTCATGCTTGTGCATTGCCTGTCGTATTTTATCCGTCCATAAGTGGTAAACTCTGGTTATCGCTACCAAAACAACAAGCACAATACAGAAGTACGTCCATCCAAGAGCGTACTTTCCAGATTTCTTCCAAGGATCAACTGTATTCGCTTCGATTAGCCCCGGTGGACTTGTCGCCGTCAGAGGGATATTGATGCGCTTAACCAACTCAGACAGAGTGGCGGAACCAATTGGCCGAACTGACAACTCGGAGGATACCATTTTCGCGTAGTAGGGGCGAATCTCTATTTCCCTTGAGTTGAATTTGTGGTCTTGCGATCAATTATCAATTAGAGCTTGGTGTCGGCTCCAAAATGATTCATGAGGCGCAACAACTGCAGCGGGTTCGCAATAGCACCGCGTTCGTCCAATATCACAAGCGTGGGTTTGTTTCCCATCTGCCACTTGCAGCGAATATGCTAACTACTGTGCGACAAAAGCGGTTGACGTGAATAGAGAGGTGTGCGATTTCGAGAGGGTTGCGTACTGATTCAACATCAGAGACAAGGCGATAGCGATGTTCGAAGATATTGGGTATAGAAAGGGGAACACAGGGAGGAGAAGGATTCGAGACGGATAAATCTGAGGCAATACGGAGTACTCTGTGAGTGCGAATCTCACAAGCAGGTTGTTAGGTGCAGTGTGGGGAGCTTATAGCGGTTGACCGTTCGTGCAACCTCGCGACCCAAGAGATGCAGGCAAGACCCTCTTGTCACCCCAGCCGCCGGATTTATTGCTTTTACAACAATCCGACAGGCGTACCTCGAGGCTACCGAAGATCGCAAAGAACCACTTAGCGCGATGCGGAATGTTCGTGAAAAGTTTCTGCGGTATGTGAAAGACATGAAAGGCACAGCGGTAGACGGCGAGCATATATTGGTGATTGCCCTGGACCCCACACCCTAACAGGACCGGATGCTTGTCTTATCGACGGGTCAGACACCCACTTACCGTTATCACGACTCAGATGCAAGTCACCCAGAAGCAGCGGGTGTGCTGATGTTGGAAGAAGTGCCGGTTGGCTTCCTGTCCGTCTGGCGAGCGGTCAGCCCGGAGAATACTCTTGCGCCTGCAACGCTGTCGCTGGCTTTAGTGTACTGCTCACGACTTGGAACAGAATAGCCTTTGAACTGATGTCGACCTCCTCTGCGCTGATAACGAAAGCACGCACGATGCAATGCTACTCTTGGTAAGATTGTTGACGCTCGGTCATCCTTTTGGGCAAGGGAATCTGTACGAGCAGCATTTCCACCAACATGGCCTGGCTACTGAGCCCTCATCCGTGCGTGACATCTCGACTCTGCCAATCATGGCTTCGTACGCAGCTCGAACGTGGTGATGAGCCTTGGAGGTTCAGACCAATGCGGGGTTGAGTTGTTGTGGTTGAAGCCTTTCTCCATAGAAAATGGGCGGCAACACAGCACATTTGATTCGCACAAATTCTTCGCTTCCGCCGTCCCCCTTGCAGATGGCGAGCGGGACCGATGCGCTCTGCTGCCCGAATGAGCGATCCATGGCTTGGCCGCAGCCATATCTTGCCCATTCAGAGGTACATCACGAACATGACTTGGAGAGTATATTCATGTGCTCGAGGTCTTGCCGCCGTCCACGAACAAAATCTCCATTCTAATCTCCGCAAAAGATTGGCAAAGAATCAAGTCAACAAATGCTAAAGTATCTCAACGCAAACCAGCCAAGACATTGAGAGAAACGCAGCTGCTGTCAGCAGCGCTGAAGTACCTGAACCAACCGGCTCATAAGACTAAAGTGATTGAAGCGTGGTACTCGAGCATTGGAAAGGGCGGCGCGATGGGAAAAGTCGCCACCCTGCGTATAGCGATGGCGAATTCCAACAAAAGGATCAACTAACGCGTAGCGACAATGCATGAATAACGTGAAAGGAGTGTGAAGGAACTGATTGTATGTTTGAGCGACGTCTTGCCCGGATCGCGCAGTTGCCGTATTCTTCGGTTGAGCTAGACGGGATATTTGATTTGGTATGCCAGCTGCTACGTGCACTTGCACTTGCACTCGCAAAAGACTGCAAAGTTGGCGACCAGAACATATACTTGGAGCAGAGTTTCCTAGTTTGATTGAAAGAGAAGGAAGATGGATTGTACTCTTGAAGAATTCGAATTAGGGAAGTGTACACCGCCTTCATGGCAGAACTTCTGTCTGGAAAATTGTTCTCCCGACGTACGACAAATGCATCGGGTGGAAGCAATTGCAATCCCACCAGCTAGCCTTGTCAGCCTTGCATGGTCCTATTCGCCATAGAGACTAGAAGGCCCACAAAAATGTTTAGCAGAAGCAGATTTCACAACGCAAGCTTCGTGTATCAGCACCGCAAACATTGATTGATATCCAAACAGGCTCAACATGGCTTCTACGACACCTCAGTCCACCCTTTCTTTCCCGCGCGAAACTTTTGCAAAGCTTTCACCTCACCCCTATCTCCTAGCACATCTCCAGCCTGCTTCCGACAGCACCCCTCCATCGCGCGCAAACGGCAGGACGCCTACCCAGTTTCGAACACCCCATATAAACAATGGATCGCTCACACATGCAGAGGGTAGTGCTGTAGTAAGAATTGGCGATACGACGGTAGTATGTGGAATTCGAGGGGAGATATTGCTGGCGAGCAATGTTGCTGGATATCGCGTGGATCAGTCAACAACAACTTCAAAGACCGGTTACAATGAGGCGAAAGAGCTGGACCTTCTGGTACCAAATATTGAATTGGCGACTGGATGCTCACCGGCATTTCTTCCTGGCCAGCCGCCAAGTACGTTAGCACAGAGTTTGAGCACGAGGATATACTCGCTATTACATTCCAGTAACTTGATAAATGCTGAGGATCTACGGATTTGGTATCAGCCTCCTGATCTGAGCGATCCGGATAAAATGGATGAGGATGATGAGGAGGAGGAAGCACCGGAAGCAGAAATCAAGGCATTCTGGACACTCTATATTGATATTCTATTTATTTCCCTCGATGGCAACCCTTTCGATGCTGCATGGGCAGCGGTCATGTCGGCGCTCAAAGATGTACGACTTCCGAGAGCATACTGGGATGCAGACCGCGAGATGATTTTGTGCGAGGATTCGGTAGCAGAGTCAAAGAAGTTGAACCTATCTGGGCTACCGATTGCCGTAACTTCGTTGGTATTCAGGGCGAAGGAGAAGGGACAGGCAAAGGGCAAGCGATATTGGATTCTGGTTGATCCTGATACCTTCGAGGAGACCCTATGCGAGGAGTCGATCACGATTGTGGTCGATTGTGCAGGCAAGACAAAAATACTAGGCATATCGAAATCGGGCGGCACTGTCGTAGGAAGAGATGAAATGAAGGATATTGTAGCCCTGGCAGAGCAGCGATCAAAAGAGCTGAGTAAACTTCTTAACGGATGAGATAGCAGCACGAAGTTCTACGAAAGTCCACAATGACCTGTCACCAGAGAAGAGACCTGGTGGCCGGCCAACATGTGCTCATCCAATTGAGATATTTGGGCGCGAAGACGGTCCAGCGGCCGTCAGCAGTCGCATCGATCGATCACAGATCTCCGCTTAGGGAGTCACGATCGATTAAAACACACTAGCAAAATTGGTACTAGAGTACTGTACATCGTTTCGCTTGTCCTAGAAACAACGACCTACCTCGAATACCTAGGTAGACAATGTGGTCTTTATCTGTCACAACTATGAAATATAGATCCCAGTTACGAGACTACACAGAACCTCCTTTACATTTTCATAACGTTTTGCGAGGCTGTGTGGTGCAGAGCAACTTGGCTACTCGGCATCGTGATCACGTGCCATGTATCTAATCTTGTCTCTCGCGCCTGCCTAGTAGTCAGATTTACACTACACATCCTTATAGGAGGCTCTTGACACACTTTGTCCTTCATTCTTCCAAACTTTCTTTCTTCACTGACACGTCCTTGCCTCCACCATGGGCTCATTGAGTGACCATGTAAGCCTGGGCACGCTGTGTCGCTTTTGTATAGACATGTTCGACTTGACAGACGGGCCATGGCCTTATAGGACTAGATTTTTCTATCACCAAAGTCTGCCTTCTCTCCTAGTGTCCATTGAGGAAAATTGCAGCTTTTGCACTCGGATGCTTCGACTCCTTCCAGGGCTGACCGAACGCAGTAACTCGGTAGTACAATGGAAATGGTTGATTGTAGATTTCTATCTAGTGGGCTTCAGGGGGAGCCCGCCTTTCAGAGGGGCTACAAATCTCTCTGATGAGGAGTTCCTTGTTCAACAGGCCCTTTCTCAAAACAACGTTGGAGTCTCGACCCGTATTCATGGTGGCCTTTCACTGTACGGCGGTCAGAACCAACTCCGACTGCAATATATACCATGGATGTTAAGCATAGTACCACCATTTCAAGGTAGAACTCATATCTCCCGCCTGTTTTTGATCAGCTACTGATGTTATAATTGCTTAGCAATTTCCAGGGCGCTGCAAGATTATCTTGCTGTCGAAGATCTCCCTGTACCATCGAGCCGAATTTTTTCTAACGCTATGTATCAAAATTGTATTAAGACCCATCGGGTTTGTAGAAAATATGATGGTCTTTGGCAACCCACTCGGGTCATTCACATATCCCGGCAGAATCCAGTGCCGAAGTTGCGACTCGTTATTTCAGACAGACAGGAAAAGCCTCAAAGATATGTTGCCCTCAGCCACTGCTGGGGTGTCGACTAGCCGCTGAAATTGACACTTCAGAATATATCAGCATTGACAGCTGACATTGTACATGCTCAACTGCCAACATCTTTTCAAGATGCTGTCACTGTTTCTGGCTGGCTCCAGGGTTAGCAATTAGTTTCATTATCTTGTCTTCATATTACAACTCACGCAATCTTTCAGATTGTATGGCATGCATCACCAAATATCTGCAATCCTCGACCATACTGACACATAAAATAGTTGATTATCTATGGATAGATAGTTTATGTATCATCCAAGACTCGGTGAAGGATTGGCTAATTGAGTCTTCTGTAATGGAGAGAGTATACCAGCACGCTGCCTGCACGATTTCTGCAGATTGCGCGGCGGGGTCATCAGCTGGCTTTCTGCGAAAGAATAGTTCTACAAAGAGTAGCCATTATTTCGAGCCTTGCTTGATAAGAATACCGAAGCTAAAGGACCTTTGGCTACACAATGATCCCGAAGAATGCCGCTCGATCAGGAATTCTGAGCCTCTCGCTCTGAGGGCATGGGCATTACAAGAGCAGCTGCTTTCAATGAGGATTTTGCACTTCGGCGCGGAACAGCTTTCATGGGAGTGTCACGAACTTGAAACATCCCAGAGTTGTTTGCTTGACTTTAACAGGTCTATTCCCCGGTATGAACCTATGCCATACTCAAAAATACCTGTGCTACTCTCAAGAATCGACCAGGATATAAACCCCAACAGGGTGGTAGAGCACTATATTGACAGATGGCACCAAATTGTTAGCAACTACAGTGGGCGTTTTCTCACGAAAGAAGAAGATAAACTTGTTGCTCTATCCGGTCTGGCAAAAGTTTACACACCCCTTTTAGGGGATGAGTACATCGCCGGTATATGGCGAAGTCGAATTTTCACCGAACTTTTGTGGCACGCAGAGACAGAAAGCTTCCCTGAAACGGAGCGGCCATTAAGGTACCGTGCCCCTTCATGGTCTTGGGCCTCTATCGACGCTCATATAACTTGCCATCATGCCCTAAGCCCGTCTGACTTGCGAGGTCAAACTTGCTGCACTGTGCTCGAGGCCCAAGTGGAAACATTGGGCCATGATACTACTGGTCAGGTAAAAGGAGGGTTTCTACGAGTGTCCGGAGTTTTACGACCTTGTCACTTCTGGACACAGCCGAAAGACCTTCGCCCACAAGTATTACTTGACACGACCGATCATATAGCAGAGATTGTACTTACAGACTTCTTCCCCATCATTTTAGAAGCAATGTTTGATCACCCATCAGAGATCGATGACAGTATCCAATTATACTGTCTCCCTGTCTTACACTCCGTGCGCTCCAATTTTAGAGGCATGGTTGTGCGTGCCGGCTCCACACCAGAGACGTTTGAACGCGTTGGGATGTTCTATACCTCAATTAGTGAGGATGATGGTCTCGAGACATTCGCCAAATTTGTGATTGTCATGTTCGAGATCCCTGAGAGTTTTCTTGATCATCCGGACCCATATGAACGATGGAGACGTTTGGTCGCGGAGGAATACCAGAAGACTGGGTATGTACGTCAGAGCCCCGAATTGATAGAGGGGCTTAAGAGGATGGAGTGTCGTGAGATTGTTATTGTGTAGATCTGATGAGATCTTTTTGGCTCCAGTGGAGAATGGCACTGATGTATTTCTTTGGTAGAAACGATCTTTCTATTGCTTTGGTAGACATGGGTGGGTACAGAAACGTGCAATATACGAATGTTGGTGTAGTATGTAGTGGGTTCACCGAAGAGACTGGGGAATCTTTCAAGCACAGTAATAGATGCAATACAATATTTACGTTTTATGTTGTACAATGTTTGAGATCGCAATCGTCCTTTGTTGGCAAAGATAAGTTAGACACTACATGTCCTATTAGTTAACGGCCCACCGAAAAGCAAACACAGGCAAAGCAAATTATCTCCCAAAAGAGAGATGCTTATTGAAGAGAGAAGACTGAATCACCCCAATTGAAGAAGCAAATTCTGCTGAGTTAATCAGACACGTTAAGTTGGTCTGAACGCTTTGTTGAATAATGCTAGCATTGTTTTCGCTACCTACTTTTCTAATGACAAAGACGTGGAGTCCGATGTTTCTAACACTATCCTGGCAGGATATGCCATCGTTGATATTCTCTGTCTGCTCTTTCTTGTAGAACTTCGTCTCCAGATCCAGGATAAATGCCAGATATCTAAACAAACTTAGGCTCCTCGAAAGACATGATCCCAAACAATTGCAGCGCGCGATGTTCCCGTCATTGAGAAATATCAATTAGGTTCCATAGATGAGCGATAAAGGGGTTAGACAGCAGTTGCAATTGCAGGCGAGTATTCTCGAGTCTTTAGTATTGTTGGTCAGACAAAATGTGATCTTGCAACTTGTTTTTACCATCAGTTCCAGGGAGCTCTGGTGGTTAGTATAGTGGTGTTAAGGCATTGGAATGCAAGGGAAAATGACGAGGAAAGATGGGTCCTGGATTCCCTTACAGCAAATTTTCCGATTTAATTTTCGTGAAAGACATAATGTTAGTTTGAGTAGCGCCCTACTTACTTTCTGGCCAAAAGGTAATCTACAGGCTGTTACCACAATTCACTTCCGTAAGGATGTTAGTAGATTCTATTAACATAGTCGCTCCTTAGGTGCGGTTTCGTGTACTTGTAGAGCAAGTTAGGTATACACCAATTAAGTATAGGAATTTAGGACCTTTTAATGGGCTTAGGAGGGAGGATAAGTTAGTCTTTTAATTAAAAAAAATGTAAGGCTTGAGACATAAGAAACCCTAGATACCGCATAAATTAAGTCTACACTAAAACGGGAAGTGAATTATGGTAATAGATTGTAGGATAGCACAGCCCGGGCCTGGGCTCCCCTGAAAGGTTAAGCGAGATAGACTAGCCGAGACCACAAGCAATGTCCTTTTAAATCTGACAAATTCAAGGCAGAATTGGGAACGGAAGAGCAATAGAAACTCTTCCCTTCATTCAAATTCCCTCTCTGGACGAGAGATGGGCCATGGATGTCAGTATCCCTCACACAAAACTATGTCGCACTCGAAGCAAAAAGCCTCTTCCCCTCACCATTTGCAACGCATCTTATATTCATCCTAGCAATCTCCTCCTCTCTCTCGAAATCCCATCCCAACTCAGACTTCCCCTCAACACCCTGCACCGGGCCCATCCGCGCAATCCCGACAACATCATACCCTACAACCTCCCTCCCACCAACCCACAATCTACCCCAAAGTGCCAAGATCGTGCCCAGCAACGGCGCGATGAGAATAAGGAGAACTTTCGCGTCGTACACATAGTAGGAATAGTCTTGCGAGTATGTAAAATGTAAGTCAGACGAGGTCGGACTCCGACTAAACGCCATCAAAGTACTCGTCTCGAACGCGCTCTGGATTCTCGCTGCGACAATATTCGCGGGGATGTTCATCGCTGGATCAAGCAGCAGGGTGCCAACAGAAGAGGCATACAACGTGTTCGCTCCTGTGCCTGCCTTGACCCCGGAGAAAGTGTAGGGTGAGTTGGACGCACTGTCCGTGTAAATGCGTTTCAACGGCACGAGTTCCGGATACTGGCTCGTGTCGTATCTGCTCTGGATGAAGCTATTCCTGAGCAACCTAGGCGAAGCCTGTCCGTTCTGGATGATGGTAACATTTCCATACGACAAGGTACATTCGACAGTGTTTATATCGTGAGGAACAACGTCCCCTGGCCTCATAACCCAGGCGCCGAAGATTATTGAAAACACACCGGCGCAAATGTTGGAAGCACTGGAACATGCAGGCGAGAATCCGCCGCTGAAGTTGGCGAAGGTTGCGGGATTGCTTTTGACCAATGTCACGCAAAGCTTTGGGTCGAGTGTCGAGCAGAGTTGTGATGAAGTGACACCTTGTCCTATCGCACCATAGTCGTTTGGATTCGCGAGCGTTCTTGAGGTACAAGTTGCTTGAATTGAGGGTGCAAGAGCTTCGACGTAGCAAGAAGCAGATTCGCAAATAGAGGAAGACGGCGCTGTAAGATTGCTCATTGAGACAATCGCTGCGGCTGTGCCTGGGATATCTCGAAAGTTACCGCCGTTATAAGCATTGTTCGCTGAGTCGAGGTAGCCCTTGAAGCGTTGACCGGATGCAGCTTGGAACTTGAGTGTTTGATTTGATGATTGCCGCTGCGAGATGCCCGAAACGATAACTGGATTAAGTATTGAGAGGAACAACAATAGGAGACTTGCGAATTTCAGTGGCCATGAGCTGCCAGAAATCGTGTACCATAGTCTACCAGTTCCTGAAGTTGACCAGCTTGCCATGTTTCTAGCCTCTTCAACTGTCAATTTTCTCGAATTAGACTCCTCTGGCCGCAAACAGCGCCATAGTGAGTGTTCAACAGCCCGTGTTGCGAGTGCGGCGGTAACGCCAGAGAACAAAGCCGTTAAGAGACCGACCACGACCGTTGGCTTGATATTCCCAGTATTTGGAGTGAGCAAAGATTGAATATTGTACCATCCTGGTCGAAGGAACAAAATCAAAAACAACGGATAGCAGGCAACGGAGGCTGCAAGAAGAACGCAGGTGATGACAGTGTTCAATGTACGAGGGTGCAAGGCAAAGAAACGCTTGATGCCCATTTTCGTTTACGGAGTCGGATGCACTTGCAACTCCTTGAGGAACGAGCTTTGTATTGAAATAGGTTTCGCATGACGGGACACGTCTTAATGTTGTGGCTTTGGGGCTTGGGAGCTGAACCTTGGTGTGGCTACTTGTAACAAATCACGATTCTGCGCTGAAAGATGAAGCCCGAATAAGAAGTCCAATAAATCACGTCTGAACGCCAAATAAATAATTCGCTTTTGCGTGGCTTTTCAGTTCCAGCTGGAGATTTCCGGAAAGAAGGCTCTGGCGTATGGTACATTTCAACTCTCGAGCCACCGGTCTCATTCATACTATCGTAGATCACGATTTTGGAGGTTATTTCCCAGCGCTGAATAATCCTGACGCACTTGTGGAGGATATGGGACAAATTGGTGATTATTGGAACCGTGAAACTTGATGATGTCGGTGATTACCGTGGAACTATTTACATTGCCTACTGTGTTTGTCACTTACAATTATGATTTGAATTGGATGGGGTCTAGGATTTGTCAGGATCTAATAACAAAGCATCTTGATTAGACAGTCGGATTCCTCAATTATCATCTTTGTAGCCTTAAACCGAAGAGGAAACAATAAAATATTACCTTTCTGAATGCTGAGCTATGCCTCTCCACTCGCATAATATGTTGAAAGACTCTCGCGGAGCTTCGATGTTTATTGCGATAGCCAAAAAAAACTTTCAGCAATAAGGATGATTGTCAATATATCGTGAAGATGGCCAAAATGAGGTAGGACGTTCTTGCATAATTGAGAACTTTGCTTGGGATAGGTTTTCAAAAGAACATGTCTCCTACATGCAGAACTGATCGAGTTTCCCAAACACAATTATGATTCCAAAAGTGAAAACCTCTGATTTCCAACCGTACCTGCAATTAGGGTTGTAAGATCACCAACTAACAATTTCCAACTACCGGGCAGCATAATTGAAGCCTCAAAAATTAACCAACTGTCTCGCAGCCCATTGCGGAAGGTGACTTCCGGTCATCTTTCCCGGGGTTGACTTGTTTGATATGGGTAAATAGAGCTTATCCAATCAAGAGAAACTAACCAACATACAGTGTTGGCATTCCGGTATATTGTCCCATTCTGATGACATACTCTCTTCGAAACCTTGCCATCAACTAAATAAGTCAATTCCAATACAAGCAGCTTCACAGTAATGGCAGGTATCACTTCAACGGCTCTTGGCGGCATTGTCGTTCTTGCTGCACTTCTGTTGTACCGCTACATTTCGCACTGGCGAACTAACTATAAGATTGCTCTGACAACTGGATTTCCAGTTTTCTACTCCCCGTGAGTAGCCCCTATGAAAAAAACGAGTGGCGTTAAAGTGACCCCTATAGCATCCATATTTCGAGCGTTTCGTGGATGATTTTCTATCCCGTGATGATGCCGATTTTGAAGCTCCTACCACAGTCTTGGACAAGTCCATGGTTACAGTATATTTTTCATTTCACTTGAATTTAATGAAGAGGTATTTAATATTGACGAAATAGGATAGCACAAATCTGGAAAATCTGGAAAATGGGCCACGACCCCTTTCGCGAAGCCGGTAGCGACACATTCGTATTAGCCACACCGAGCGGTAACATGCTCTGGTCTTCTGACGACACTGTTATTCGCGGTTTGTTTGAACAGCATCCAAAGGTTGATGCACCCGTAGAATTCCTAAAATTTTGGAATGTTTGGGGTCCAACTATCGCGTCGGTTCAGGGTGCAGAATGGAAAGTACACCGTAAAGCTGTCACGGCTGGGTTTGGTCCGGCCATGAATCACACTGTATGGAAAGAGACACTGAGCCAAACTCAGAAGCTCGCAACACACTGGACCGAAGATCATCAGGCTATTGTTCCAGTTGTTAGGTATTGGACATCGAGACTAGCTCTTCATATTATTTGCAATGGTTTCTTTGGCATGAAAGTCGAATGGAACGCAGATAATCAGAAATCCTTACCGACTGGTCATAAGATAGCTCTGGATGCGGCACTCCCTAAATTTATCGAAAATCTTGCGGTATTCGTTACCGTACCTACTGCACTGCTGAGTAGACTGCCAGTCAAAAAGTTCAGAGACACTTACGAGAACTTCACGGAGATCACAACATACTTGGATGAATTTCGAGCAAAGGTCTTGAATAATGTTGAAGCTGTTCCCGCTAAGAAAAGCAAAACAATTCTTGGTAAGGCTCTTGCCGTTTCTATGGGATCCAACTTAAACTGACATGTGAATTTAGAGTCCGTTGTTCTCTCCGAGGTCTCAGAAAAGAACCCTCTCGCGAAAGAAAGTGTGTTGGGTAACATATTCTTCACGCTTTTGGCAGGACACGAGACAACCGGTGGAACACTCGGCTTCATTTACCTATTGATGGCAATCTACCCAGACCACCAAAAACAGTTGCAAAAGCAGCTAGACGATCAACTCGGTGATCGTTCGCCGGAAAATTGGTCGCTCGAGAAAGACTACCCGATTCTGAAACAGGGTCTCTTGGGAGCGATCCAGAAAGAAGTCCTCTACTTTTATAATCCTGCATCTTTTATGATGCGAAAAACCCTGAGTCCAGTGACTCTGGTTGATTCAAATAACAAAGCGCATCAAATCCCCGAAAACACTTTGACACTTATCAACAACGCGGGCGCAGCACGAAATCCGAAGACTTGGAAACGTTCCAAAATTTCAAAGGAGAGACGAAACGCATTATCAGATTCTCCGGCTTTGGATTTCGACCCTGATAGATGGCTGGATGAAAAGGACCAGCGTCTTGCTAATTGGACGGCTTTTGGTGCTGGAGGAAGGGTGTGTCCTGGGAAGGAATTTGCGAATATTGAGTTGACGGCGGCGATGGCGACGTTGTTTAAGTTATATTCTTTGGAGCTAGTTGTAGTCAAGGAAAATGACGAGACTGATGATATGGCTTGGAAGAGGACAAGAGATCAGGCGATCAGAATGTTTTATGATGACATGGAGGCTAACATTACTATTGGGGTACACAAGGATATTCCGATTAGAATTGTTGAGAGAGTTGTGTGATTGGGATTCTAGCAAATATTGGGCTAAGAACAACGACTTTCCACTGTTGAACTATCCATAATTAGTATCATTGTCTATTCAAGCAAGCTTACAAACTTTCTTCTGTGCTGAGAAAATAATAAGAATCCGATAAAACTCCCTGGCTAATTTACTTTGATGAAGATCCTTAATGTGTTCAAAACATTCATAAACCTGTCTGCTGTAAGTTTTCCCCGAAGAACAAACAAAAAGTCTAGATATGTTGTCTTCCAATGGTAGTCAATCGAAAATAAATCTTAGGATAAAAATAGGTGAAGCTGTTGGGCGTAAATTAACCTAAAACCAAAGAGCGGTATTTAAAACTATTGAACGTTCTCTACGCCCTTTATAAACCTTACCGCTTCACTGAATAACAATTGTCTGAAGCTTTGCTCTATCAAGAGAAGAAAATATTTGCCCCTCGTTTTTCCAGTATTTTGAGAATCTACAGACTCCTACGCGAGTGTAGGTATTGACCTGTCCTCGCACCTTCTTCATCAACATCCCGTACGCGTATGCCACATGCTCTGAAAAAGTTGGCAGCATCCAAACCCGGTAGACGATCTTACCAGGACATTTCCAGCATGTAAAATCATCATTCGGGGCATCAAGGCTAACGAAATAGTCTTTGCCTTTGAAAGGATTTTTGAAATCTTTTTCCGCCTGGGTCAAGTAGGGTTTTTGATTTTCCTTCTCACGTTTGAGAAAGAAGCAAGCAATTTTACATTCAACTACCATAAACCCGGATTTAGCATCTCCGTAAGGTATGGTCGACATCTTTGGTTTAACTTCTATCTCGGCGATGCCATGAAGAGTATTGCCTTCAAAATTCACTGGATGATCGCTGTCAATACTTGCTCAGGACCACGATGGAGCACGAAATTTCCTTGGACGGCGATTCCCGGAGGTTGACCTATAATGCCACGCCCACATGTTTTGAATAGTATCCTTCCATAGGCCGGCAAGATATATCCTATGCCCAGAGCCATAACGCTCAGCCACCGCAGCTAGAGCCATAAGCTTATCGTCTTGAAAGGTGAGCTGCCTTTCAGTGTATTGCTTCACAATAGTTTCCCATATATCATCAATTTGGCTGATGTTGTGAAAAGCTGCGGCACCTCTTGTGAGGTAGCTGGTTTCAATATTTTCAGAGTATTGTAGCTCAGAATCACGATATGAGCGAGAAAGACAAGACCATCGAAGGGTCTTCGTGCCATAAGCCAGAGTTCGTGGAGAGAGGAGTCTCTCCTGTAGCGTCCATCCTCTCATATCAAGGGGATCCACGTCCTCGCTGGAGTTTAAGTCATCTAGCACTAGTTGGCCGAACATTCCAGCCTCGTCCTGGCATTTTAACAGAATCGGTGGTCTGACCCAGGTCCTAGACAAGTCTCGTGAATCTAAGAAGCCTTCTGATGCAGCAGCAGCAGTAGCAGCCACTAGGGTTACCACAGATCGCTCGTAAATTTTCGCCATACTTGCTAGTTCTCCCTGCATGTCTGTTATGCTGTCTTGGATTATACATAAGCTATCAACCCAAAGAAAACCAATATTCAATTTCATAGTGACTAATATTGCATCGACGATCGTTCGCGGCAAGTCTGTTATGCGTACCATTCTCTTTCCGTCTCGAAAATTGGCTGTTGTAGTTTTGTTTTTTTGAGGCCCACCCCAGCAGTAACTAAGGCTGCACCATGGTACATAGGCAGCATTCTTCGTTTTTGTGCACCTGGTGTCTTGTTCGTAGAGTGGGAGCTGATGAAGTCCAGAGAATTTTAATTTGCTACCGAAAGTTGTAACTTTCTGCTCTTCTACAAAAAGATCAAATATCCATAGCAAGTCTGATTAATCAATCCAGCAGAAACACCAGATATGCGAAAATCTCTGAACGCGATCATAGCTTTGCGAGGACCGCCTCCGCGCTGGATACTGTGACCTCAGATCCAGGCTCGTTCTCAGCATATGTCACAACTCCTTTATCAATAACCATCGCGTATCGTCCAGTGCGCTCGCCCTTCATCCATCCAACCTTCTCAGCAGTGAATTTCGCATCGTCGGAGAGGAAAAGCTGTCCAGTTGTTAGTCCATGCCGCATCATATCAAAAAGATTGTGTAACACGTACAATATCGTCGCCCTTGATACCATTGGCCTTTCCCCACGCGCTCATGACCCAGGAATCGTTGAATGCAATGACAGCTACAACGTCGACTCCCTTTTCCTTCAGCTTGCTGAGGTTGTTGATATAGCCTGGCAGATGCTTTGCGGAGCAGCCTGGGGTGAAAGCGCCGGGGACGGAGAAGAGAACAACTTTCTTGTCGGCCCATTCTGTTTGTATGTGTGTTAGCGGAGGGTTTGGCGGTGTAAAAAACCAAAGAATTGAAAATAAAGACTAGCAGATAGCTAGCAGAGCTGCCAAACAGGCCAAATAGCTACGCAAGAGCTTCACGAACCTTTGCTAGCATTGTATCTTTGAGGAATACCACAAGCAGTGATATCACTCTTCTCCTCCACATACGGAACCCATCCAAAGGTCACACCCTCTGGGAACTTGTCTCCAACTGCAAGTGGCATTGTGAATGGTATTAAGATAGATCTGTTTATTTGGTGACTTAGATGCGCAGAAATAGTTCGATTGATATGGTGGTTTGAATTGTTTTATATTTGTTGAAGTGAGGTTGAAGTTAACTCCTCCGTCGTCGGTAGTGGGGGAGTGGGGCACGCTAATCGAGGGGTCGGGACGGGTCTTTAGGGGTCTTTTTATTAAGCGTTGCGTATGCTGCTTCTTTGAACTTCTAATTGCTCATCTTCATTACTATATTGTTAAGTCTGGACTTGTTATTCTTACATATCAGGTTCTTTGACTCATAGAAGAGTAGAGGTACGTACTTTTCTTACATTGCTATCTCAAAGGGGTATCAATTCCGATCTTTTGGTGACTATTGCGAATATTTCCCCCTAGAGCCCTGTGGTTTTGGAGTCGGACCCGGCCGAGGCGGCTGTCAGGTTCCGAATTTCAACAAAATCATTCTTAAATGAATTAGTATTCTGTGTCACAGATCATTGCAATTCTTTTCATCGCTTAAGAAGGCTACTTGACGGACTGAACTGGCAAGTAACCGTTTTTATTAAGTCACAAACAGTCATCATCAGCAAGTGCTTCTTTCGGGGTTTGAATGTGACGTAGTTTTCTGTTCATCAACTTTCCTGTCTTGTTTTTGCAAAGCAAATCCCGAAAATTCGTCTTTCCAGATATATTCAAGCCTGTACCATGACCCTAGCCAACTTTGCGGATGCGATCCGCAAGAACGTAGTGTGATTACTAACCAAACGACTACCTACCTAGGTATACAATTAAAAGACTGACGAGTCAGCCATACACTTACTAAACCATATACAGCACCGAGGTTTCAGTTTACACATAAAACTCCCCTACAAATCGAGAAAAAATCCTCCAAACAATCATTTAAGAAAATCGGGATCCATTCTTCAAAATGGCAGATTTCACTACCCCCCGCGGCCCGCTCCCCCCATTTACGCACGAAACCGCCCAAATAAAAGTCAAATCCGCACAAGATGCCTGGAACACCAAGAATCCACACATCATAAAATTCGCGTATACGCCTGACAGCATCTGGCGCAACCGTGATACCTTTTGCAAAGGGACGGATGAACTTGTGGAGTTTTTGACCAAGAAGTGGGAGGTGGAGAATGGGTATCGGTTGAGGAAGGAATTGTTTGCTTTTACTGATAATAAGGTGACTTATGTGGAGAAATGGGATCTGAAACTGGCTGATTTTAGTAGATTGCAGTGCAGTTCTGGTATGAATGGTATGATGCGAATGGCCAATGGTGGAGGACCTATGGACTTGAGGATTGGACTTTTGCGGAGGATGGGAGGATGAGGAAGAGGATGATGAGTGGGAATGATGTGAAGATTTCTGATCAGGAGAGGTGGTTTATGGAGGGTGTGGATGTCAATGAGGTTGAGATTTCGGAGAAGCATTGGTGAGGGTCGCAAACTGTGGAATCGCGTTGTGCGATTTGATTCAAGTGAAAAGTTCAATCGAAATGTTTTAGGAAACCAAAATCAATGATGTTTATGACTCAACTCCATCAAGCGCAAAGTCTTCGCCGCCTTCGTTTCTAATCCATCCACCCATCACCTTCCTCACATCTTCTTTGACTTTCCTTCTCTGCGCCAACATGTCGCCATCCTTCAAGTTGAGATATTTATCTTTGAGCAGATATGTCCCCCATTCTGTCGACTCGGCTGCTGATGAAATCTCGGCAGCCAACTTCCACAACCGTCTCTTACAAACCTTGCTTGCTCCTCGAACATCGAACTGCTTTCTTCCCTGCATCGTTCCGCCGATGATGGTCTCGGCACCATATGGCGTCCACAACGACGAGATGTTGGAGGGCACAAGTTCCTTTGCATCATTTTGTCTTCTGGAGTACGAGAATTCCCGAGTGGTGCCCAGAACTCGGAACGGACTGAATCTATAGCCACTGTCCCACTCTCTACCGTCAAGCTCTTTCAGTCTCCCGGATGGTGAGAAAGCTCGTTCGACTGCAACCGTCGAGAGCTGAGAATGAGGTAATACTAGTGAATGGATGTAGATATTTTCCGGTGACACCATCAATGATGTGATTGACGAGAGCAGCGAAGTGCTTTGCTTGAGAGCTATCTTGTCGGTACAAGATTTGGAGAGTGTAGGTGGTGCATCGGGTCGTGAAGGTTTGCGACGAGTGACACCGAGATTGGAGAAATATCCTCGACCATGAAGAATAGGCTTCTCAGTCAATGATGATTCAGCTTTGGCCCAAGGTGTTGCATCTTCTTGAGCTGCCATCGTGAGTTCCATACTTGCGTCTCCGCCTATACATTGTCAGCATTGCTCCATTTACATTGCGGCTACATACAAGGAGCTTCTGAGCAGTACATGTAGATGTTCACTCCATCATTGAGCGCAAAGGGTTGAGCATGAGTTTCGGATTTCTCCAACTCATCTCGTCGACGGACGTACTCCGAAGACTTTTTATCCGAAGTAACTAATACCTGACACTCTTCAAGAATAAATCTATTGAAAGAGCGGATAGCAAAAATCTCTGCATGCCAATCGTGAAGAGTAACACCCTGCGCTCGCGGAATGAGCTTTTGCGGCAGACATTTCATGCCTGTTCTTCGACAAATGATTCAGCTCATCTTCATCGTCAAATACTTGAGAGCTCTTACGCTGCAGCAACACATTTTAAAGTGCCAGTCTTTGCATCTGTTCTCACAATTAGAAACATAATTTTTGGCGGATAAAGACACACAAACCGTGCAAAACTATTCCACTCAGTGGTACCCATTCCTTCACGTTGTCAGCCCTGTTCATGGGCTTCCTCTTCTTCTCCCAGCTATCAAACTGTGTTAAGACTGCATCAGCAATCTCATCTCCAGAGACGTCCATGACATGTTCCGCACGCGAAACTATTCAAGATTTCGCGAAGGAAAAGGGGAGAGATCGCGCCCCATAAAATTGCGGGCCGGAATCGACAGCAGGGATTCATCAGGTGCAGGGGTGTTCCAACGTCATCCGAACATTCCTTTGGGAAACAAACAATGAGACATTTAGTTCGTGACTGCCTCATGTCCTACCAACTGAATATACACTAGGGAAATGGATGCTTTAAACCCTCTTAGTAAGATTCACCTTCACAACCCACTTGGCAATGCTCAAAACTAACAATGCTTTCCAATCTTCTAGTCTCGAAAGCCAGGAAGGTATGCTTGCTCGAGCTCCCGATTTTATATGCGCCTCCTTGCGGATACACTGATACGCTCGCAGCCCAAATTTGACTTCACTCTAAGAGTATGCCTCCATCATCGCGATCACGTATTATATTGACCAGTCCAGATCTTCGATCTCAACAACGTCCCGCTCGTAACCGGCAACTCCTTCGTAAAATGGCATCTCCCGGCCTCCACATCTGCCGAGCATCGCGGACGAACAACGAAATCCCCAATCCTAGAACACAAGGTAGTCTGGGACTACACAAAAACTCTTCCTGTACGCCTCACCATCGATAAGAACAACAATCTCACCGAATGCATAATACATCTTGAAATCGTCCAGGACTTTCATAACATTGGCACAAAGGTGGAACGAGCTACATTAGGGACTCTGAGCTTGAATCTCGCGGAATATGTGGAGGAATCGGAGATGGGTGTAGCGGGGCAGGAAGATGAGGGTGTTGTGCGGAGGTATTTGATGCAGGAGAGTAAGATCAATAGCACGTTGCGGATTGGAATTTGCATGAAACAACTTGATGGAGAGAGAAATTTTGTTGCGCCACCTTTGAGGACTGCTGCTGTCTTTGGAGGAATTGCGGGAATAATGGCTGGAGAGGGCGAACCTGACGATCTTCGTAGGTACCCTGCCTGCTCTCTCTTACCAGATATTTACTAACATGAATTAAAGGCACAGATATGCCCAGTATATCCAAATCCCGGGACCAGGGCGAATTACAAGACATGTACCGTCGCGCGCTCGCCGCCTCATGGGCTTCGCAAGCAGACGAACTCAGCGCGGATCAATGTATAGAAGACATATTCAACGGCGGAAACGGCTGGAAAGACACCTACACCCCATCCAAGAACCCAACACATCTACCACCCTCAACTCCTCGACTGAGCACACACACACAAAGCTCGTCTCACGAACAACATTCTGATGAAGATCGCCATCATCGAAGACATCACCGTTCCCCTTCCGGATCAAGCACCAAAAGCAGCAACACGATCCGGAAGAAAAGTAGTTTGAAGACGCTGCGAAGACATAAACACAGTCATAGTCAGGACACGATGGCGCATCTTGGACGACAAGTTGATGGACAAACGAGTAGTGAGAGTAGTGGAAGTGGGAGCCATTTGAATGAAAGAGGACAGGTGGGGAGTGGGATGAGGAAGGCGAAGGAGGTTGATGAGTTTGATATGAGAGAGGATTTGGTGGCTTGGAAGTTACCTGATAATATTAGTGCTTAGTAGTGATGTCAAGGTTCGTATTGTGTAAAGTTTGGGTTGTATATTTGGGAAATTATGTGTTTAGCGGGCGTTCAGAGGGCGTGGGCGTAAATGGTAGTAGCATTGTATAGAACGTCGCGAATTAGAGATTTTACCACTTGTAAACAATAAAGTGAGACACACCAAACCAAAACCCGGACTATACAAAGCGCATCCACTTAGAACAGGTTTGACAGCAACTCTTTCTTGAGATCTTAAATTCAAATCATGAGGTCGACTTTCCTGCAACGCGATTTGCCACCAAAAAAGAAGCTATGCAAAGTCAGGTCTTTTTAGCTCCGAGGATCGTTGAAGAAGTAGAACATTTGCTTATCACTCTCACTAATTAACTTTGCAAGTTTAATATGTACACGTCCCTTCTTGTCGGGATTTAGGTTGATCTTGAAAGGCGGGATTTCGGCAGTGATCTAGAAATCGACAGCAAAGCAGACAAAAGTCCGTACTTTTTCAGAGTAGTTCTTCAAGTAATCGCGCTTGGGTTCAAGAGGAGTATTGTGGGATAATGCTTAATAAATCGATTGTTACGTTGGAAAAAGCTTCGTAGTCACAAGTATTGCATTACCATCTTGATAGCCCCATAATTGTTATTTTGGTTTTACTGTAGGTCAGTTTGATTTTATAGAAAACCTGACGGCGCATTCTTAGTGAATGATTGTCTTCATGATACGTATAATTTCACAGAAGGATCTGGATTTTGTAAGCTTTGCTTTGATTTCCACAAGAACGGTATGTTCAAATGTCTACTCAACGTTAAATAGCCACTAATATAAGGAATTGCAATTCTTACATACAAACTTCGGTACAAGCTATTTTGAGCGAGAAATCTGTTGATTGTACATTACTTGCAAAAGTGTAAGTTCCAACATAACCTCTTTCCCAGTCCGAATCCAAAGACCAATGATTGTAAAATAGCCGAGGAACACGCAAGCCTACCTTTTCTGTCGAGAAGTCATTACTATAATCTGACGATGGAATTCAATCTCTAGTTTTCCGCAGCCATTCTGTTCTGACTTTCTCCATGAACCCTATTCTGGAAGGTCTATGTCGGTTATATAACTCACACAAGAGCCATAATTCACTCTGTCATTGTGTTCTTTCAAAGCTTGATGGAGAATCTTGGTCAGGAATGTAGTCTAGTCATATGAAACGAAGGATAGTTACTGACCACCTAGACCACAATTTTGCAGATCACTGGATCTTCTGAGAGAAACGCCAAAGTCCCTCGAAAGTATAACCAAGACTTGGCTTTCATCAAACCCGTTTCGGTAGTGAATCAAAAATCGGCAGCAAGGATTCGATTCATAATATGACCCTTAAGTAGGTTGAGGATTGAGCCTTGCTAGATGTTCAAAATTTTGATGAACTTCATGAATTGAAATTGAGATTAGTGTATCTGACACAGCGGATTTGTCATTAAAAAAGGAAAGTTTCAAGCAATGAACATCGCTATATCTGCACAATTCTTATCGTAGAGGAATATCCATTTTACTGCCGAATTTAAATCTGCCTGTTTCCTTTCTGCTTACTATGAGCAAAATTAACTAAAAGCTAAATTCATGGTTCCCAAAATTTTCCGCATTGTGTAATTTTTGGATAGTGTAATTGAAAGAAACAAGAGCAAAACTCTTGTTTTTCCACAATCCTAACTTAAGGTAGTGAATATAGGAGGGTTTATAAGTATTGAAGACTGGCGAGAGAGCTATTTTTCTTCAAATATGCCTACTAATTAGTTAAATCAAATTTAAACAAATGCTACTTCACGGATTTCAATATGCAATAACAGAACAAACAGTTGCAGTTGTGCTCCCGAAGAAGGATTATAATCCAAATACCACGTCATGAAATTCTGTACAAATAAGGCATAAATATTTTCTAGATTGATCTCTCAACGGCTTGTCACTAGGCAGTGGATTGAAATCCCGCTAAAATGTGTCTCCATCTAAGTTTGCTATTCTCACTCTCATTACAATAATACAGTTGTTACTCCACTCTCACACTACGGATATTTGCTAAAACGATATAATCTGATGTCTTTATTTTGTTGAACTAATACAATATAGAACTCAAAAAAGTGGTTTCGGTAGTAATTTAGGAATCGGCAGCAAACTTCTCCTAAAGAATGAATCAGAAACTGGAAAAACAAACATTAATTGTTTCTTAATAATCAAAAACTTTATATCTCTGGATTGAAGAAGTGTGGTCAATCTAGAATTAATATCCATGTAATTCATCCTCCAGAAGCATCAGCTGGGCGGCGTCTAGTTTTCGTCTTTGAAAAAGAGAGAAGGAGAATTGTGGCAAATCCTACTTATAGAACGTCCGACCCGTTGGAATATACCGCGGTACAGAATTCAAGCTTTGCCTATTTGTCAAAAGCCAATATTCAGTAATATTTATACGGATCTTAATAGTGAAAATGAGGTTGTAACACAACCATAAAAGCTACTCCCTGCTCAAAAACCTGACGTAAAGACATAGCCGCAGGGAAATGGGATTAGTGCATGCACTATTGATCAACAGATATACAGAGATAAGTTCATAATCTAGAAGATTTATTGGTTTATACCGACTGAGATAGGCTTTTGGTATTTCTTTAACCTTTCGAGATATAAACAATATACACATACACTTTATATTATGATATCAGATTTTCTCTTCGGCTTGTCCTACTTCACAGTCAGATCTGTGATCCTATACCAACTGCTTTAGTTCTTTTTATTACTAGAATTTACAATTCGTTTTACGTATTCTGATTAAGTTCGAGGGTTTTTTAACAGCTGAGATCTTAACTTTAGTATTTTCCTGCATACACTTAAGCAGATAAATTATGAATTCGGGTAGAATAGCATTTGAGGTGTAAGATTAAGTACAACTCCTCGCAAGACATCCATTGTGATAATTGTTCTAGTCTCATTTGGCTCTGAATAGCGTGTATCAAATCAACCAGGTCCTCTACCTATCTTTTAAGCCTCTCACGAGCGGCTATAAGGAATGCTGTCTGGTTTCTCCCAGTTGTGAATTTTCAAACCTGGAGAACAAATTTAAAAAGCTCGCCTTATGTCTAACCTGCCTTCCAGTTGAAGCCACCCATCATTTACATAAACAATCACAAAACTTTTAGAAATTACATCCAACGAAGACCACGAACAGTTCATTGACCTCTGTTGTTTCCATGGATCGTACTATTCCCAACACAGCTCCAGATATCCACCAATTTCTCTCAAGAATCCCATTTGCAAACACACCTCTTCTCCCTCAAAGTTTACTCGTAAAAGTATTCCCCCCAAATTAAGTTTCGGTGACAGCTCAAGACTCGACAGCAAACAGCTCCTGGAAGGCAAAGCTACAAATATAAAATGTTTTTACGTCAACCCTTCAGAAATCGGGCGTCGTGCCCCAAAGAGGAATAAGGGGACTGTTCACAAGAATAACAGCTAAATGATAATAACAAAGCTGTTTCCACACATTGTCTTGGCTCACGGATGCTAGTCTATACACTATAATAAACGTTTGTTGTAATGTCTATTTATTTGGGATTTGTCTACATTTTTGTGAGATTACTGAACGATCAATTGAGCTTAGTATACAGTTTCCCAAATACTAGTACAAACCATCTAAGATTAAGGTGTAACGATCTAAGTCCAATCCCACCACAGAGCGCAGGTAAATGATAAACGTCTCTGCAGACTTCCACATCGGTAGGAAATGTGTCAGTCAAATTTGGTATGATGAGAAATCAGCGGCCCTAATGATAGGCCTGGGGTTGTACGCGATCATGTACCCAGCATCTCGGTCACTGTTTTAGGAAAGTGCTTCATTATGTAAAACGTTTTGCGGCAGTTCGACCCAATGGTGTCAGCCATCAAAGAACTCGCGCCCAGGAGGCCGCGCAATCGATATATATAACACAAAAATGAAGAAATATATTCCATATATACAATGATACAAAAGCCACAGGTCCATCAAACCCACTCATATTCCATACCAATTCCCAAAAAGCGCCGATGTCCAGCCCCCCATCAAGAGGGAAATTCCGACGCCAAAATAATGCATACAAGAATCATGCGTCGATTCATATCTCTCTGATGTTAATGCTTACAAGAACTCCCCAAAATAATGCTTGCCTAGATTTGTGCGGTGCAATGATGCTAACACCTCCGTGAAATTAATTAGGAGAACTCAAGGTCTGGCTAGATTCAGAGTCTGCCCGGAGGACCCCAGGGGCTGTTTTCCCATTGATACTGGGTGACGGGTGAGGCTTCGAGCTTCCATTTACTAGGCTCTTTGGCGGTAAAACCTTGGTCCTCTCTCCGTTGAGACTGGAGCTGCTGTTTTTGATTTTTAATTTGACACTACTCGTCGAATCCGGGGGATCTGATGGCGGTAGTAATGAAGGTTTCTGTCCTCCTTTTCCGTGTAACCACTTCTTTTTACGCTCCAGCCCAAGCGAATCTTTCGTCTTCTTTGTTATAGGTTTGATGACCTTCTTCTTTGGCTCGACCAACACAGTTCCGAAGTCTGCATCGTTATCGTCATCGCCACCATCATCGTCCTCATCATCTGTAGCAGGAGCTTTCTGCTCAAAGCTTAAATTCGAACTCGACATTTGTGAACCTGACTTGGCCATTTTTGGAGCTTTCAGCTTTGTCGCGATACTCTTCTTGAGTAATTTCTTCTTCTTTTGTGGCGAGGAATCGGAATCGAAATCGTCTCCAGCGTCTCTCTTATTCGGGCTGGTTTTACCTTTTGCATTGGGCTGTGAAAGCGGTGCTGGAGTCCCAGTGCGGCTCCCAGGTGGCGTGTTCCCATTCTGACTGCCTGTCCCACTCCCATTTTGAATTTTCAGCAAAGCCGCTCGTGAGGAGTCTCGTCCGCCACCTCCAATACACTTTATCATATGATTGTTCATCCGCTTTATTGGGAGGAACTGACTGCAGTTGTGACATTTGGCGTGCGGAAAGGAGATCGGCTTCGGTACCTCACCAGGTGGGGGCGACGGGTTGGGCGAGTCTTGGCTGCCATTGGGGGTGTTTTCCTTCGCAGATTGTAATAACGGATTGACCATATCCTTCTTCTTCTTCCCTCGCCCTGGGCCTTCCATTTGAAACGTTTGTCCGTAGATGTCGTGATATGGTTTCTCAATGTATGGGCGCTTCTTGCAATATTCCACCCCCGGCTCCGGTTTCCTCGCCCCAACTCCATCGCTCGGGTATAAAAGACGGGGTAAATGACATTTCGGACATATTGTCTCTTTGGTTGTTTGCAGCGGGTTTCCAACAAGATAAACTTTCCCATTTTCGTATATGGCGGAGTCCAACGCAACACGATGTTGCACCTCTGGAGCAGCCGGATTCGAATCGTCCGAGGGTGGCGCCGTTTGCGCAGCTTTTTGCTCGACGAGAATGGCAGCAGTCATACTTTTGGCCATCTTCTCTTCTCGATGGGTATTTAGGACGAGATCGTGGATTATATTGTAAACAATATCGTCCAAGATTGAATGTGCCTATTGAGGAGAAGGTCAGCAGAGCTCCTCCCTGAACAATAATCTCAATGGAAGAAAGGGTGAAAGAGATTTAAATTTACCAAATCACCCATATTATCGGTTTGAGAGTCTTCCCGGGGAACAATAATGCCAGTTTGTGGAAAGGTGTCGCTGTTCGACATGTTGGGTTTGCTTATGTGTAGAAGGCTGCAATTCGGTAAAGTAACGGTTGCAATACACTCAGCAACGAGCTGGAGGAGGACGAAATAATTGAAGACGAAGGGTGACCATGGGGGCAATAGTCCAATACGTTATATATAATCGAAATGACAATGTGAAGGTATAATTATCTTGCTTTAAGCAGGCAGGTTGGAACCCTTGAGGAGGACAAACCGTCGTCCTGAAACCGAGCTCCAATGTGGATTGACGTTAACTGATGAGGCCTGTTAGCGCGGCAGAATAAATTAAGGTTTGGTGGAGGGTTCAAAGCGGTAAGCTATTTTGGGACCTCACATCGCGTCAGTAAATGGTAACGAATTCTGGCCAGGGTAAATGTCCGCATCAACAACAAAATTATTGTTAGGAGTCGATATGTCAAGGTCCGAGATGAGCAGCTTTCTCTTATGACCCATCACTCAGGACGTTTACTGGAAATAAAAGCGCATTACAACAAATTCGACCAAAACAATGGACGGAAACAACACAAACTCCCCGCCATCCCAGGGCCGGTCTCAACCCTCTATTCGGTCATTCTTTCAACCACGATCACCCAGTTACACTGCCCCACCAACTCCTCCAATATCAGCAAACAGAACGCCGAACATCATTCCCACGCCTCCAAGGTCAGGAATCATATACGCTCAACCTCCAAACCAAAATGTTCTACCAAAAGCAACTCCAAAAGCGACACTTCCACCACAAGCAGCAATTTCTCGCATACAAGAAGCCCATATCCAACCACTCCGCCGTATCAACTCTCTTCTCCTCCCAATAAACTACCCAGACAGCTTCTATCATAGTATTTTAGCTCCAAGCCCTAATCCAAGCTTCTCAAGAGTTATAACATGGACCGACCCTGCTAATCCGGCAGAGGCCAAAGTAGTTGGCGGAATCGTCTGTCGTCTGGATCCGACGCCTGCATCAGATTTTACCCCCTCGAATCCGAAATATGTGCCGGGGAGCTATGATTTATATATACAGTCTTTAGCGCTTCTGTCGCCATACAGAGGCAAAGGGCTTGCAGCTGCCGTGTTAGAAGACGTAATCGCATCTGCAGCTTCTACAAACGTCGAACATCCGGATCTGCGAGTAGCAGAGTTATATGCACATGTCTGGTCGGAAAACACCGAAGCGGCAGAGTGGTACACCAACAATGGATTTGCGAGAGATTTGGGAGTGTTACATGGATATTACAGGAAGTTGAAGCCAGACACGGCGTGGATATTCCGCCGAAAAGTATTAGCAAGCGACCATCTCAAATCGCTTGCTCCATTGCAGCAAGCCGGGAATGTAAAGATTTCAGCGCCCATTTCCCCTGCTTTGCAAAGCCCCCCGACGAACGAAGGAGGCAGCAAGGAGAATGCTCCCTCAAGACCGAGCGGTCCAGCTACGGTACGATCGTTCCAAGACAAAGGTCCAGATCGAGAGTGGAATGATCTTCCAGAAGATGTAGTACGAAACCCTCTTTTGAAACCACCCAGTCATGCAGGAAGCACAGCCAGCTCCCGCAGTAGTTCGAGAAGTGGTGCAGCTGGAAAGAAGAAGAGGCAGTACCCAACGGCCGCGTTTGGATCGTGAAAATCGGGTATTAATACTGTAACTACAAGAAGGTATTCAACCTCGCACAGTCGGCTAGAAGGGCATGCTTGGGCGTTATTGAGCAGGGGAATGACAAAAGGAATGAATGATGCATTAGATGAATACTGTTACAAGTACAGAATAGATGATTACACGATGATATTGTGGCACATTATCCTTCGTTTACCGGCGGGGAAACAGCCCTCCCCAAATGCGTAAGACTGACAGGATCCCTTGAAGAATTTGGGTAAACATCTTTTTGAGCAGCACTCGTACACTACTTAAAGGTATAGTACCTTTTCGAAACCCCGTGATGCATCTTTCCCGAACATGAACTGGGTTTTAATAAATAGAGAAAATTCTGTAGTAAAAAGTTATAAAACCTACAAAATCGGTAGTCGAAACCAAGAAAATTATGGCCTACTGTGTACAAAATCTACTAGCTTAGTACAAAAATTTCTTCCAACTAGTTTTATAACAAAAGCTAAGATAAATTGCAAGAAAGTCACGGAAAATACTTGCAAACCCCTAAAGTATTCCCAAACCCAGTCCTCTTTCTTACAAAAAAACACTAAATCTTACTAGTTTCCTGCAAAAGCTTTAGGAAGCAAAAAAACAATCCCGGAATTAGATTCCATACCAGGGAGTCGAACCCTGCGCTACCGCGCACACTCTGGGATGAGAGGCGGAAATGTTACCGATACACCAGTATGGATTGTGATTGGCTGAGCTCTATATTTGTGTTCCAAATATATAAAGAACATCTAGGTGGGTAGTGGAGAAGGGCTAAGGCAATGGGATGAAGAATGGTGAATGGAGAAGGGGGGTAAGGTGTTGGGAGGGAGGGTGACGAGTGAGGAATTTCGAGGTGAATTAAGCGGGTTGAACGACGATGAGCGGGCATAAGATGCGCCAACTCAGTTAGCACATTGTGGTCATTTTCTACAATAAATCGACGAGATTTTTGCTTATCTGGATTTCAGCATTTCATATGTTGAATTCCAGATCCACTCCATGTTCGCCATTAATAAAAGGTGTGCATCTCATCCTCACGACTCGAGCGTCTCTAAATCCGAAGCCTTCCTTGACTTCGGCTCAGACAAGGAGAAAAGAAAAACATGATGTGCGTGTTCGCCATCCTTCTCCTTTGCCTTGATTTTCTTGCTGGCACTTTCCTTCTCTGCCTCGGCCTTCGACGACTCCGTACCAGCACCATCCTTCGCCTGACCTTTGGTCGTCTTTTCTTTCTTCTCATCAGCATCGGTTGTCTCTACGTCTATACTTCCATCCTCAGTATAACCCCACATCAAATTGATCTCGCCTCTCACAGCAGCAGTACCCCACAAGGAAACCAGCACTCCAGGTACAAGATAAAGTAAAGCAGGCTGGGCGTGGTTGAAAACCCGCAATACGACCAGCGTAGCTATCATGCCCACGCAATAACCGATAACACTCGCAGTGAAGTAGATTTTAGGGAAGCGTCCTCCGTCGGCGATTGTCTTGGGTGCGTTTGATGCAGACGACGTCCAAAATCGTTCGCCCCAGACTCCAGTAGACTGGACATAGACTGGAGCTTTCGATTTCTGGCCAGGTGTAGCCGCTGATGATTTGTTTTGGCGGAGGTAGTAAAGGTATAGATCGAATCGTAGGGCTAACGCCATCATAATCCCTGGAAGTACTACATCACCTAGCCCAAGCATAGATCCTCTCTTTGGCCCCGGGAAGACGAGCTTGATAGGTACCTCTAGAGAAGTAGCCACAGTGACCATGAGGGGAGTATAGAAAACCATGACGATGTCATAAACAAAAAGTCCAGCTAGAACAATGGAGCCGGTCCAGAAAGTTGTTGGTGAAAGCAGTTGCAGCGTGCCATAGGAAAATGCAAATCCCATAAGATTCGTCAACCACCATGCCTTTCCATTGAAGTTGTATACAAGCACAGCTGCCAAACCTAACATCATACCAACCACATCATTCAATGTAGTCTTCGTCTTTGCCGAGAAGATGCCATGGACATGTGCACGAAATATCCAGTGATTTCTTAACAATGCCCGGAGACTCCATAGTGTCTTCCTCATAGCTTGCGGCAATGGTAGTTTTGATAAGACACCTGGTAATGGATTCGACTTATCGACATGACTACTGTGACCTGGCCCATTTGACTCCACTTTGACTTGTTTCTGGGCTGCTGAATCAAACTCGTATTTTTCAGTCTGGGTCGACCAGACACTTGGAAAGACGAACGTGGTGATAACATTGAATGAGTCCGCAAGCAACTTTCCAACCCCAAACACTCCCAGAATCGAGAAATACCAAGTCAGAATCTTGTTCAATATCGCTGGATCCTCTAGCCACTTGATGATAAAATACAACCCTGCTAGTGTTACACCAGCGAGAATTGGGAACAGAATCGCATCAGAAGGTGTAAGGCCTTCAACAGTCGGTTCCTGTGCGATATCATCATCCTCGTCCGCTTGCTCAGCTGCATCTTTAGTCCCCTTTGTCGCAGAAGGTGGCCGCCTAAGAGAAGAATGAGCGCCGATGAAGATTGGGAATAGAGCGGCAGCGATGAGATGAAAGTGCATTTGAATCAGGTCGAAGTCATCGTAAATTTTGTATCCATATTTGCCAAAAGATTGTAGCAATGGGCTATCGCCTTCAAAAATGCCCCATAGGTTGTCCATAAATAATGCTCAAGTGAGCGACTTAAGTTTGAGTAGAGGTGTCGTTTGCTTCAAATTATCAACATATCCGTTGAATACAAGGATATGCTTGGCCGAACGATTGCCCCCTAGGTAAAGAAATGCCTCTTGAAAATCTGTTGAAGATGAGGAAAAAGACAATACGTGTCGAAACAGGTGACGTGGAGGTAGTACATGTAGAGAACAACGACAGCGGTTGGTTAATTGTGGACCTCAGCCCTAGAGTCTTGGCAGGTACCAGTTCAAAGATCGCGAAAGCGACATATCTGAACTTTTAACAGCTGTAACTCCGATAACTGTGCCTACAACGCTCACTTTAAAACGTATCAAGCTTATTGAGTTCTACAGTCGGTCAGAAATGGCGACAAATGTAGCTTTCCAAACCTCAATGGTAAGTTTTCCTTCGAACGTCTCTTCATGCGATTACTGATTGTAGGAAGGGTAGTTTCGTAGTTGAGCTTTACAACGACCACGCTCCCAAGGTACGCAAAACAGATCATGCCGTCTACTCGCCATGCTAATTCTTTACCTAGACATGTGAAAACTTCTCCAAATTGGCCGCCAGCGGGGCCTACGACGACAACATCTTCCATCGAATAATTCCAAACTTCATGGTACAAACAGGCGATCCTACAGGCACCGGCCGTGGCGGCAATTCGTTTTGGGGCGGGAAATTCGAAGATGAAATCGAACTCAAAAGGCCTGAGCTACCGCGCTTGAGGCATACTGGAGCTGGAATCTTGAGCATGGCAAACAGCGGACCAAATACGAATGGCAGCCAATTTTTTATCACCCTGGCACCCACGCCGTGGCTAGACGATAAACACACTATATTTGGAAGGGTGAAGAGTGGGTTGGACGTCTTGAAGAGGATGCAAAACGTGGAGACGGGGGCTGAGGACAGACCGAAGGTTGAGGTTAAGATCGTGAGCGCCACTGTCTTGCAGGATGCTTGATCGGAAGACCTTACGAAACTTAAGCTCGGTTTAGGAGACGCAACATTCACGGATCAAGTTCAGTATCGAGAGTGCGGATCAGATGCGATCACTTATCGGATTCAGCCTTTCGACATTTTGCAGCGCAAACAGGATCGCTGATGTGGCAACGAACCCGGAATCTGCAGTATTATCGCCAGCTGGAAATCCACATTAGTCAAGAGCTTTTTACGTACCGGGTTAGCAATGGCAGTCTAGATGTATACACTTCATGCGCTCGAATAAGCTAAGTCCACCAGCTCTGTGAAGGACATCTAGCACACGAACGAAGAAGGACATCTGCACTCTGTTGAGATTATTACAGGTAGACCTAGTGGTGACGGTGCTCACTGCCTGCTCAATGTCTGAAACCCAAGGAGAATTCATGGCAGCTAGCAGCTAAGGTCACATCAACCATACATTCGGCATCATGGAAATACATGTGTGGGTTCTGGTGAATCAGATGCCTCATTACAGAAACATTGTGCACGTATTGTACATCCGTATTACTGTAAAAATGTCAAAATAACAGCCGTCTCCCGAGGTCACATTTATCGATACTACCTACCCAGGTAGGTACGCATCAATCTAGAACGTCCGTCGGGGTTCTATGCATTACGGGTTGCTTGTGCATGAGATGGACACTGTAATAATTGAACTCCACTCAAAGGCCGCTAAAATCCTGACTTTCCAAGATTTTTGTTGCGAATTGGAACGATTTGGATTGGCGGTGAAGCATCGGAATGGCTTGACGGAGACTCGGGTCGGGTTCCTTGCAGCAATAAATCGCGCCTCCACGACACGACAACTTAAAATCGACCATGATGGCATGACTTCTTCCACCATGTAACTCTAAACCTCTTGTAAACAAAGCAGGAGCGCGAACAGACTAACCTCATAATTAACTTTTATTCTCGATATCCCGACTATGTTGTAACCTTCACTCCAAGTACACACACACTCATCAATCTCATTGACCCCGCGATAGAATCAAGATATCATGGACCCCGCAGTCGCCGCCGAACTCGAGAAGTTCTCCGACAACGACACCGTCCCCTTTCGCACCGCATCGAACCACACACAGTCAACATGGGCGCGTACCTTTCACAGCCATCCTGAACTTTACATCCAGCCTCAAAGCCTCCCAGAGATCGAGAAAGCGATCAACCTCGCGCGTCGGTGCAGACGTCGCATTACGACTGTAGGATGTGGCCACTCTCCATCTTCTATAACAACAACCTCGTCATGGCTTATGAACTTGGATAACTATGACAAGATAATCGATGTGAACAAGGAAACTGGCGCGGTGCGGATGCAAAGTGGAATACGGTTGTATGCGCTTTCAGACGAGTTGGATAAAATTGGCCTGGCAATGCCAAATCTGGGAAGCATAAACGAGCAGAGTATCGCAGGGGCTATCAGTACTGGTACGCATGGTAGCACACTGCGCCATGGTACGCTCTCTAGCAGTATCTCGAGTCTCAAGATCACACTGGCAAATGGAAAGACAGAGAGTTGTTCTAGGGAGGAAAACGTCGACCTGTTCCGCGCAGCACTTCTCAGTCTGGGGGCCCTTGGTGTGGTGACTGAGGTTACTTTCCACGCAGTCCCCGCTTTTACTTTGGCTTGGAAACAAGTGATAGATAGAGACCATTCTCTGTTCGAATCTTGGGATAAAGAGTTATGGAAACAGAGCGAATTCGTCCGCGTATGGTGGTATCCATATACGCGACGAGGAGTTGTTTGGTCAGCAGAAAAGACGGAGGAGCCACAACGCGATCCAAAACGATCATTTGTGAAGAAGTTCTACGAAAAGTGGTTAGCTTACCAGGTCTACCACAATCTCCTGGGCGCGTCTCAATACCTTCCACGAATCCTTCCTTGGATTGAATGGTTCGTTTTTGGCATGCAATTTCGTTTCACAAACGGCCTAGTCAGCTCGGCTGTTCAGCCATCTGGAAAAGCACTTCTCATGGATTGTATGTACAGCCAGTTCGTCAATGAATGGGCTATACCGCTTGATAAAGGCCCGGAAGCACTGCGACGGCTGAGTTCATGGCTCAACCATCTTTCACCTTCAGATCCAGACTATCTTCCTCACGGGATCCCATTTAGCGCAGATGGTCTTTACGTTCACGCACCAGTAGAAGTACGCGTGACCGATACCTCCACCCTCAAAGATCCCCGACCTTTCCTCGACCAGACCGAGTCAAGGGGACCAACTCTCTATCTAAATGCCACTCTCTACCGCCCATATAACTCCGACCCACCATGTCGACACCGCTACTACCAAGGCTTCGAGTACCTCATGAAAGAACTCGGCGGTCGTCCTCACTGGGCCAAGAACTTCGAAACTCTCGGTCACGAGATTGAAGAAATGTACGGCGACGACCTGGTCAATTGGCGTGAGATCCGTGATAACCTTGATCCGGAAGGTATGTTTGTGGGTGATTGGCATCGACGGACGGTTATGGGCGATGGACCACGGTTACCGCTTGAAGAGGTGGAGATTATGAGGGAGGATGCGAAGGGTGGTGGTGTTGTTGTTAGAGGTGTGGTAGGGAAGGGACATGGGACGTTGAGTACGAAGAGTAGTGAGGAGAGTTTTGATGAGTTGAGGGCTAGTGAGATTACTGTGAGGGGGGATTAGAGATTGGTGTAAAGCGAGAGGCGTAGATTTGGTTTGTCAGTTGATTGATAGTCTTGCGAATATACCAGCCATTTTAGAAATATCTTTACAACACTTCTCACGTGGTGTTTATTCACAATCAACTCAATGGCCAGACAATAGCCTATCACGTTTCTAACGTGTACGGGGGATTATGGGTTCTATTCCGGAGAGGGAGCTTCAGAAAAGGCTATCAGATCTAAGGAAGGTAGCAGACGCGCAAATTACACAATCTTAACATGGGCATATAGTGATGGTGTATATTGATACTGGATGTTTTAGGGTTTTATCATTGGATTTAGTATGATGTGAGACCTTTGATTGGGAAAGAGTAAAGAGGAAAACTGGTGGAGCAGTTGTGATTGTTGGAGTTGAAGTGGTATGAGGTATAGGCGTTATTGATGGAAGGTGAAAAAGGTTGGCCATTGGCGTGGTTAGACGAACTGGCTGTCAGTTGTGAAGTAAGGAGCTGGTGAAGTTGAGTTTCGGTGCTCTGGGGCTGATGGATTTAGAACGGAGAGAAAATGTGAAGATGTAGGTTTGGTGAGCTTACGGATGATTGCCGAGCTTCGCGTAGTGCTGGAATTGGTATCGTACCTTGTTTTTGGCTAGCGTTATCTGGATATTGACTTGCGCTCGAATTCTTGGGGATAGGTCTGTTGAAAGCCTACTGATGCGTTTCTTCATTGAGACATGGCGATAGTCCTCGTCCTTCGTCTTCAGCAAACGGAATCGCAGATCCGTTTGAACAATACATATTACCCCTAATTTATTGACACTACTTCATCTCCAATATACACCAACCAATCCTCACCCCATAACACCTCACTCGCCCTATTTCCCCTCCTTCTCTTTCTCCTTCTCCTGATCCCTCTCCGCATTCTCAACCACATCAACCATAAACGCGCCTCCCAGCAAAATAGCCGGCTCCTCCACATTCTTATGCTCATAGCTCAACGTCCCAACACCCCCGGCCTCCAAAAGAAACGTCGGTCCATCCCGCAACGTCTTGCCTACCCACCTCATCGCAAAAGCCCTCAATATATGTCCATGTGCCACAACCAGCACATCCCCCTTATCCTTCTCCCCCTTCCCCGCAAGACACGGCCCATGATACTCCCTCCTAATCGTCTCAATAAGCCGATCCAACCGCGCCGTTACGTCCTCGGGACTCTCCCCCTCAGGACAGCCATCCCGCCAGATATCCCATGGTGGTAAGCCCTCGGCTTTGCGCTGGCGCTGGATCTCAGGCGACGTGATGCCCTCGTAGGCGCCGTAGTCCCATTCGCGGATGTCGTCTGTGATTTGGATCGAGGCGTGCGTGCGGATGTCGTCTGGGGCCGTGGAGTGGTCGGACCAGGGGTATTTGGAGGAACAGCCTAGGTTGAGGAGTTCGAGGGTTTTTTGGGCGCGGTGGCGGGGGGAGACGAAGCTATTCGCATGTTTGTTAGAATTGTGAGGACTGAGGTATTGGGATGAAGCGGGAGGTGAGGGGAGAAATACATATGCGCCAACTTCCTAGGAACAATCAACCGATCATCCCCCACCAACGCCCTCCCCGTCGCTTTAATCCTCTTCTCCCCGTTCTCCGTCAGCGGCAGCTCCGTCGTGCCCGTATGTCTCCCATTCAGACTCCATTCCGTCTCGCCGTGTCTGATGACAAAAACTCTCGGTGTCGACATGGCGGGGTAAGTATATTTTTTCTGGTCTCCCCGCTCAAGCCCTCCGGATTGTCAAAGCTCGAGTTTCAGAATTTGGTTGATTAGGAAGGAATAGACGCGCACTGAGATCGTGGATCATACAGAGTTTCGGCTTGGCTAGATGGTGTTTGATCTCGTGGGTGAAACTTGCGGGTGCGGAGATGGTACCGCGGGTGGTTAGTTTGGTGGATGATAGCGTCTAGGTGCAAGACAACATGAAGACTTTGTTTTTGTTCAAAAGAGATTAAATTCCAGTGTACCTTTGTACAAGTACTTTTATATCACTTCTACTTTATCTCGAGCAAATACGTCAGACCACGCACAGCGCTTACTCAGTATAATACATCAGACCATGTCTCCTTTCATGGCTCGCCTAACGCGTCGTGGGTCAAGCGATAGTATGGCGTCGGATTCTACTGAGCTTTCGACGTGGAGTTATGAGGCGACGGTTAGAAGGAGGGTTAGAAGTCAAAGTGCACCTGTATTAGGAAGGGTTAGGGAGGAAGATCAGAAGAAATCGAGGGATTTGAGAGAGAGAAAGGCGGATAAGCTATGGAAGGAATTCTGGTGTTGAGGTATTCGTGGTTGAACCTCGGCTTGGACTCGAAACAGGGGTGCAATTATTTGCGACGACGTCAGTGCTTGGTTTCGTCGCGACATCAACATCGACGCTTCAATCGCATTCATGAACGCGATGGAATCCCGAAAAATTAGCTGAGAAGCTCCAATATGTCAGCTCAAGCAACCCGAGCCTTGCAGCTGAAGATTCGTCGCATCGTCTGGACGGGCGCGATTGCTTCTGTGACGGCTATGGGCGCGTGGTATGGCGCTGGCCTTAAGATTCAGAGCGAGGAGAAGAAGGTATGTCAAGTCCTCTTGCTATATTTGTTGCGGGGAATTGCTAATTGATGTAGATCATGAAAGAAAGACTCGAAGCTACGCCAGCGGAAAAGATTAAATTGCTGGAGCAACAGAGGATCGAGTTGTTGACTAAGAGACATGGGATTGAGAAGAAGATTAGGCAGTTGGAGATGAGGGGGGCGGGGGCGACGAGGGCGGAGAGTATGGCGGGGATGGAGAGAAAGAGGGGGGAGTGAGGGATTAAGGATTTTTTGGGAAGTGGAGGACGGGTGATTCCCATGGCCAGGTGGAGGATGAACGCCATCTAGTTGAGATCAAGCATCAAACCGAGTATGAGCACACGACAAGTCCGATGTTGCGATAACTTTGGATACATCGAGTCGGCTATAAGTCGTGCAAGATGGTGTATAAGTGATTTTGAGATATCAGAGCCAAGGCAGTCCAGGAATCCAACAAACTACAAGCAAGATAGCCATTGAGAAGAATAAATAGGGAATCACTTGCCTACATTCTGATGTCGCTGTTTCTGACTTGGCTTCGACTGCGGGAATTTCGAATAGTACAACACTTCATATAAGACGAGATACCTACTTGGAAGGGGAAATCACATAACTAGAAGCAACAATAGCTTTCATTCTGCCGCTTAGGCTTCCAGAACGCCGAATTACATTAGTTCAACGAACTGAATTCCATGGAAGCAGGGATTATATTAATGTTTTTCACGAGTACGTTTGTCGCATATGTCTATTTGCTACCCTATAAATTTCAAATTCGGTGACAATCAAAAATTCGGCAGCAACACGAATTCGAAATCACTAAAAGTAATGAAACCCGATATTTGCACTCCTAAAGTTGAAAAGGCAAGGTAACGACGCAGATTTTTTTGTGGTGAACTATATGTTCAACCTGCTGACATGTTGAAATCTTCCACGCACCATGTATCTGCTGTAAGGAATCCTTATAGAGGCACATGTCCATAGTAGGAGTTGCGTGTTTATATGTTTTGGTGTCCAGGAGGAATGAGGTTGGGGGTTTGAATTTGATGAGATCTGTAAATGAAAAGTCTAATAAATGACTATGTCATATACAAACCAACAGTTTTACTTTTATCTTAGTAATCATCTGACAATCCAAAGATTTCTTCGAGTTTAGAGGTAGCTTCAGCCTTGAGGCCTCTAAGAAGAGTTTATTGAAGCGGCCTGGTTATTAATATCTCTCTACTCTATATAGCCTTAGTGCTATGTATATCTAGAAAAAAAAAGCAAATAAATAAAATATACATTACTTTTATAAAGAACTCATCCCCTCGAGAACGGATTCTGCATAGGAAACCCACCAATCCAACTTGCTTTTACGACCGCCACCTCTCCATTCTTCGGGATGAGCACAATACCATGCTCATGCAGCGCAATCTGTCGGAGAGACTGGGGACTGATCCAGTCCCTTGGCAGAAAGAAATGTTTCTTGTGTCCGGTATACGTGGCTTCGATCTCCCACGTGCACAACCAAAAGTGGTGATCAAGGAATACGACACGATCGTCTACCTCTCCAATAAGACGGTTAACGTGCTTTGACAAGCCTTCTACAACCACACGGTGCTCTCCGGGTATTCCACTTGATATCCTTGAAAGCTCTATGATGACGACCTCCCGCGTTTGCAGTTGCCGATGATCTCGTGCTCTAAACTCATCGCGAACTAGGGTTTCCAATAAGAGAAAGTCGCGTGTTTGAACTGTATGAGCGATAGAAATAGCCCGACCCCCCGAACGCTGCGGATTAGACTGTGGAGTAGGTTCACATGGTTCAAGCGTTTTCCAATGATACGCTTGTTCCGTTCCAGCATCGATTCTTAACAGAAGGCCGACGTCGACGGGATGATTTATCCATACACTTCCTGGAGCGATTCTTTGGCGACAAACCTCGGTACTTTTCTTGGGGTTGAGATTCATGATATATGCCTGTGTCGGAGTGACTATCAGTAGGTACAGATCTTTGGGATGGAACAAGCAGAGCTCCACCGCTTCTGCATTTTCCATGCGTACGTCGAAAACCGGGAAAACCGCCCAGCGGTTCCTTGTAGCTGTTGGAGGCTCCAATCGTTTTGCAATTACGCGGCCGGAATCGTCGGCCGAAACGAGGTATTTGGATGATGTCGACCAACCAATATATATGATAGAGACAGAAGTAGAGTGGTTGGTGACTTTGCGGGATTTTTCGCCCTCGGGGACGGTGAATATTGTGACTGATCCGTCTTCCTTTCCGCAGCAGTAGTAGTCACCGCTACGGTCAAAAACTAGGGATGTTATAGGCACTTGAGAAGTATCGTCGTTGGAGAGCACTGGATCTGTAGTGATGGTATCGCCATTGTTTGAATCGCAACTCGAACGCTCTATCTGTTCAATTTCACTAGCTTTGATGAGAGCGTCAGGTTCCCATACGTGGCAAAATTCCCCACGGATGTCGTAGAATCGAGTGGAATCAGGGGAGAAAGCCAACCCCGTAACCAGCTCATCGTACTTCACTTGATATGAAAGTTGGTATTCCGGCACCGTCCAAACGCTTAAGGTGCCTTGTACGTCACTTGTTAGGAGAAGATTGCCGTCTAAGCTGAGTACCATCGCCCTTGCGCCCGTATGATTAATTTGCTCTTGCTCGACGTCTGAGAGATTGTACGCAACAATTCGGGTGTCTTCGTATAGAACTAGTAGGTGGCCCGTGACCGGATGCCATATTGCAATTTCAGGAGGATCCCACGCATCGCCTTGAGCCATTGTCCGCATTTTATCCTCCGCAAGTATACATTTCATTGGGGGAATGTACTGATCACGATAATGCCCAGACTTTCCGCGACCAGGCTGGATCGTCCACACGACAACAGGCCGACCACGAAAGATGAGGGCAATCCGCGTAAGATCGGGACTAAAAGACGCACTCCGAATACAGTTATGATCGTTCGCCCCCGGCTCCTTTGCCAGGAATTGCCATTTCTCCTTGTCGCTCGCCAAATCAATACACTGCACGACGCAGTCATCAAAAGCAACGAGTAGCTCATCATCGTTGGGACTGAATGCCATCGCTCTCGTATGGTGGTGAGAGTCTTTCGTCATGCAATTTACCTCAAGTCCAGTGGTGATGTCCCAGACTCGGATATAATCAATTCCTGAAGTAGCGACCAAGTTTGACGTTCGACTGCTCGCTATAATAGTAACATACTCGCCATGGCTGAATCTTCGTGCCTCTTGACATGTATTTGCATACCAGATTATCACGGTACCATCTATGCCGACAAGAGTTAGAAAGAATGTGTCTTTGCAGAGGATATGGACAGCTGTTTGTTCTTCGCCAGTGGAGATTTTGGCGAGGCAGTCACTCCAATCATTTGACGTGAGGCCGGTAACAACAAAGTTAGACTTAATCTGGTGTAAGAAGGTGCGGCTCATGATAGAGTCGAGAGGGCAGAATGGAATGACGTTGTTGTGAATAGAGGCAGGGTGTTCCGCGAGATTATTGCCAAAGCGGCCAACCACGCGGATTAAGTCGTTCGCCCATTGAAGCAACTCGGCGTCGCGATTTAACGAAAAGTTCTTCAATGTTCTTTTGGAGAAATCTTGTGCTCTCCGTTTGATGTAAGTCTTCAGATTCTGTGCGGCCTTGATCAGGATTTGAAGACGCTCTGTTAGAGCCACGCCATGAATCCACAGGAGACAGTGATTTTCGAGGAAAGCTAGAACCTTCATAAGAAGCTCGTCCGACTCCACCAACCCCAAGCTTACGTGGTATGCCCAGTAAGACAATGCATACAATAGGAATGGATGGCAGTCAAAGATGGCAGCATCAGCAAACGCACGACCAGCTCGGGTCATATTGTGCAGGCCAGAGAAAACTCGTCGCCACTTTGTGGAGTCGGACAAGAAGTCAATACAGACTGTTGCGATATGACTATGTGAATGGTTCTCGTCAAGACTGATCGGTAGATTTGCGGTCTTTAAGAGTAGAAATTGACGTGCAGTATGATGAATCAAATTGACTTTGGATCTATTGATTACTACAAATTGGCCACAGATCTCTTCGATTGCAATCTCCAAGTTCGTAAATCCGTCAAATTCTGGCTTGAGAGCAACCTCGAGCTCTGAAATATCCAGGGGTCTATAGCAACATGCAGCCCAAAATAGGATGTGGCGCGCAATATCCACTGATCTTTGGTTTTGCTTGGCAATACTTTCGATGATTCCGCGATACAAAGGCTCCATTCCTTCAGGAATTTCATTAATTGCAGCTTTGATATCGTCTTTTAGCACCCAATTCTTCTCGATGCTAGAGAGCGCCAACTGAACCCATAGGAACGATCCGGATGACCTGCAAATAACCTCTTCGGCAACTTCAGCTCGCGCTTCGTCCGTACCCGGCAAGATTCTTCGGATGCTCGCACGAACAAAGTCCCGGATATCCGAAAGCGTATCTTCTGCTCTGAGCAATTCTGGTTGAGTAGCCGGAAAGTACTGGCTTATGTGGTTCGCAAGGTCTCTCCGTGGTCGGCTGATGAGTAAAATGTTGATACGAGTGCTCGACTTGGCTTTGGAGAGATATTTGATCAGTTCTAAGGGGCTCTCTGCTTCATCCAACCCATCGAAAACCCAGTTGAGAGGTCCTGGGAAGGTCATTCGGAACATGATGCCCTCGAAGATCTTTTCCCATATTATTGACGCTTTTTGTTCTTTGATGTTCATGCCGGCAGCCTCTTGGAACTCCTTCAGTCTTGCCGCGAAAGACTCGTGGGCGAGCGCTACCTGAAGAGCAATGCTACAAAGTACGTAAGATAGTGACCGCTTTAACTTGTCGCCATATAAGAAGAAATGGTATTGACATGTTCCATTGTGGCTGCTGTTCTGTGCCTGATCGATAAGGTAGCTTGCTAGGATTGACTTTCCAGATCCTGCGTTTCCACAAATCCATAGTAGCTTAGGAGACTCTGTGTCGTGCTCGATCCAGCTCCGAACCGCAGAGCGTTGTAGTATCCAGCTGCATGATCCATGCGCAATCCTACCTGACAGATACTGAAAGTCTTCATCGAAGTTCTCGGGAATTCCAAGGATATCCAGCAGGAACTCTGCAGTGATCAGTTTGGGGGTGGGCTTAGTGGCCGGCGTGAACCTATTTTGTAATTCCCGTGACACAAAAGATGCTGCAGTTTCCGATTAGTTTTTATCCCGTTTGCATAACGCGCTGGATGAAGTTTTACCATTTTTTACCACTTCGCCTATGACCCATTTCAGAACGTTTCTAACATTCACATAGTTTGAATCCAGGACGTTCTTGAACTTTGCCACTCCGTGGTGATCAGCATCCAACGAAGCTGATATTTCGTCGGGATAGCCCAATTTGGCCGAGTCTTTGTCAACAATCTGCAACATTAGCTTACAAAGCAGGACTGTTGTGCTTGCACCTGCATACCATTGTCTTCATCTTGCCAATCTTTGTCTTTTGCGACTCTTGGAATGACACCAGCGTGAGGTCACCACAAACCGTTCGAAATTGTTCATTGATATCTTGCAACGTGCCCGAGTTCTTCTCCAGCTCGGAAACATACTGTTTGCTGCTTAGTCCCGGCGTCACCTTGAGGATGTTCTGAAGTGTTTGAGCATAGTCAGACCCTCGATGAGGAGTGGCCAAAAAGACGATGGCTTTGATCTGAGCGATCATTTCGGCATACTGTGGGTCAGATCTGCCCAATATATAAGCCTATCAATCTTAGCGGGACTGCAATAAGTTAAATAGAAGATACCTAACAGTACCTTTTTAACCACTAAACCTCCCATCGAATGTACGACAAAAATGGTTGGAAGCTTCTAAGTGTCAGGAATAAAACACCACGTTGGTCTTCGGAGCAACTAACCTCACCAACAGCTGGAGGCCTTTCATTACTAAACTGCAAATCGCCGGAATATGTTTTCATCCTAATAAGCAAATCTTTTGCAAAGTCGAGCAAGTTGAGATTGGTATACTGCCCGGTAAAGTTCGAATTATAACCAAATGTAAAGATCCTCGCTCCAGAGAGATCTTTGTCCTCGGTGAGCCATGGCGGCCAGAAGTTTTCAGTGTCTCGTTCCCACGACCAAGTCCGCTTTGACGAGCCTCCTAGACCGTGAACGAAAATTAGATCGAATAGAGGATTTGGCAGGGAGTATATTAGAACCAGGCCGAGTGGATCGGGCAACGCCGCGTCGCCCGACGCCGTAGTTCTAAAGGTACTGCTAGAACGTGCAAACACCCCAAATTGAGAGCCCTCACCAAAGTTCTCAGAACTGGTGGCAGTAAGACGCGGCCTGATGCTGCTGGGTCCAGGTACATCTGGTCGAAGGTGATAGGGAATAGTGGGTTCTGATGCCCTCTTTTGTTGGTAACGGGGCGAGAGCACGTGACTCTGGTCACTGACTTCCAGGTCGGTGTGGGTTCCGCTGACATAATCGCCGACCTCGAAGCCTGGTTCAGGATTCTGATCGGTATGGAGCTTATTCCACTTCTCTTTACCCTTCCGTAGCTATGGCTTCAGTGTAAGTATTGGAGCATGTATCGTCGTGTTGGTTGGAAAGCTGGAGTAAAGGAATACAAGGTGCAATTGTTCATTAGCGTACCATGTCTATATTTGCTTTGATTGCATTTACTGACTATTGTACCTAGACAACAACCTGAGCCAAATGGGAATTTAATTATCGCACTTCCCCGACTGAAAGATACTGGCAATGTAACACCGAGATATCTGCTCGTGCAGGGGATGGCGTTCTAACAAATATCATGCGGCTGGCTTCATGAGGTGAAGAAAAGGGGGTTGCGGAGAACGGGTGCATTCTCGTGAAGCAAAGTCATACGGCTGGATTCCTGTCACCTCGCGGTTAATATAGTCTGTAAGGTCTCTCGCTTGAGAAGGACTCGTAGCTTATTGCATGCAGTGACTTTCATCTGGGCGTCGGAGATCTTGCTGCTTTTAAGCTATGCAGTTGTTGCTTGAGCCGCACCTGGGAATGGAAGGCCTAAGGAGGGCTTTCGTCCGTCACACTCACTCGGCTCCTTTAAGCTTTTACATTTGCTGTTTGCATTTTGCTTTTCCTCTAAGCTTTAAGCTTTAAGCTACGCATAAATTAACTTCACGTTCAATTCAGCGTGTGGTCAAACACAAGTCTCTGGATTTCTAAAGAATCCGTACTGTCGATTTCACCAATCCATGCAGTGATACGCATACATCTGCATCTATCGCCCAAAGTGGTCACACCAACAAAAAGAAAACACCAAGCAGGGTATAAATGCCACTCATATCAGCTTCACCAATCTATGCAGTGATGCGCATGCATCTGCATCTGTCGTCCGGAGTGGCCATACCCGAAGAGACATAGAGTTGAAAAGTTGACACTCAGCCTCAGCTCACATGGAGTTTCTTTTCACATCAGACCTCAGCGCTTAGCCCACTATCAGCCTCATCGACCGCCCAAAAAACCAAAAGTAGGGAAGTACTACTCAGAATCTACCGCAGTTGCAATGAGTTTATCTCAGAAAGCTGAAAGTATTGCGAGCGAATTCGTCTTCAGCGACGATGATGTGCGGAAATGCAGCAAACAGTTCATCTTCGAACTAGGTAACAAACACGCTGTTGTCTCAGCACACCAAATAGCTAAGCGTTTTATTCAGACAAAGGGCTGAAAAGTGTTGTGCCTACTGTCTGTCAGATTCCGACCTATGTCACGAAAGTGGCACGTGGTACAGAGAAGGTTCGGCTTACGAGCCTAGAAAGTTCATCGATTACACATTGCTAACATACTCTAGGGTGTTTCTCTAGCAGTTGACCTCGGCGGAACCAATCTGAGGGTCTGCTCTGTCGAACTCAATGGTGACACGACGTTGACTGCTAAGCATGCCAAAAAAGTGATCCCGCCAGGAATCATGACTGCTGCAACAGGTGCAGAGCTATTTCACCTGATTGCTCACGAGATAGACCAATTCCTTCAACTGCACCACAGAGATGCGCTTGAGAAACTACGACAATCTAAAGATGTTCTTCCTCTAGGGTTTACGTTTTCGTATCCTGCATACCAGACCAGTATCAATTCTGGCATTCTACTGCGCTGGACCAAAGGATTTGTTATCCCTGACGTTGTCAACAAGGACGTATGTCAGCTTCTACAGGTTGCCATTGACGAATTCAACTTGCCGGTCGAAGTCACGGCCTTGGTGAATGATGCTCTTGGTGCTCTGATGTTTCGGACGTATACGCTACCACTCTCACAAACCCGTACCTCTGTCGGAGCCATATTCGGGACTGGGACCAATGGCGTGTACCTGGAAAAACTATCTAACATTACCAAATCCCTGGGAAATCATGATGACAGCACAGGCGAGATGTTCATTAGTTGTGAATGGGGCTCGTTCGACAACGGCTTGTTGGTACAACCAAACACAACGTACGACGTGAAGGTTGATCAAATCAGTATGAATCCAGGCAACCAGATGTTTGAGAAGCGAGTTTCGGGGATGTTTCAAGGCGAGCTTTTGAGGGTAGTTTTGAATGAATTGTACGCTGATCCTGACGCTGGCTTGTTTCGAGGGGTCCAGTGGAATGATCCAGCCCAAGGCGAAGGGCCAGCACCTTTCTTCACTCCATGGGCGATAGACACGTCTCTCCTTTCAATGGCAGCAGCAGATAATGCTCAAGAGCTTCCTGCGCTTTCAAAGGCACTCGTCGAGACACTGCGCATCTCAGCCGATCATGTAAGTGCTGATGATGTTCGTGCGGTGAAGACGATCGCTGATGCCATTGGCAAACGAGCGGCCAGGCTCGCAGGCATGGCCATTGCCTCAGTTCTTATCAAAGGCGGGAGAATGACCGTTGATAGAAATTTACTACCCGTCACAGGAATTGTAGAGAATCCTTCTGACGTGGAAGGTGTCGATATCGCGGTCGACGGCAGTGTCGTTGAGTTGTATCCAGGGTTTGAACGCTACATGCGCGAGGCGTGGAGTGTTATTGACGATATAGGACCAGCTGGAGAGAGAATGATCAAAATGGGAATTGCCAAAGACGGTTCTAGTATTGGCGCAGCGATAATTGCGCTGATTGCTCAAATGGACGTGCGTCACATACAGTAACTCCTTGAGGAGCACCAAGCAAGTGCAGGGAACAAACAAGTCTTCAGAATAGTCTATGGTACTATGAAGGTTAAAAATCAAACCATCGTCAAATGTGACGCCTATACTGCTTTTAATCTTCCTCCTCCTCCTCCTCCTCCTCCTCCTCGCCGTCTTCCCCTTCTCCATCCGATGCTGCGTGATCATGATCGACTTCAGACTTTCGCTTATAGGAGGCAAGGTCGTCGGGACAGATTCTAGAGCACAGCTCCTTCATATCTTCGAAGACACTAGATTAAGGTGATGTTAATGCAGCCCCCATCAAATAGCAAACACTCGAGTTTTCATACTTCTCGCGATAATTACTGCCGGGGATCAACCAAGCAGCGGTCAAATTAGGCCTCAAAGAATACAGGAGATTTCGCGAATCCCAATCCTCCTCTATGATAAGGTAGTTAGTAGCTATACTAGGAAGTGACGCCTACGATAGCGAAAACTGACCCGGCTCGCTCGCAGGAAAATGTCGCTTGTAGCTTCGAATGTATGTTTTGCTGCTCAATCTGTGTCTAGGGGTCCTCCAGTTACCCAACTCGAACTCGTTGTGTGCGTAAAAAGCAGATCCGTCAAAGACGAACGGCTCCCCACTTCGCATATCCGTGGCTGTATTCCCATCCCAGATATTTCCATGCAATAAGCAAGGTTTGATGGACCTGCCATCGCTTTGCAAAGGTCGCAGCAATGCCGGAACACACTTATCCATCACAAGCTGTGCGCAGAAATCAAACTCCGGCCAATATCGCTGTTTGGACTTGTCCATATCGAAAACGTGCTTGAGCTGTTTGTAATAGCAAACCTCCCACGAATCCTCCCAGATGTCAGTTAACTGGGGCGCTTTCCCATGGCAAGTCTTCACATGGAATCCAAATTTACCAGTGGGTGAGACCGAATCTTTATGCAGCTCCGCCAGACGCGCGACGAATCTAGCAGGCTCCGGAGGCTGTTGTCCAACATCGCGAAACTCCGCTAGGATAAAGTAGTTAGCTGGTCCAGGAGCTTTGTATTGGCCGAGGGCGTAGGGTTTGGGACAGAACGACGGGAGGACTTCATGGAGTGCCTTGTCTGATTCAAACTGTCCTTCCGCCATCAAGCGGTCACTTTCGCCGGTGGTTACCTGTTCAAGTTGGCGGTAGTATGAGGCGTACGCAACGGATTTTTACCTACCTTGAGAAAATAACTCAATTGCTCCCCCGTAGGTAGTTGACAAACAAGCCGAGCTTGACGAGCCCATACCCACATACCATAAGCTCGGCAAGATAATACTTTTGTCCCAGGTATTGGAAGGCCTGCATCATTGTTTCATCATCAGCAACATCAGCATCATTTAGAATTTGGGATTTCATTACTGTCGAGGACTGCATCATCGAGCTCGAAGGTGGCTCCGTCCGATTCACTTCCAGTGCCGTCTTGACGCGAAGCCATATCTAGGTGGACAAGGACCCTGATTATGAGTCTCGAAGGCGACAAGTTGTAATAGCTACAAGGTTTTGGCGCTATGTGAGATAAAATGCAGATAGTGCAGCCAAACTAAGCTCGATCGTCCTTCGCCCTGGATGAGTTGTGTGGAATTGATATTTCTATATCCAAGCAGATTGTTGACCATTGCCTTTGAGGGAATTTCTATTCGATCTGGATTCTATCAAATCCTTCCCCATTCCTTTCATCAAGGATTATTATGCCATGCAGCCCCTAAACCTCCCAACCCTTGCTGAATGGCTTTCGAGTCTGCACAGATGATTCGCGGATACGTACGAGTCTCTCTCGTTCAATACTGTAAATGCTGTAAGCGCGGCACAGAAGATGAGGCTTTCGAAAGCGCCCGCATCCCGCATCCCGCGACTTTACCAGAGCCAAGACTGTGGGGGAAAATACGACAGCAACCTCCTCACCACCCTCAGCGAAAACCCTGCCTGCTACAAGAGCCGCCTCCAAGCTTCCTGTACCCAAAATCCAGCCTTGTAGTCCTAGCATCGACTGGCGGAGAGCATCTGCCGCTTACTCGGTAAGAATAGGTAGGTCTAGGTGCCATCATATGTCTGTCACACGGAGGCCTAGTCACACTATTACGAGAATTCTCAGTTCTGTCGAATAGAAACGAGAAACATGCCCTTGCGAGTTTATCTTGTCGCCCAGCTGCAGCCGTCATTGGTATTCAGATTTTGTTCTGAAGCAATCCGTTCCATGATTGGAATTTTTGATGGGCTGCAGCTGCAGCCGTAGCCTGTTCAAGAAACTATGCAAAGCACTGGACGGTAACTGCGTGCGCCCCCAACGGGAAGGCCTTTCATTGGCGCTATCGTCCACCTCTCCTACTCTGCAACACCCTTGGATGTTATCATCAGAAGACAATCACTGCCGCTTTAGCGATGGGACTTTGGTTCAAAATTAAACATTATCCAGAAGGCACGCTTCCGAAAAAGTACTGCCCCTCTCGATATCAAATTACTCCTCGAAAGTATAGACAATCAAATCGCGATTTCATTGCATATTCCAGCAGCGCAAGATGTCGATTCTAGAATTCAAGAATCCTTACCCAAGTTTACCACCAACAAAGGTATCGCTCCTCCACACCTCCAAATTAGATGCTACAGCCCTGGCCAATATCGGATTCTTCAGCACTGTAGACAGAGAATCGACTCACATTCTGCTCACGGATTCTAACGTCGCCGCTTCCATGCTCGATGAATTGAAAGATATGTTCAACAACCTCCGTATAAAGATTCACCCAGTCATTGTCGTTCCCGGCGAATCGTCCAAAACGATCCAAGCATACACTCATGTGCTAGACGCCTGCGCAGATGTAGGCATCACTAAAGAGTCAACAGTCATTGGTATCGGTGGAGGGGTAGTAAAAGACCTCTCTGGATTTCTTGCATCAACGTTTTTACGCGGACTTAACCTCGTCCTGATGCCAACCACGGTGCTTGCCCAGGTCGACGCCGCCATCGACTGGAGACATTCTCTGAATCTTCCCCATGGAAAGAACCTCATCGGAAGCATCCTCGCACCTGCTGAGATATTGATAAACGCGGGCTTTTTAAAGTCCCTCAACGACCGGTGGATCAGAGATGGCCTGGCAGAGTCAATTAAGATAGCTTTATGCCAGAGCCCTGACTTCCTTACTCTTCTTAGCCAAGCAAACCCATCCGACTTCACGTGGCTTTGTCGCGTTATCGATATATCCGTCTCTGAGAAGATCGTAGCCATGAATCGTGACTCGGCACCTGACCAAGCGATGTTGGTATACGGCCACGCTATAGGACACGCGATCGAGCATCTTGCAGAAGGAGAACTAGGTCATGGAGAGGCGATTTCAATTGGCATGTGCGTCACTGCCGAACTTAGTTTGCTTGCTGGATTATCAGATGAATTAACCTTGAAGGCACATTACAACGCCTTCACGGCGTTTGGACTACCAACAATCGTTCCTGACAAGTACGATCTGCATCAGATCTGGTCTGTCATTCGTGCTGACAAGCGCTTCCGCGGAGATAAGATGTGCGCTCCCGCGGTGAAGACTATAGGGACTCTTGTGGCGGATGGTAATGGGAAGTGTTTCTTGCCATTTGGAGCAGAAATAGTGATACGTGCACTTGAGCTTAATAAATCTCGTGGCAAAACAATCGGCAAATTTGTACAAAATTAATAAAATTACGAGTATTTTATCTTAAAATATAAGCTGACACCGGTAACACTAGTGGCGCGTTAGAGATGTACGCTTACTAGAGTTCTAGCATTTCTCTACGACCTCACCAGCGGGTGATACAATTCTCTACACACCCAAGAACTTTGAAAGTAAACCCCACAACCCCACAACCCAATATCGTAATTCTGTGAACGCGGACTTGCTTTATAAGATATGGGCTATGAAGTCGTACAAAACTAATTATGTTTAGATCTCGTTGTGTTGCCGAGATTCTGCTTATTGTTTCTGGACCGCGCAGTGAGTTATGTCACCGCTAAGAATTCTAGATACGGCAAGCGACGCGAGAGGAACGATGCTTCCAGGTCCAGATCTCGCAAAACACCTTGGCGTACGCACAACCCCCAAACCACATACCAAGTAACTGCCGAAATACTTGTGCTTGGAAAAGGAAGGGGATTTTGAGGGAAATACTTGGAGTGGAAAAAGTTTATTCGAATTTTTGTTGCATTTCGAAAGCGAACTTGAGATCCGGTTTTAGCGGTTGCGCACATGTACCATACGGTGTACAGGTGGTAACTTCCGAAACGGGGTTTTATGTCAGGTAAGGCGAGATATGAGAATTTGTTGCATTTCGAATCAACTTGGCAGATTATTAGTTTCTCTTAGTTATTGGAGTTGAGAAGGTGGATGAGGTGGTGGAAGAAGTGTGGTGATTACTGTTGCAAGCCGAAGGTACTTGGCGATGTCGTCAAAGGCTTATTTCCGTGTATGTGTGTCATGGTTTTTCAAATGCCGATGGAAGGGCGTGAAATTCTGGGAGGGGATGGAATGGAAATAGTGAGGTAAGGTAATTTGATGGCAATTGGAATTTTTGGAAGTGATTGATATGTTTGTGATGGCCGTAAGAAAGTTGTGATTTTTGGGTGTAACCGAAAATGCTGGTGTAGGAGAGGCATATATTTTTGACGAACAATCGTAGTAATAAATTCAGCAGCACGCTTGTCGCAGTTCATATTTCATGTATTCGATTACTTCGTACTATTAATAAATGTCAATGCAATACCAATTGGTCGTCAAAAAGTTGAGGAACAGAATCATCATAATCCTCAGATGTTCTCCTATCACCAACCCCAGTCCCGCCACATTAATGACCCCGAAAAACATATCAAAACGTCACTTCTTTAAACCACAAACAGCAATTCCAAGAAAGAAACCACCATTTGTTGCACATCGAGCAAAATTGGCAACTTCCAAATCCCGCCTAGACAACGTTACTAGCTCCGGTACGTTGCGCGGCCACGATACTCATCATTCTTGTTCCCGGGTCTTGGTTACGTGGGCACGAAAAGGCACACGGATCCATCGATGCGGTAGCGCGGATGAGTACTTTTTTTGTTGCAGTTCGAATGAACTTGGCAGGTGTCACTTAGTTTTAGAATAAGATGCTTGTATGTAGCTGGGTTGAGGGAGTTTATGAATAACAACGAGAGAGGGGAGATGTGTGAGTGAAGATTAGAGAGAAGGTTCGTTGCACATCGACCCGTCAAATCCTTCCTTCTAGAACAATAAAATGGGAATTATAGACCTTTGAACCGTGAATCCTCGTCTGAACTTCATTATTCCCAGTAACACATCAAACCTAGTCGCATCTCATCTCCAAACCCACATCGCATAACGTCCCAAATGGGAATTCTCCACCCAGCACACGCGTCCCACGATATGCGCTTTCCTACTTCATACTGTTGCATTTCGCGCGGGTACTTGGCACGGCAAAGCGGCTTCACAAACAAGAGTTTTGCAAACTTACGAAATAGAACTTTGACTTTGTTGCAAGTCGTACCAACTTGGCAATGCGTTGGTGTTTGTTCTGGTGTCTTGAATGTGAGCCTCGGAGGCCCGGCGTCTGACGGGCTTTGACGGGCCAAGTTCTCGGCTGTTGGGTGTTGCCTCGGAGAATTTGGGGGGTTCGGCATCGAGGTGAAATTTTTGAGGGAGAGCGTTTGAATGCTTCCGTGTGCGTCTTTTGGGTGTTTTTGTTGCATTTCGTAGGAACTTGGCGATTTTATTCGAGATACCAAGAGACGGGAAAGATGTGTTTGGTTTTACTTGTCATGAAAGGCGAGTAATGAGTGAGTTTGCCAAGTCTGCCGCCGAAATTCTTGGATACTTGGTCTTGTGTCAACCAAAAACGCAGATTTTTCTCGTAAAGACTTATTGAAAATTGTTTGCTCTCGCACCTAAACAGAATCCCAATCAATTCTCCCTGCCAAGATCTTATCCTCCCGCATATTGTTTGCCTCACGAACAATGCCGGAAAGCTGCATGCCTTTGACTTTTCGGATGGCAATTGCTGACGGAACGGGACGACCACATAAAAAATAACGTAATTCTGGTAAAGTCGCACTTTGTTGCACATCGCAGATTCTGTCTCACTGTGGAACGGCCCGCTGTGGGAACTAATGTATACTAACAACGAAATTTGAACCCTTGGTTTTATCGAAAGGTTGGGGGTGGTACAGGATTTTGAGATGGCTCTTTTAATGATAATAACTTGATTCAAATCTGTGGCTTGTTGGTCAAATTGTTTCCTGAGAACAGCAGCAGCTTTATTTTCAACACTGTTAATGAACTTTGACAACTGAGATAATCTGACAGCGAAGCTGACATCCATCAATCAAATGAAAATCTTATTAAAATCACAGGCGCATTTGCTGCTTAGTTCAATCCTGAATTGATCATTCCGAATTGGAAGCAATCACGAGGTTTTGCGTCTTGCAACGCTCTTTTCCACCTGTTATCCTCAACTTGATAGGTGTCATTTCTAGCACACTAAAGGCTTGTTTATTCTACTTAAAATAATAAAATTTCTTTCCTTTATTATCATTTTCTGGTTTCATTAACTGAACCTGCGTTACTGCTCTTACCTTATTTGTTTCATTATTTCTACTAGTCAGAAGAAATATGTTTCGATCTTGACTTCAATCGTTTCACAAATGAATTTAAGATGGGTTTGGATTCTTACGTTTCTTCCACTAGAAAGAATAAGTATACTTGGTTTTTGGATTTAATCATCTTAAAGTTGAATTCAAACTAGGGTCCGATTCTCAAAATTTCTCACTTCAATCCATATCCCCGCAGTCCACATGTGATCATAGGTATTCTTAGTAGTCATTTTCAACACACATGTTTTTAAATTTTCAAAACTGCTCAAAGTGAAATCTTTACATCCATATTTCCAATACGGTAATACGTATATCATTTGACCAAGGTTCCACATGATTCAAGCCCAGTTTTCAAAAAACACTCCCGATATGTCCATAGATATCTTACTGCGTTTCTATATGTCATATACACATGCCTTTTTGAGCAAAATAATTCGTGATTCAATTGTAATTTCCGAGGTATTCACAGTATCTCTATACTGGAAGTCCACATGTCCAAAAACATATCCTTTGAGCAAGATGGGAAGTGATTCGAACATAATCTTGAGGAAATAGTCACAACTTCTCTGTACATATGTCACTTCCTATTCATGTGTTTAATAAAATCAGCTTTTTGGGCAAGAAATAAGCTACAAAATGAGTGATTCAAGCGCATTGCAACGAAATTATTCACACTATCTCTATCCATATGGCACTTGCTATCCACTTGTCTCATACACATGGCTTCTTGAGCAAGTTTATAAGTGATTCAAGCTCAATTTACAGGAATTATTCACAGATTTTCAATGCTGGTAGTTCGTTTGTCCCGTACAAATATCATTTGAGCAATATAATCTGTTATTCAAGCGTAATTCAGAGGAGAAACTCACAAAATATATCCATATGTTCAATACACAAAAAGTTTGAGCAAAAGAATGTACGATTCAAACTCAATCTATACCAAGTACTCACAACTTCTCGAAACCGTGATTGATCAGTCTCTCAAACCGTTATTCACAACCTCATTCCCAAGTCTATAAAACCCGCTTCTTCCCACTTGATTTTCTCTCTCCAGAACAATAATCTAAACCCCTTCTCCAGCTTCAACTCAACAAGCAAAACCAGAACACCAGAATAATCAAAACAACAAAACCACAACCACCGCTCTACCCTCCAAATCCAAAATATCTGACCGCAAATCTGAACCCAGTGTCAAGTCCCAGCTCGATGAACAATTGAAGGAGGAGAAAGCAAAATATGATCAAATCCAACTCGACAAAAATAAAAACAACGCCAACATAACTGCTGCTTTGCGCGACCATAAGGGTACGGTTAAAGCTGGCAAGAAAGGAGGCGTTCCGAGTGATGCGCACGAAATGGCTGCACCTAGCATGAAATATGGTCATAAAAAGTAAATATTGAATGGTTTGGAATGTGTGGAATTGGAAGAGGATCTTGAAGTTTTGGGTGGAATGCGATTCAAGGGACGTGTTGGAGGCATTTTGGAGGATTTCTGGACATCGATCACGGGTTTGGGGATTTAGGGACGATTTCGGGGCTTTTTAGGTATAGATATCGGTGTTTTTCAGGATATAAAGGACTACTTGAGACATTTTGAATATATTAGGTTAGAGTTATATGGTTTTGGATAACTGTTAAGGAGTTCTCTGGCTTTGCTGGATGAGGATTGTATGAGTATTGTACGATTGGAAGGACATAGAAAAGATATATACTGATTTCGAACTTTCGAAAGATCAGGTTCTTTTGATGAGTTGTGAGGTCTCTTTGCGTTGGGCATCAGAGCTCGCTTATTGATTAGAGCTTTAAGAAGATTGCTCGCGGAGGTAAGAGAAAGTTCGCGAGCTAATAACTAAAAGAAAAAGTTTAGCATTGCGACATAGTACGTCTTCAACATACATGAGAGTTTTGAGGACTTCTTTATTCGGATTCTCGAAATACATAGTTGTTTTGCAGCACAGATCGTCGCTTGAGAAGGGGGAGGCAAGCGAGAAGTCACGAGATCATATCTTCTTAGGGACTAGCTTCTTCGGCCGAACCATTGGCTCGGTACTCCCTTGATTTATTTGTGGCGGCGGCAATCTTTTGCAAAAAAGCAATCAACGACAAGCGTTCCTATGCGACTTCCAAGTCTCTACCGTAACTGAAGATAAGAAACACATCTTTCATTCCCATCATGCCATCCAATCCACTCAAACCCTTTTTCGCTCTTATACCACGCAGAAATAGAGTTTCCTCACGACCCGATCAGACACAAGCTCGCAGAAACTAAGCCCAAAAGATCACAAGTCGCATCTCTGTGGAAACAGACCACGAAAGTGTCTCAAAGCTCTAGTCACCTTCTCCCATCCAACGAAATTTCTTTGTTGCAAATCGCGAAACGCATGCAGGATTGCGTCAATGAGGTGAGCATGATCAGAGGAGGGTCCGAACGTGCAGAAAAGGGGAGGATCCCCCGGCGTGTTGCATGATGGACATCACGAGGGTTTTGTTTTTTTGGCGAGGGATGGGATGTTTGTTTTTTGGTTTTGGAGTTCTACAGATAAGGTGAGGGAAAGCTTTTGGTATTGAGATGGACTGATTGTTGCGTAGGTATCGGGTGGACTGGATTGATGATTAATGGTGGTAGGTGAAGAGGCGATTTACCCCTTTTTTCGACTTTCGCGATTTCGCGTCGAACTGATAGCCGGGATAGGTTAGAAGCGCTGATTGTGTCAATCGTCCTTTTGTGCCCAGACTTCAGACTGGAACCAGAAAATGTCGAGTGTCTGTGGAGTCTGTGAGTGACATGAGGTTAGCCGTATCGCACCAGTTTTGGTAAGAGGTGGAGTGCGGCAGAAAGATTTGCGCCGCAACAACTCTCTTTACCTACCCGAAAACAACATCATCTTTTTGACGAACATCGTGGATGCGACGACCGAGTCTCCATCGGAAAAATGCTATTTCCTTTTAATATGAGTGGTGGGTGGATGAAGTTTATTGCCGGTCCCGGGTATCTGGTGAGAATGCTGACGCTCAGCCTCATCTCACCACATACGTCGCCAACGACACTTTTTGAGCTTCTCTTTCGAGATTATCCAATGGGTGGGCGACAAGAAATGCAGGTGAGTGAGATGGTCATAAATTCAGGGTAAGATTCGAGGAGCTCCATGTTCTCTCTCCACTTGAGCTGTGTCGACATCTGGAACTATTACCATGAGGTCGGGTATTGAAGATTTGTCTTCTCATTTAAAGGAGGTTTCTTTCTTTTTGTCTTCTATGAACGCTTCTTGCTCATCATATCTTTCAAACCATCATCGCCCACGATTTCTACTCCCAGCACGATGGAACCCTACCGCCATGAAGGTCATTTCTCAAACCCCCGAATAGAAATCTACTCACCTCACTCATCCGAGTCTCAATCTATTCCTCACGGCGCCGCACAAGGCTATTATGCCGACCCTGACCTACAAGAATCAAATCAAACACTCCTCTCTCAATCAGCACACCTTCCACCTTCAGATAACCAAGCATATACTCATATCTCCTCCACAAACCGTCTCCTCCCTCTTTCCCACGAAGAACCCACCTTCATTCGCAAACCACGCAACCAAATCTCCCATGTCATCCGCGTAACATGGCGCGTTCTCAGTCTCATCCTCAGTCTCACCATCATCGGATTCATCTCTCATATCCTCTACCTCCACGCCCGAAGCGAGCATGAGAAGTTCAAGTATTCAAGCGGGTTGGAATTACCAGCTTGGCCAGATGACAATAAACTGAAGTTATATCCGACCTATTTGTATCTTGCAGCTGCGATATTTGCTGCGGCAATAAATTTTATGGCTCTGATTCTGGTAATTTCTTGTTCCAAAAGAAGAAGATAACAACTTACTTACTAGTCCCAGGTCAAATTCAAAATTTTCATCAAACTCCGCCCGCTAATCTCGATCCCTTCTACCTTTCTAGCAAGTCTCCTCTGGTTAGGCGCGGTGGTTTATTTCAAGAGCTGGGATAACAAGAAAGATAATTCGGCATATGATATCTGGACTTGGACTTGCTCACATAAGAATTTTGAAGTTAGTTATGGGAACAAGGTCCTTGGATTTGGGAGAATTTGTGGGGAGATGGTATGTTTACCTTTTAGTCTTGGTGCTGTGGTCGTCTGCTGATGTGCGAGTAGACTTATGTTTACTATGCGGGAGTTTCGATTTTCAGTTTGGAGATCTTGAATCTTTTTGCGCAGGTTTGGAATTTAATTAATTCAAAGAGGAAAAGCGTTGCGCCAAAGAAGGTAAGATTACACATTATTTCCTCTCTTGCAATTCTTGACGCTAATTCCTTGAAGCAAAAACCGAGTGGCGGCATAGGCTGGAGTATGCGTATTGGCCGTGCTTTAGGGACTATGATTTCTTGATTATTGAAGACTTGTTCCCAATGAGAATATATACATGCCAATAGTCCGATTTAGATACCCCCACAATCGAGCTATCACATTCCACGCTTACCCCTTCCCGGACCGACCCGCAATCTTCACCTCCTTAGCTCGCGCTTTCTATACTATTTGTTGCATCTCGCAATTTTGTGTTACATTCGGTAGTTGCCTTAGTTCCTCCACCTTTAAACTCTAATCCTCTCCTCAATTTCCCATTTCTCCTCCCCTTCCTTTCCCTTTCTGACCTCGAATAAACCACATGCGCTCTCCTTTCTTCCGCATACAGAAATCACGTGATGTTTCAGATACCAGATCTAGATTGTGGTCGTGCGCGATCGATGGATCGTCCAAGATGCTTTTGTTGCATATCGCGAGAACCTGCATGAGATTGCAGATACGCAAGGTGGGTTCTTTTTGTGTTTGGGGAGATGGAAAGGGGTCTGGTGATGGATGGCGTTGGAGGGCTCACGTCAGATGACCGGTGCTTAGGTGGTGGTGAGTGAGGATGTTAATGTTGATGTGTAGTGTAAGACTTTGATTTTACGGATAGAATAATAAGTTGTTATAAGTGTTAAAAAAATAAAATGGAAATGAGAGAAAACTTGATTTCAGCTCCGTAAATAATTTCAGATTATTATTCAAGGCTGTTCATGTACTCCAATGAAGTATTCTGCCGCCTTTTACCGCCTAAATGAATTAATTGGACCAATCACATACTAGCGTCAGGCGGATCTACTTCTACAACGACAGTATTGGAGCGTTCAGCTCAATAAAAAACAAATCGCGAATTCGGTCATTAACGCTTTCGTCGCTTTGGTTGTTACACCAAACTGACTGGTCTCGAGTAAGCCACGTAGAATTAGTCGTGACGCTCTGGAGTGGTATCTCCACAGCCTCGCGACCACTACCAACATGACCTCTCATCCATCGATCGCGACACTCTCCACATCGACCTTCATTACATCCACAAACCTCTTTATCTGGGACACTTTCAAAGACTACCATGAATTTGGCGAAAGGAGATGAGACTGCCAGCGGCTTGCCAAACAGACCACGGTCGGCCAATCACGATCAGGCTTGCACCGAAGATCAAGGTGAGCGTGGTCGAGAACCCCCTCGCAGCACGCGTCTGAACGACTGGGCACGGAAACCATTCAAATCGCTTCTGGCAAGAATAGGGAAAGTGTCAAATTCACAGATCAAGCAGCAGGAACAGGCTGTTGACGCTGGCGTGGGAGCCTCGTCGGCTTCCAAGGTTCTGACTTCGCAGATTACACAGCATAAGCAGACGGTCAAATCTAGCGTAGGAGCCTCGTCGGCTTTCGTGGTTCCAACTTCACACAATAAGCAGCAGGAGCAGCTAGATAACTCTGGCGAGGGAGCCTTCTCGGCTTCCAAGGTTCCGGAGAAACAACTTCATAGTAGTGCCCGCTCCCGGAATTCAGGTGACGAAGGCTCGACCTCAAAAACGTGCTTAGAGGCTGCAATAGAACAGATTAATTTTAAGAGCCCAGGTTTACAACTTGCCAGTGATGACAATAACGCCAAGATCGCACAAAGAATATCTGAACAACTTAAATATCTGAAAAAGAGTCAAACTCGTACCAAAAACGTCGTTCAGAATACTATTCGATACATTCTAGTTTTTAAGGGCCTTGCGAATTCTTTTACAGCCTTTGATCCTACGAAAGGGTCTCGTATCGTCGTGGGTGGACTTTATGGGATATTAGAGGTAAGGAGAATGTTTCATGTTCTTGGAGCTTCGGTGTATCGATATAATGAATGTTATAGTATAAGGGTGCATCAAACATTCCATCGTGGACACTGGGGCTACCCGGTCTTGTAACGGTTGTTCATACACTCCAATATTCCTTTTAGATGCGTAATTTCACATATTTTTTGCTGAGATCTGAAGGACTTGTGATTAATATATGACTTCATAGACTATCCTGCAATCAACAAATTTGGATGAACAAAAAATCCAAGACATTGATACTGTAGCGTCCAAACTGGCCTACTGGGCAAACATCGAAAAGTTGTATTTGAATACCCAACAGAGCAAAGTGGCTAGCTACTTAGAGGAGCTACGCTGCAGTATAGTGGAACTTTATACAAAGTTCCTCAATATGGAGAGGCTGGTGCTGTTCAAGAAACGAAATAACGTTTTCGGCAAGCCAACCCACTGTGAAAACCAAGTGAACAGTGCTGACTTGACGTTGCCGCATTTCAGACCATCTTGGTGCGGTTGCCAAAGCACCCACGGAGGCACCCAACTGGGCCAAGTTGATTAATGAATTCAGAGTGTCCCAATCAAATTGCGAAACGAAACTTAGCATACTGAAAGATAGCCTTGGAAAGCGCAAAGACATACTCGAGTGGTTGTCCGCTGCCGATCCGCTATCGGAACACGAGAAAATCCTTCAGCGAACTCATGTAGCGGACAACTATCAACAATGTGGCGAATGGCTATTAGAAACCCAGGAATACGTAGATTGGGCTTCTGAAGACTATTCCAAAACAGATTCTGTTTTGTGGCTTCGAGGTACAGGTACAAATATCACGTTTCCTCAACTCTCTTTCCGGATTGCAGTAGTGACTGACTGACTAATGGTCGTAGTTGGAACTGGGAAAACAACAGTTCTGTGAGTGCAATAGCAAAATATCAGCATACTACTATTCTAATGAATACAGCGCACGCGTCATAAATTGGCATCTTGAAAGGTCATCACAATTTCTCGAGCATCGCTTTGCGTACGCCTACTGTTCCAGAGCGCAGGCGCTAGACAGCAAGACCTCTTATATTGCAATTCTTAGGTCCTTGCTTCGACAAGCCTCTTTTAACCAACTGACGGGTGAATGCCCTGATAACATAGTAGCATTTTTCAACGATAGAAGTCAGAGTGGAAAAGCAGCACCCTTAGAAATTGTGTCTCACATTTTGGAACAGCTCACAGCAATCCTACTAGCTGGTGTCAGACTTCGTGTGATGATTGATGCACTCGATGAGTGTGATGCGCCAATACTACTGTTAGAAGCCCTTGCCAAATTATATCAAGAAACGCCCAAGAACCTGGAGATACTGATGACCAGTCGACATGAAGTTATGGTTAAGGATATAGATACATTTGGCCACTGTCGAGAGATCAACCTGAACACTTTCTTAACTCGTGCGGACATGGAGAACTTTATCAATCTCGAAGTCAGAGGCCGAGAAAAACATTCTAGGCTGTTAAAAGGCGAACACCCAGATTTGGAAAACAGGCTGATTAAGGTTCTTGAGATGAAAGCTGGCGGAATGTGAGTGCCTGTGCTATTTGCCGATATTCTCCTATTAACAGATGTCATTTAGGTTCCGCTGGGTCCAGTTACAGTTGTCATTATTTCTGGCAAACAACAAACTTAATCACCCCAAGGATGTCGAGAAGAAACTGGCCTTATTAGAAGCCGGCTCCGTAGCCGGCGTAGAAGAGCTTAATCAGGCTTACGCCGATGTTTTTAAGCGGAATACACCACAAGGCGACATTGAAAAAGGCCATGCGGTCAAACTTTACAAAATCCTACTTTGCCGCAAGGATGGACTCACGGCAGCTGCATTAGCTGAAGCGTTGGCTTTTGATGAGAATGAAGCCGAGCATTGGATGTACGATGACATATGGGAGATGGCTGACATAGACAAGAAAGTTATGGACAGTACAGTGACCGGTGCATACGTTCTCGGTCTTTGTCGCGATTTTGTGACTGAATTTGACGATGATTCGTTGGATTTTGCACACATTTCGGTGAAGGATTACCTTCAGGGCGAAGGAACGGGAAGCCTGCCGGAAGATCAGTTCTCGACGGCACACTGCACACAGCAAATGGCCAAGCTTTGTTTGAGATATTTTATCACAAGGAACGAAGAACCGCCCATAGCACCAGCCGGATGGCGATCACCCACGCATAATTTTATGTTTTACGCGTGGGAGAGATTGGGAGAACACTGCTCTGAGCTGAGCAAAGAATTGCGTGTTGAGTCTGGAATTACCGCCGACCTTGTGAATTGGATGCAGGTTGCGAAGGGCCGCAACCCGTTTACCAACTTCCTAAAACTAGGTCGGTCACACATGGCCTCCTTATTGAATCATGTTCTTCAGTCAGACAGCAACAGTGCGATATTTGCCGCGTGTGCCTGGAATTTGGTCGAGGTCGTCGAGAGTTTGATCGTTACATACCCAGGGTATATTAACTTGCGGAATGTGCAGGATTCCACACCACTCTATCTAGCTTGCTGGTTGGGGAGGGCCCAAGTCGTCGAGTTGCTTCTTGATCTGGATTTGGCGGATGTAGAAGGAATAGGGACCAGCGGTTCTGCCCTCGACTGTTCCGCCTTGCATGGCGCCAGTGACCCGGCAATTGCCCAGCTGCTCTTGACGAAATACCCTGAATTAGTCCACAGTGTCGATTCATTAGGGCGCACACCACTATTTGAAACTCAGCACAGTTGGGAATGGGCGGCTTTATTAGTGAAAGTCTACCTCGAGAATGGCGCGAATGTTGATGCGACCGACAATGATGGGGAGACTGCCCTACATGTAAATCTAAGCAATCCCGAAGCAACGCGGGTGCTTGCCGAGAAGGCCAAGGCCGATGCTCGCGATAAACAGGGACGAACCCCACTTCACATAGCTGCCGAAAATGCACTGCTACCAGCGGTCCAGATCCTCACTCGCAGGACCACGGTCGATCTGGCGGATGATGGGGGCATGACCGCACTGCTTCATGCAGCAGCCAACGATATGGATGAAGATGGATATATCGAGACCATTGAGCACCTTCTAGGCTTCGGTGCATCGATATCGTCTACAAACAGTGAAGGCCAAGGTGTTGTACATTTAGCTGAAAATTCCCGAGTTGTTGAGTATTTCCTGCGCAGCGACGCCCATGCGCGCAATCCCAGGGATCAGCTAGATGCGAAGGATAAGGATGGGGACACCCCAATACTTCTGGCAGCACGCTTCACCATGGTCGCAAAGATGATGACCTTGATCGAAGCAGGGGCAGATGTAAAAGAAAAGAATAATGCTGGTCAAAATAGCCTTCATCTGATCATGGGAGATGCGAAAGTTAATTTTCCGTCAGATGCGTCGTATGCTTCCCATTTCTTGAAGCATGAATTGGAGATTGCAACAATTGTGCAGGCCTTGATTTCCCGAGGCTGCGATATAAAACACAAAGACAAAGATGGTAACCAACCAATTCACTACATCTTCGGTTCCGAAGCAAATTATAATGCCTCGTCCAATGACATTCTTGCTCGAATGCCTTTTGTAAAGTGCAAGCTAGCATGTCTTGTCGAAGCAGGCGTCTCAGTTACATGCCCGGACAAAGAAGATAAGACCTTCATCGATCATTTCCTGAGTTACCTAAAGCATCACGAACGACATATAATGGAAGAGCTTGATGCTCCTTTTAATCACGACTTCGTCACCGGACTTCCAAATTTGTTGTCATTTGTGGAACACTGTCTAAAGTTACAGGGCAGCTCAACTAGTACCTCGAGCGCCATGGGGGAAATTGGGCAGATTATCGAGCGACTGGAAGCAAGAAAACTAGAGCTTACAGTAGTTTCATCGGACGAATCAAGTGAAGTATTTTCATGGAACGATTCAGTTGAGTGGCCGAATGACTGGCCGAGGTATGATATCCACGTCCTTTAAATTGTTATACGATAAAAAAATCTTAGTATTCAATTAAAAGTCTTTAGAGCTGAGAAGCGTTGAAAGGTTAGGGTTTTATAGTACTGACAAAGTACTCAATCTTGCAAATCAAGAAGTTGCTTGAGCGAATATTAGATAGTAATACAGTAAAGGTTAAAGATTTAGAAGGGGCTTAACTTAAGGTTGTCTGATAGTACGTTTACAGGCAACAAGGTCGAGAGCTATGTGGCCGTATTCATTCGGTAATAGATTCATTACTACTACCGTAGGTCTGTTCACGGATTGCAAGTCCAACGTGACAAGTCCTTATGTTAGAATAACGATGTTCGGCCTAAAAGCTATATTTACTTAATTACTCCGAGTAAATATACTCTATTGCCTCTATCACAAAAGCCAAATATATTTGTTAAGGAAGGAGTAGTAGATTTTCGAGTTCTGGCAGTATAACACTTAGAGGGTGTCCCATTAGTCTCGCAACGCAATAGCGGTTTATTACGAGAATATAAAAAGATAAGGGGCATAGTGAGGAACACGTCCTGGTCCGAAACACATTCGAAGTGTACTCGATTCTCACACTCCTAGAATTTACCTAAACCGTTCCATGCAGCCCACCAGCGTCTGCACTAATAATTCTCTGTTCACTCCATAAGTTCTTGTATAGACCTTTACCACCACAACCTTTATTTAAACTTCAAAAGATATAGCATTGTCAACTGAGTCTAGGAGTATAGCCTGGCAGAGCTTTAATAACTAAAAGTAGTGCTGAGAGGCAGCCTTTTAATTTTCCGTTGCAGGAGTACGCAGAGAATTAGCGTAGACACAGGTGGCCCCTTTCAGTGTGATATGCGCCGCTACAAAGTGCTGCTTCAGAGTGACTTCAGATATCCGCTACTTCGTATGATAGACATTTAAGCAAGGAGGCCAGGTGTTCGTCTGATTTTTTTGATCGCGATTACGAAGCTTTCATGTTGATGTGCTGTCAACAGGGACCTAGCTGCTTGACAGCACTATATCTGACATGTTATATGCGACGACCTAGTAAGCAAATGCTGCACCTGTTTTCTTGTCGCTAAAATTGATTCGAGAATTTAGTAAGGAGAAGATGGTCAACGTAAGACAAGAAAGAAACAGATCCTAGCTGTTAATCTTTGCACAAGATATTTGTAGTCTTTGCTATAATTAAGGAGAGTATTAAAGTATGAAGGGTAATATATGTCGCATTAAAGGGGTCAAAAAACATAGCTGTCGGAAGCGAAGCTTTCAAGGATCATCGAAGGGTTTTTGTGCTCAGGTAAGGTCCCTTGATTGCATGTCCAGGGAACACTCCAGGATTTTACATCCACAGCCTCCTCATTACTCGCAATACTTCCTCGCTACACCGCACTCAACAGCAGATCCAACATTCTTCGTAGCAGAGACGGGTAGATCTTTGCATAAATCGTAAAAGCAAAAGGAGAGATTGGAATAGTAATAACTGAGCGTACTAATCTCTCGTGGCAATGAAGAAGCCACTCCCCCTTCGATGCCGCTTCCGAACTCTGGGACGTCGCGTGGAGAGATGATGTTAACTGGGAATGGCCTCATTCTGCGGACTGCGAAAGAAAAAGTATTCAATAGAATACCAATCTCTTCCCTTAGATACCGCGCCGATAACCCTTAGATCGCGGTCGCAGTCAACCTCACGACCGCGACTCGTCCGCCAATTCGCTGACACAGCAAACCCCACCTCCGAACACGGTGACGTTGAAAAAACGAACCGCGAAAAAGAAATCCTGTTCGCGCATTCAAATCATTCCAGCGAGCATAGAAATCCCGGATTCGAGTGGTCGCGCGACGATCAATTGTCTGTTATCTTGGAAATCTGGAGCGAGAAGGGAGATACACCTGTTTGGGAGAAATCTGAAGCCGCGATTAATTGGGGTCAAATTCCAAAATTGTCACCTCCGCCGCCGACGCCAGAAGGGAAGGGAAAGAGGACTAGGTGGATTGATCACGAGTATCCGGACCTTAAATCACCGGAAGTGGAATATTATCCAAAGATGTCGTCTTCCGGGAGAGGAAGGGAGAGTCCTATTACTCCTCGTTCAATTGAACCACCACCAACTGATGTATGTTCAATTCGCGATTCAAATTTTGCATGACTGACATACCAATTAGCTCGAATCGATATCGCAAATCGACTCTTCCCTCATATTCGAGCATTTCACAGCGGCAGATGCATGGGAACTCGGATCAGCGCTTCGAAATCGTCTCCTCCCCATTCCAACGCCGGTCGTCATCGACATCTCCCTCGCAAACCAGAATCAAATCCTATTCCACACATGTACACATTCCGGCGTGATGCCCGACAACGATAGCTGGGTTGCTCGAAAGCGGAAAACAGTGCTGCGATGGGGTGTCAGTACATGGTATATGCATTGCAAATTCGATGGCGACGAGGTTGCCTTCAAGGAGAAATACGGATTGGGAAATAGTGGCGGAGAGTACGCTATTCATGGTGGAGGCGTGCCGATCCGAGTTACCGGAGTAGAGGGCGTAGTCGCCGTTGTGGTCGTTAGCGGCTTGAAACAGCATGAGGATCATGGAGTTATTGTTGAGGTAATTCGAGAACTTTACTATTAGGGGAAAGGGATGTGCATATAAGGTGGAGTTTTGATATTTTTGGTACGTCAAACGTATATATGGAGGAGCATTTATAGAGGACTGGATGATGCATTGATTTTGGATAGATTTAGACTTTTCGACAATATGCAGATATTGCAAATATGCGACCTTCCCATTTAAAATCTGCATTCCAGTCTTCGCCAGGCTGTAGCTAAGTAGCAGCAATTTCCGTTAATACACCGATTCTCCTAGTCGTGCCTTCCATCCGAGCAGCAGACTTGCCGTCAGCAGCATTCACCAGGGTTTTTTATTCTGCTTTCTCGTTGAACAGCACTCCCTTTATCTGCGGCACTCACAGCTTTCGGTATATCTAGTTTGGATTTCAATATATCTTTTACTCTCGTTACTTTTTATTTGCTTTGATCACGACAGTCCGTCGAAGCGGCCATGAGGACTCTGCACCATTTCTTGAACGCTTTGCTCTGGTGTTTCGTGTTTGCGGCACCGAGTCGAAAACAGCATGCCCACGAGTCGATTGAACCAGGACGCAAATGCGATCCTAAAACGTACATGCCAGGCACATATAATCTTCCCTCGGAAACTCAATTCGCCGTTGAAGTCATCGCTGCATCCGCCTCCGAGAAACCGCTTTTCAAGAAACCGCAATATCTTTCGCTCGAGAATAAAATCAGCCCAAACGATCCAGCGTTCGACTATATAGCGAATCCGCTTCAGCATATGAAGTCGTCCCAAGGCATCGCTACCTTCCAGTTCGAGACTAACGGAACCTTGACAGCGGATGGATTTATCTGCGGGCTTGTTTGGGAGAATTGGAGTGATGAGACTTCTCGAATTCTGTCCTGTCCGGCACTTGCTGCATTGAATCCTCAAAAGTCAGATTGGGTCGTCCGCTCTGCGTGTGTCGACAATATCGAGAAGCTTCTTTTATTACCTTCTAAGGACGATGGACATGATCGAGATGACAAAAGTGTCTGGCTTGTCAGTATCGAATTTGGTTCGCTCCTCGAGCGTAAGCCACGGATCCATTATGCGAAGCTTAGCAAGAGCAAGAATGGTAAATTGATCTCAATCTCAACATAGTTTCATGAAAGCTAACTGTCTTCACCACTTCAGAAGCGCCTGTTATGCTCATTATCAATCCTCGCCAGCTGCCTGATGTCTTAGTGACGTTACCAATTGAAAACGAGGCGGTGCGGCCAATTCAGATGAAGCATGGCGTTGGATATCAGCTTCTATGTGCTCTATTGAAGTCTAAAAAAGGATGGGAGTCGAAGCTCTGTTGATTATTTTTCGTGCTAGTTGAAAAGGCACTGTCCTCGACAAGCAAACATTCGTACAACTTTTGATTCTGCTTCTAAAGGAACTCACGACATGGAAACAATCTAGACACCAACACTAGGAAGATGAAACAACTGCACTCTCCACGACAGGGATACAGTAGATACCGACACTGGGAAGATAAAACAGCTATCAAAGTTTGATAGGAGATGCATTGCACAAGCGAAGTAGCGTACTCCCAAAAGAGTACTTTTAGTGTTATTTTGCCCCTTGATGGCGAGTCTGATACTTAGGTAGGTATTTGGTGTTTATTTAATAAAACTCTGGCAACCCGATTATTAAGGTATGAGGCTTCTCTAAGTCACATGACCATTATACTCTACCTCTCAGCTCCCACAAAACAAACAACTCCGCTCCATCCAGGTCTGGAGGACTATTTTTTGATCCTCCGCCATTGTTTGTCGTTGTGTGATTTTCGCTACTGCTTCAACATGGCCACTTGCTACATTGAATTCTCAACGCAATAGTTTGTGACTTCCAGCTTGCTCGCTGGAGGCTGGAGCCTGGCGCGTCAGCCTTTGAATCTCACTTCGACTTTTCACTCCGACGACAGAGACCTTCTGTCGAGTTCTCAGGAACGGAAATACGACGAGCTTAATTTTCAGCCTCTGGAAACCCGTCTTTTGTCTTCAAATTCGACATTGAAATATACGCAAGTCTTCAGCTAGAGTCGTGGCAAAGACCCAGGTGTACATCGCTTGCAACAGAGCCGACCATGCGTCTCATACATGTTCACACTCGACAACTGTCTGAGTTTTATGGCTCAAACATCCCAAGATACTCAATTCTGTCCCATTGTTGGGGCTCAGAAGAAGTCACTTATCTGGAGATTTCGACATCTGTGTCGTTTCCATCCTCACAGAAGCTAGCGTATATGGAAAAGGTTGGGTACGCAAAGATTGATTCTGCATGTATCCAAACTGCAAAAGACGGTCTTGAGTGGCTGTGGGTTGACACTTGTTGTATCGACAAAAGTAACAGTGCTGAGCTCAGCGAAGCTATCAACTCGATGTACAAGTGGTACGAAAACTCCGTGGTATGTTATGCCTTACTGGAAGACGACGCTAGCATAAGAAGTACGGCCGCCAACGTGTGGTATAATTTTCACCATGACAGATGGTTTAGTCGTGGTTGGACATTGCAAGAACTCATCGCGCCAACGACGGTCCGATTCTTCGATAAAAACTGGTCTTACCTCACTAGTAAAGCGAACGCCACATCCTCAAGCCGTCTCGAGGAACTGACTGGAATTCCAGCTGATGTCATAGTCGATCCAAGCTTAATCCAGTTTTACGGAGTTGCCGCCAAAATGTCATGGGCATCAGGCAGAAAGACGACAAGAATTGAAGACACAGCGTATTCGCTTATGGGGCTCTTTAAAGTCAACATGCCACTCTTGTATGGAGAGGGAAAGAGTGCATTCATCAGACTTCAAGAAGAGATATTGAAAGACTCGGATGATCATTCTATATTTGCTTGGGATTTCCAAGATGGACACGAACGCGAGATGTTCCGCTTTCGTGGAGTCCTAGCTGACGACCCCTCGAGATTTGCGGCGAGCGCATTCATTGCGCCAGGTTCTCGTAGGTCAGAAGATGGCTTGACACTATCTGCGAGACCATACTCGATGACCAACAAAGGCTTACGAATTCATTTGAGGAAAGTCTTCAGCAAGAAACTAGACTGTTTTGTTGCTTTACTGGACTGCAAAAGTGGGAAAACCATCCAAAATAGAAGTTCTCATATAGTCATGATTTTAGATCAGGCTCCTCTGTCCCCAGCCGGTACGTTTCTTCGTGGGACTACAAGGTACTTGCAAGAAAATTTTGCGCAACAGGAACTGAAGGCCCCGGACGGGCCATCTGAAATCTATATCCTTAAAAATTTCCAGATCAGAACTCAGGTACAAGACGTTCGTGGTCTTTATGACCATTACGAGACTTGTCTCATTCGATCCGAATCGATGCTGAAATCAGGATATGTAATCGAACCAAGTTGCCTTCCCTCTGGCGCAGACTGGCATGATAGGTATCAAATGATACATTTTCCCCACCGCATACAAAGTTTGTTGGCCAGGAGGATCATAGCCGTTGGCTTCCACAATGTAGACAGAGGCTCCGATTGCTCGTTGTTGCTATCTGTTCCTCGACGAATCGGCGATGAGTGTGTACGGATTCTGGATCACAAAATCGACCAAGCTGCAAACTCCGGTTCACTCGGACATGTATACGAAAGAGAATTTTTACCTGCGAAGAAATGGCCGCTTGGGGACGATACTTATTGTTACAGTAAAATAAACAATCAATTCTTTACTGCCAGGGTCATAAAAGACGAGGTTATGGGTCGAAAGATTATTATTGTGGATATTGGCGTTTCCGATAAAGGTTACACGGAGTTTGACAGTGAGGGGGCTGCGGTAGATTTATCTGTTGACCGTCAAATCGTTCTGCAAGGATTTATCGAGAATCGTGAGAAGGGATGGGTATTTTAGATTGGCCACTGACTTTTGAAGGCTGTACACTGCCATTTCTAAAGGATGATGTTCGTTGGGCAACATAAGGTTGCCAACAGAAAGGGGGCTTAGCGAACTCAGCCTAACAAGCAGCGACACACTGATCTATCGGCATAAGGGCTCGTAGGTGACTCCTCATATCTGAAAATGCATCTAAGAAACGTTATCGTCCGCCAGGAGTCTTCCATTCGTCGAAGATTCTTTCAAGTTTCGCTTTGCTCGACAATCATCTCGGGTTGAACATACTCGACGATGACCACGTTTTCATCAATAATTTCTCACAGTCACCACCTAGCTTGATCTCCTGAAGAAGACAAAAATATTTAAAGCTCCTTCTTGATCGGTATCGTGAGTTGGATCTTACCGGGCAAGCCTAAGAATTAGCGTAACTTGATTGAGTCACTCGCCGCTTCCCTAAATGGAGTGACCAGAAGTCAAAACCAAGTCGGAACCCACCGTCCACAAGATTTCCTTTTGGTTTTGGTCCTGAGTATTGATTGAGGACGCTCATTCTCAGAACTTGAATACCTTTCGTAATTTTGGTTGTTATTCGGGCATAAGATTCATATTATACTTCCTCCTAGGGACCGGAATTCAAAACTTCGGGTCTATTATCCAACTGATCAGAATCTCCAAATTGACCGAACTTTGTTTCCAGTATGGCGGTCGAAATTACAGAGCCAACGGCAGACTTCAATATAGAAGTTGGGGAGGAGTCAGCCCCACACGAACCTAGCACATTGTTTCCTAAGATTGGGGGTAACATGAATGAATTCGTTCAGAATTATCACTTTCACACCAAACATATCAGTACAGTTGGACACAATGCACTCATAGACACGAAAGCCAACACTATAGTGCCACTCATTGGCACCGTTAAACTCCACGGAACACATGCCGATCTTGTAGTTTACTCCAACGACAAAATTCTCATACAAAGTCGAAACCTACAAGAACTCACGGCTGAACACGATAATCTTGACACGTACAAAATGTTAGCACCTCTCCGTCCTGAAATCCTGAAATTGCGCGATCGCTATCACGCGCGATTCAAAGAGTTGAATCCAACCACGCCGATTGAAGATTCTCATCCGACGATCATTGCAGGCGAATGGGTTGGTCCAAAAATTCAAAAACGCGTCGCACTAGCTCAATTGGAAAAAAGAGTTTTCGTGATACTGTGTGTCTCGATAAACAACAAGTGGCTATCGGATATGCCATATCAAGATATCCACGACGAGGAAAACGGATTCTATAATGTCTCAAAGGGCGGCTTCTATCACAACTACATCGACATTAACGACCATGAAGGTTCCAAGAAGAGACTTCAAATACCCACACTGGAGGTTGAGAAGGAGTGCCCGTTCACGAAAACCTTCAACATATCCGGAATGGGCGAGGGAATCGTCTGGAAAACCTACCATCCCCTTGGCGCTGACGCAAAATTCTGGATCAAAACCAAGGGTCATCTTCATCGCGTCACAGACCACGATAAAATCACAGAACATGATGCGAAGCAATCGCAAAAAGAGAAAGTGGGATCGTTTGTAGAAGCAACAGTTACGGAAAATAGATTGGTGCAAGGATGGGATTACATGGCGGAAATGGGTCATGTGAGAGATAAGATGGGAGTACAAGTGTTTATTGGTTGGGTTTATGGGGATATCATGGAGGAGGAGAGAAGTCTTCTTGCGGAAATGGAGTTAGTTGAGTTTGATGTGAGGAATAGAATTGGGGGTGCAGCGGCGAGGTGGTACCTGGAGAAATTGAAGACTTGGAATGCTGGTGAAGAGGAGGGTTTATGAGCTTTGGGGAGCTTTCTGGTTCTTGTAATTTGACATTGGGAGATTGTGTACTAACTATCGAGCGAGCGGGAAGCCCAAATATCCATTACTTTCAGCTATTCAGATAGGCTTTGAGGAATCGCGTTTATAATGTTATATGCCTTCCGTGAGACCCAGATGACTACCAAGGTTTTGAGTACAGTAAGCGAGAGAATAAGGAGCGGGCCGTACCTCGTGACTGCATGAAGTCGCGAAATGCAACAAAGTCAGCAAATCGGACGAAAAAGGAAAGAAGTGTGGAGAATGAATGTTGGAAAAGTTGGAAAGCCAAACTTTCTCGTTGTGTGATGTTACACGCAGCCACACTTCAGTCCTCAGTTTCCTCCTCGCTTGCCTCCATCCACTCACCCAACTTCTTCTCAACATCCTCCAGCCAATGCTTAAACCCAATTTTTTCATCTCCAATACTCAGAATCCCATCTTTAACTCCTTTCCAGCCTTCAATAGGCCCTTTTATGTACTCGTGATTCATCCCGCATACCCTTTTCCAGTATGTGCTCTCGGCTCCGTTGTTTTGTGCCATGCGCTTTTCGTAGCAGGCTTGACAGAGGTCGATGTCTGGACATGTGAGACACATGTATAGAGGACCGTCTGTCCAGTCGTCATGGGGAGCTTCGTCACAGCTGCCGTTGCATTCGAGCCAGAAACTTCCGTCGAGGTCTTGGGGTTCGGGGTCTGCTTCGAGCGTGTTGGTCACTTCTTGTTCATCTTGCGCGAGCGATTCATGAGTGATAGAAGAGTCTTCGGTCAGCGTTGGTTTTTGTTCGTCAAGTTTTTCTGGTTCGTCTCCGATCGTGTGGTTATTTTCATTATTTCCGCGCACTTCGCTCGTCGTTTCTTGATTTAGCACCGGATTGGGTTCGCCTCCGGTTGTGTGGCGTTCCTCACTATCCTCGGAACCTTCGCTCTTCCTATCTTGATTCAGCTCCGGATTAAGTACAGAAAAAATCATGCTATAAGCAATACTCGCGTCTCGCTCGAGACCAACTATAAATAGTGACTTGGCAAGTAACTTCAAAGCGTATTGATCGTTAGTCGTCACCGTGTCTCGGAGTGCCTCGATACAGATTTCAACTGCCACGCGAAGCAAGTCTTTTGCCGATGAAAGATCGTTTATTTCAATATAAGCACCTGCTAGTTGAATACTAGGCGAGATGCTGTAAAGATCCTTGACTTTGGGTCCGCGGTTGAAGATATTTTGCATATCTTTAACTAAAAGCCTTTTAACCCATTGCACCGCGGTAATCCGAAGCTGATTATTGGCAATCAGGAGAAGCAGTTGAGTAGAAACCCTACGATTCTCGCGCCAAATATCACCAGAGCCGCGATTATCAATAATTTCCTGAAGTTGATCGTAGGCGGTTTCATCGTCCTGCAGCGCATAATAAGCTGCTTTCGAATATTGAAAGCGTATCAACACCTCACGTTGGTCATCGTCGTCATTGTCGTCGTCAAGAACTTTGAGAGCTTTCCTGTAGCATTTTTGGATACCATCAAGCTGTTTGGAAAATATGACCGCCTTCATGAACCTTTTATTTTGACCCTTGTCATATTCTGCATCGGCGCAAAGCCATAGACCAAATTCTTTTGGCGACCAGCTAGTAACCGTCGATACCAGAGCCGACCACTCCTTCTCCTCTTCGAGGACTTCGCATATTCTGTTAAGCGTATACGTTCCGTATTCGCCATCATCCAGCTCGTAGTCCGCATCTACTACAAGCTTTCGTGCTTGTGAGTACGCTTCGATCACGTCGTTTCCAACTGATCGATATGGATGGTGAAGATAATCCCCAAGGACTCTGTATACGTCGTATAAGTTCTTGTTGTAGAACATTTTGTTATCTGGTTCACTAGTGTTGAACATTTCGATCGAGTGAAGGTCTCGTGCATTCTTGGCCGATGTTACAGCTGCCTGATATTCTCCAGCATCTTGCTGAGCATTTGCTAAACTCACATACGTATAAAATCTACTCAAGTCGGTAGTAGCCATGCTCAAAGCTATCTCGAAATATTCAGAACCTTGTTGTAGATCCTGGGTAATCATCCTTCCAATAGCACGATTTGCATTTTCGGTTTTCTCGACTTCTGGGAAGAAATCGGCGACTTTTACGACACAATCTGTTGTAAACTTTTCGTCGTCGCCAAGATCTAGTCCAGTCTAGGTGAGAGTTAGCGAAATTGAATACGATGGAAGACGTGTATAATATTACTGAGGTCAATGCTTTGCGCGCTAGCACAAATGCCTCTTCCGCTTCTTCTGCATCGACCTTGGAGAACCAGTGTTGGACATGCTCTTTTGCCAAATGTAATAGGAGATTGGTAGGATTCTCAGTTATCTCTTTTGCCCATTTATGTGTATTGGATTTTAGACCTGGAAGTTTATCGTATAGTCGAAGCCACGTCATAATCCCGTTGAACCCTCTCGCCTGCAGAATTGATTGAGCTTTACTCGTGGTCCGAACTTCGACGGCTGTCCCTTCTGAAGCATCTGAACAAGATTCTTCAGCCTCATCTTCTGCGACATCTGTAATGTCCGAGTAGATTTCTTCTTTCCAGCCCTCAAGTGCATTAGAGGTACATTCAACATTGGTGAAAAGGTCGTGTAATGCTTCAACCATAACCACTGCCTGAGCTTTCGTTGGGAACGCACCTGGCGAGAAGGAAACAACGTCGTCACTAGGAATTTCTATTTCAAGAAAGTGATCTATCAAGTAAGTAGCACAGTAACTCTCGAGAGTCCTCGTTTTTTCATAGTCTGCCGCTGTTGGTGACATTGAGATAATTCTCATGATGGTGACACAGATATCGAATTTCGCTACGTATGGATGCTCTACAAGACCCGAGTGACTGTTTTTGGTAGTCCACTGGTCGTCGCGAAAGATTTCCGCGTAGGCTTTTGTTCGAAAACCGACAGTCTGACGATCATCCGCTTCGTTAACCATCAAAGTGTCACTTGTTCCTACATTGCTGCTGTTTGGGTTGCTGTCGTCGCTTCGACTGCTGCCACGGCTAGAAATCGACTCACTCTCGCTATTATCGTCATAATCTTCACTGCTCAGATCGTCTTGGCTGTCATCATCAGATTCAGAATCGTCATCTTCATCAATGATCTCAAGAACGCTGCAAGTAATGTTAGTCTTTGTCACAAACCGAGAGCGAATGGGAACTGACTTTGCGCATACGAGCTCGACGTTCTGACGTAAATCAAAGTTCTCATATATTCTCTTGAAAGCAACCAGAGCTTTTAGCTGAGTAACGGAAAGACCTGCATAGTTCTGAGCTATCCAATAGAATAGTAACTTGTTCGCCGCCGATTCCTTTTTATTTTGGGTTGAGCGGGAAATTTGTTTTAGCGATTGTTCCAGGGCGGATTTATAACCTTCAGGTAAGTTTTGGAGAGCTACTGGAATATCTTCCGGCTGATTGATGTCTTCTATAATCTCGAGTTGAAGTTTAACAAGACCGAAACCTATAAGCCATCAGTTTTAGAAGATGACAAAATGTAAGAAAGAATACTGGATGGTGTTTCTGTGTGGCTAGAGGCAATAACTTGGGCACGAACCTCCGTCATTTCGCATAAACTTCTCACTTATGCTCTCTTTTACATGATCACTCAACTTTCGCAGTGCTTTACTCTTCTTGATTTGACTCTCCACGTACAACTTCATATCGTCCTTCATATTTTCGATTGTAACTTCAATTGTTGGCACATCCTCGTCGCCGATTTGACGATAAATGGCATGCTTGGATGGTTGACCCACGAGTAAGATTCGAATCTTGAGTCTTTGCTGTTGAATTTCTTCGAGCATGGTCAATAAGGTTTTCTGATCGGCTTCTTCCATCCTATCAATACCAACAAAGACCATATATAACTTGCGCGAGGAGCTTTGCATGTAATGAGTGGCTATAAAATCCTTCCAAAGGGAATATGCTTCAAGTACTTCTGGAGGAGAGGAGACCTTATCGGCTATGGTGGCCGCAATTGCTTTGCTGTAGATCGCATCATGATCGGCGATTTGCACGATAACATTACACAATGCTATTTGCAAACTCTGGTCCGTAACCTTTGCAGAAGTTGAGGAGAAGAAAAACCATCCTAGCGAGATTTTTCTATACCGTTCAGAGATTTCTGACAGCTGTTGAATAGCTGAATAGGCGAGATACGACTTCCCCGTACCGGGCCCTCCAAACATCCACAAGAACTGACTTGTCTCGGTATCCCAGTTTTCACTTGACCACTAGTAAAGGAATAAGCTAAAAACAGTTTCGAGATTATATGTTAGCGAAGAATCAACTCACATCACTGTAGACTTCTTCCTCCAGAATCCATGTAGCTGTATTTGGAACAATAGCTCGTCTTCTTTCTTGTAGTTCGGTATCCTCAATTATGAATTGCCCGAAATAGTCTTTGATTCGACGGCCAGGTGGAGTATTCTCTTCGGTACCTTTACGAATGGCTTTAATATCGTCATGCATCGGCTTCAGGACTGTCAATTCTTCTCTTATGATGTTCGTGTTTCGGTGAGTGCCGTACTGAACAACTATATCAAGGTCTTTCACTGCTTTCTCCAGTTTCTCATGTGCCTCTTTCAGCTTGATATCTTTCGAAAAAGCAAGACGAATCCCTCTTCCAAATCTACCTTGCTTAATGTAAAGAGTCGTTATACCGCACAAAATAAGAGTCGCGGCAAATATTTGCTTGACCTTTGTTTCGATTTGCGCGAGGCGAAATTGTGGCAGGCCATCATCTAATACACTCAAAGCACTCAAATACGTGCCAATATCTTCGAGGATACCAACCAGATCGTCGAATCCATTGCGAACACGACTGGCGGCGCTAACAAGAAAGTTGATTGCGGTAAACGCGACTGCACAAGGGGGCCATATATTTCCGGTTGCAGCTCCCATAGCCGTAGAGACTGTCGCAACAGGTTGGAGAGCATTTGCGATGACAGTTCTTATCTTGTCCCACTTTCCGTCATTATGTCGAAAGTCAGTGAAATCGGTCAACTTCTTTTCTGTATAGTGCAGCACATCTTCTATTGATTTTGCCTGTAACAAAGGATTTCCATTCAGCTTTTCCCCTGTCGTGGCCTCATACTCGAAAACTGCACTGCGCATCAGGGCTCCGAAGCTCGAATTTGATGCCATGGACACAAACTAGCCCTGATTATACCGGTGAACGCCAGAAAGTAACACTTGAACGAGATGTTCAAATACTGAATCGTGTACTAATATTCAAGCTTTCAACTGTGTGTTGGCGGGGAAGAGTGGCATTTTTATCAGCGCCAACTCGCGTCACCTGATTGGCTAGATAGTGGCCGAGATTATCGGGGAGCAGTACTGGGGTGCAAGCAATATTAAGATGTAAAAAGTACCCTGACACAAAAAGTAATTTATTCGAGGATTGTTGACTACAAACAGCTTGAAATCATGCTTGATCGTGGTTGATTTGGAGTTGCTTGCAACATCACGGAATCATCACGGTCTCCGCCATCAGAGCCAGTCTTCTAACGCTGCCGTTTTGATAGTTGAAAATTCATGATCGAGTTTAGTTCTAAATTTAGAATCTGTAGGATGTTATTTGGAGTGGTTACTTAGGGTAATAAGGTGCTTAAATATAGATGTAAAAGTAACGAACACGATTGAATATTGTAAACAGTAGGAGGTAGTAATAGTATAAAAAAACAATGCTTTTTATGGGATAGTTTAGTGTGATTTTGAAAAGTGGAGCCCAATTGCCTCCGATCCGGAAACATTCAATTAATATAAGCTTATGACAGCAAGTTCCCTCCTAGGAGTCCTGCTTTTGTCTCAAGATTTGAGAGCAGACTCCAATTTCTGAGTAGGTCTTGGCTCTGAAGTAGGTCCAAGTTGTACCAACTAAGAAGGATCCGTAACCAAACCAAATGCTTGCTGGATGTAAATATTTAGTGCATCGAGAGTATAAGAATCCGAGTTTGCAAACGCCAATTCTGTTCCTTTCTCTCGAGCTAGCTTGATTGAATCCTCCACACCATACGCATAGTCTATTATTGGTTTCGATGCCACTGCTTTCCAGTGGTAGATTTCGTGTAGCATAAATACACCAGCATTCGACTCAAAATTGGTTATGAATTGCTGCTCTTCCTTGTCGTCTTTGTATCTGGAAATCTGCTCTCCTAGTGTCTCAGTGTCGAACCACTGGGGACAAAAAACAACATGTTGGATATTTATGACGTGATCCTCGTCTTGTCCAAAGTCTTGGTCCTCCAAGTACCAGGTCCTGGCCCCCAGTAATGCATCTGTATCTTCTCCTTCCTCGTCGGAACAACGATCTTCGGTAGGATGATCATTGCACCACCAAACGAAATTTTCGCTGTCCTCTTGTATTCCTCCAAACAGCCTTGCGAGGCCTTCAAAGTTATCTTGGATAGCCTTTGACCGCATCTCCCGAAGAGGAGTATCCCTCAGATTCCATTCTTTGCCAAACCACGTTTCGTGTACAGCACTATGATCGAACCGGCCATCGTTTCCAGTTTGTGCTTCCGCAAGTAACTTTGCCTCATCCCAAGCAGTCTTAATTCTTGTTCTTTCTCCATCTGTGCATCTTGTATCTAAGTATGTTCTCGGGAAAACGTTGGGCATCAAAAGTCGTTCCATTCCAGGGATTCCTTTTCCAGGCATTTGTCGCTTTTCAATCTCAGACGTGGATACCGAAGAATCTACCGTAGCAAAAACAAGGCAAATCGCTACGAATAAAAATGAGAAATGCATATTGTCTGATAGAAAAGGTTCTTATTGCCAACAATATTTCCCTCAAGGTTTCAGGGAATCTGCGTTATGGATGAAAAGAAAGCATGTTTTGCCAGCATTCGTTTATACCAATTTGGATAGACACTCGCAACGGCTACAACTCGCCGAGATCTGAGGTATGACTTCCTTGAGACTGGAAATTGATAAACGAGTTCGAAAAGCGTGTAATTAGCCGAGAAATCAGAAGGGATAACAAACGAGTGTGGCTACGAGAGTTAAGTCAAGAGTCTGTTGTTAGTGGTATCCGTAGCAGGTTAGGCAAATTAAGTCAGCCCTCAATAAGTAACCTGTCATAATATTGTTACCACAAGAAGGTACCATATTTGCGAGAAGAGACAAAACTAGTTCTATCCGAGGAAAAGATCATCTCTCTCGAAGCGACTTTCCTCATTTTGTCGCTACCTAATACTTAAATTCGCATCCTGTCTTTAATCCTGGTTTCTTGGATATTGCCAATAGCTATTGAATGGCTGAGTGTCCCAGATTATAGTTAAGGACTTAAACCATCGACGGATGGTTGAACTCAAGCATACGGTGAATTTAACGCTGAAACGAAATCTTTCTTTCCGGTATCCCACGGTTTATGATTATGATAATGACGACTACGGCATTTACTGAGGCTTTTGACTCAAACTGTGAAGCACTACTGCGGCCACGCCACTAAAAATAGAATATCGTACTTCAGACGCTCAATTAGTATGATCATGATTTAAGAAACGTCTTGCTTCTAGAGAAGCACATAAATGACTAAATCTGAGCTTCTTTCATCGCAGAACTGCTGAGGCTATTCACAGTTTGATTTCTCACCACTTAGCAGGACCAAATGTCTCACCCTCAGCCACCGTTTTCCGTACCGCAGTATACAGCGCATCCTACTTTCGTGTCAGCTGTGTGATGATAACATGAAAAATAAACTCTTACCGTAGTTTCATAAACCGCGACATTACCCCACCACTGTGGAATTGTAACATTTGGTAAAGTGATGGCGAAGAAGATGATAATGGTCGACAAAACGAGCCCAGTATCGAGACCAGCTGCGGTGATATAGTTGTAAGTATGCCACCAGCCTGACCAGCGTTTTCGAATCCAGTAATTGAAAATCAACCCTACTGCTGCCCAGGTCGAAAAGCTTAGCGGTGTTGCACTGTAAAGTTGTAAGCAGATGATTGTTTGTTTGAGCAAGAATCAACCTACGGCGGAAGCCATGCCATTGCACCAAGCATAACCGGTGCGTTCAGAAGCCTCATGGGCGAGCGTGGAAATACTTTAATTAGGCCAAAGAAGAAGATCGGGAGTAGAGCACCAAGGAGCCAATAGTACTGAATCGCTTCGTAGATGGAACCGGGACCGAACATTCGACTGGGACCAATGACACCCCATGTAATACTGGAGGAGAAGAATGTCTTTCCGTTAGGACAAGTGTAGTGAGCCGATTGAGAGCTGTAGAAAGTTAGATTAGGACTGCAAGGTTGCAAAAGTCGCTCACGTGGTGCAAATCCCATCGATAGCACCAAGTGCCCAGTTCATGACCGCAATTTGAACGCAACAAGCCCATATGCTCGCCACTACCTGGCAAGTAAACACGGTTCTCGGTGGGATTTTCATGTAATGTGCCATCTACACGAAGTCATTAATTGAATGCGAATTAGCGATGTTGGTGGAGTTACCTTCAAGTCTCCAGTATAAGTTTGTGCTTGTCCTAGAGTAATGGTGCTGAAGACTTTGAAAATCATGACTCCAATGGGTTTGCCTGGAATCATGAAACCTGCCAAGAAGGGAGAAATGACGTTAAGAGCTAAATAAACCATTAGCATCGTAAGATGATTGAGGAACTACTTGTCGGCTTACATAGCATGATGTTTGTTGTCGCCATGATCATACATAGTGGAATCTAAACTAGTGAGCAAGGGTTCCTTTTCCTGCAATTTTACAAACTCACCACAAAGACCGCCGCAACGATAATCGACACGAAGAAAGCCCACCCTAAAGAAGTTGTTAGAAAAGTGCATTACGATAGTTGGATGAACTTACATGGCATCTGCGACTCATATCCTAGAACCGAAGCTAATCCCAAAGCAACTGAAATAACAAGCAAAACTCCATACCACCAATCTGGACATTCTTTGTATTTGGCCATCATTTTCATATGGATATCTGGTTCTTGGTTTCTGGCTGCTCTAAATCGGTACCATACCTCCTTCCCATGGAATATGGCAGTATGAACTATGGCAGCGGTAAGCGCTGCAAAAGACAGTCCATAATTCAGAGCAAAGGTTGGCGCGAGAAACATAGGTGAGTATGCTTCGTACTTGGAGAGATCGAAAGTATATTCTGGCGTAAGAATCTTGCTCACATTGTAAAAACTTTGGGTGTTGTCGAATATGGAGGAAGTGTTGATTGGAAGGTAATCTGCGTATCTTCCAAGAAGTCAGTCATTGAGATATATCTGGGAAAGTTGATTTCTTACAGCGATCCGGTATAGGATATGCCAATGGCAGACAGAATCACGAAAACGATAAGCCCGATCATGGTGTTGAGATGAGCATGAGCTGGTGCCAGCAGAGGATCAAGGAGATATCCCGAAACATATCTGGAAATTATCAGCGTCTCACGGTGTGAGGAAAAAGCCTTAAACAACTACGTACGTCCAATCAAAAGTTATAGGTATGAGCGACAATCCAGTATATCCTCCAAATAACTGATTGAGTACGACATTATTCGGCTTGATCCCTGAATTGAGTCAGCTTAGCGATGAAACACCTATGAAGTGAAAATGCCATACAAGTGATGAATGCAAAAACTGACAAGCCTTGCCAGAGAACTCCCGGAACCCTAAATGCCACGGTCAATTTGCGTAGACTAATTTGGTAGACTACCTCAACTTACCAGTACCAACAAAAGGAGCCCACGGTGATGTAGATGAACCATCTATAACGAGAAATAGTCCACCCATTCGTTTTTGAGGCATCCGATTTTGACTTATCGTGCAATGCAAAGAAGAGCGCTACATTAGAAAATATTCCTGGCCAGAGCATAGCCGATGGCCAAACAAGAAACCGACGGAAAATTCCCGACAGAGAAATTCCAATGACCTGACTGCTAATGGTAAAGAGTAGTTGAAAGCCCCATCCCATTTGAATATTGTAGAACGCTGTTGATAGTCAGTAAAATGCACAGAAAAATGTTATCATAAGACAACTTACGTTTTCCTGCGAGCGCAAGTAATGCATCGGTAGCATACGCGAAACTGATAGATACACTACGAAAGTTAGCTTTTGCGGAGGGATGATACCGAAAGTATAGTTACTTTGCCATGAGCTGCAGATGTTAGCATGCGACCTTTTATGTGAAGAGCGAGACTGACCGTAATGACAGTGTGTTCCTTGATATTGAAAGGTCCCGTATTGAAAGTCCATTTCACGCCAAATGTGTTGAAAATACGGGTAGGGACGACTTTCGCCCAAAAGCAACCAATTGGATATACTAGACTGCGATGATGTGTTAATTAATCAGAAACCACTTCAGACTATATGATGATTGAAGACATACAGTTGAACCACAACAGCCGGAATGGCAACAGCTGGACTCCTGTATTAGAGTCAGTTAAATAATCACTTGAAAAAGTCTATGGGACAAACCTCATGCTCAGAAACATATTCAATCCGCTACATATTGTCACTGCGATCATGCCAAGGATCCAGGCTCTCACAGTGTTTGCAGGACCACCAGTATCTTCAGGCCTTACTGCAGCACGAACTTCTGCATACGGTGAGTCTTCCGCGAACATCGCTTCCGTTTTCTTGATTGCCTCGACATCACCCGTATCGACAGCATCTTGAAGAACCTTCAACTCCTCCTGCGGTAAGTTTGGGTCCCATTGATGTGATTTTGCGATTTTTGGCACATCTGCCGTCGCGACCGTGATGTCAATGTCCTCACTGTATGGTATTTTCTTCTCGGTCACTGGAGACTCGCGGTTATCGGAATTCGTACTGGATACGGCTTCAATGCCTTCGAGCGGCCCAGTGGCCTTCGGTGTTCGACTACCCCAAACCATGTTGATCGTGTTTCCTCAGCTATCGACTTGAACTCGATTGAAACAGAGCGACGTATGTCGCTTCCTCAGACTATTTGAGGCATCGGATCTTGGTCATTTTTATCAAGTCGTGATGATTACGGTCTCCACTCGGAGAGCGTAACGTCGCAATTGGGTACACAATGATAACCGCCATCACATGAATTTAGCCTCGGGCTCGAGATATCAACATGTAAGAAGTTGGCACGACGTCGGAGTTTCGTAGCCGAATAGGACAAAACATAAGTGCTCCCGCCAATAAAAGCCTAGTGATCTTAAAATACAAAGGGGCGCCCTAGCGAACGGCAAAGGCTTGGGTGGCGCAACGGCCATCAAATGCGGGGAACATGCGATTAAACCCTTACTTCGACGTCCACTCTTGAGATAGCATTGCATGGGTACACGATATCGACTCTGAACACAAGAAATGTACCCATAAATTTGTTGCCCGAGATAGCACGTTCGGTCTTCGGTGAAGAATTCAGTCGACTTGGGGGAAAACAAAGTACTTATCAAGGACTGCAATTATTCCTAAATCCAAGGGAGTCGGTCAAGTGAGAACGAAGATAATTGGAACCATGCGGCACCGGATCGAAATACCGCAACAATGCGCAAAAGAAGACATGCGAGAGCGAATAGAAAGAGTGACAGCAGATCTTCAGGACATTGAGAATTTTTACGATATCCAAATCTCTGAAACCCGCCACGACAAACTCAAAAAGTATTGTAACGACGAACTCAAAGATTTGGAAAACGTTCACTTCAACCATCTCGACCAGGGAGGCAGAGTCGATTATTTGTTACTGCGAAACTATCTCAAGCGACAAATCCACCAGCTTGAGCTTGAAAAAGTGAAGAATGACGCGACTAGAGAACTTCTGGAGTTCACGATTTCGATAGTCAAATTATGCGAGGATCGACAAAAAGCAACACCGATTGAAGGGAAGAATGTAGCCATTGAATTAGCGAGAGTAGGAACAGTAATTGACAACGTCAAAGACCAACTGAAAGATGATGATAGAAACATCAGCAAACCTGATGCATTTTATGCAGCAAAAACTGTTGATCAGCTACGAGAACGGTTGGAAGAATGGTATAACTTCTACAACCTATACGACCCGTTGTTCTCATGGTGGGTGACCGCACCATACGAGAAAGTTAAATTTCAATTAGCAACTCTGGCATCATTCATCAGAGAGCATCTAGTAGGCATGAAACCTGGCGATGAAGACACCATAGTCGGGAATCCAATCGGCCGGAAAGGATTGCTTGCGGACCTGGAAGCGGAGATGGTACCTTATACGCCCGAGGAGCTGATTGAAATCGGAGAATCAGAGTACATATGGTGCGAAGCAGAAATGAAGAAAGCTTCCAATGAGCTCGGCTATGGCGACGACTGGCGAGCAGCGCTCGAACACGTCAAGAACCTATACGTCGAGCCAGGCCAACAAGTCCAACTAGTGCACCAACTCGCCCAGGAAGCAACAACTTACGTCCAGAAACATGATTTAGTAACCGTCCCACCAATCTGTTCGGATCTCTGGCGAACATTCATGATGACACCCGCCCGCCAAAAGATCAACCCCTTTTTCCTAGGCGGCACCTCAATAATCATCTCCTACCCTACATCTACCATGGACCACGCATCAAAACTAATGATCATGCGCGGGAACAACATCCATTTCTCGCGCTCGACCGTCTTCCACGAGCTCATTCCGGGCCACCACCTCCAATTCCACATGAAAGCGCGGCACAAGCCGTACCGAAACATTTTCAGCACGCCATTCTGGATCGAAGGCTGGAGTTTATACTGGGAGATGATATTATGGGATAAAGGCTTCCCCGTCACAGCCGAGAACAAGATCGGGATGTTATTCTGGCGAATGCATCGATGCGCGCGGATTATATTCTCGATTAAATTCCATCTGGGGCAGATGAGTCCGGTGGAATGTATTGATTTCCTGGTCGAAAAAGTAGGACATGAACGGTTTACTGCCGAGGGCGAGGTGCGGCGGTCGTTTAATGGTGATTATAGCCCGTTGTATCAGGCAGGATACATGCTTGGAGCTTTACAGTTGTATGAGCTGCGAAAGGAAGTAGTGGATTCAGGAGGCATGACCGAAAAACAATTTCACGACAGGGTTTTGAAAGAGAATGAGATGCCTATCGAGTTGTTTCGAGCTCTTATCAAGGACCTTCCACTGAGACCGGATTATGAGTCTTGTTGGAAGTTTTATAGCTTCCATTGACGGACATCATTTCTCAAATGGACATTCCTGGGAGTCACTCCACAGGTCGAAAGAGCTTTAGATGGCCATTAGCTTGCTTCTTGGAGACAATCCAAACCGTTTCCTCGCTCTTTTCATGGTCATCATCGAAGGAAACAACGTAGAGTAAGCCTTCTCGGTATTGTGGTGGTGTGATAGACTAATATAAGACGATGTATATTACATTTTGGTGATATGAGGAAATCAAATCTAAGATATTCCCCGTTCTAAATTTTATACAACAGAGAGCTGTCAACGCTATCGCAGATCTGTCTCCATCAGTATCGTACAATTATTCTTACATCCATTTCAGGCGTAAGCTGCCTTATCCAGGCATTCTCACTTCGTGTTTCCCCTTCATGGGCTATGGGCTGTAGGGTCAGCCTCTCATATATTATGCTTTTGTTTCTAAGCCTCCTTTTCCTGTTTCAAATGAGTTTTCTTCTTCCGGTTCTTGCTACCTTTAGCTTTCTTTGTCTTCTGCGGCTCCCAACCTACTCGGAGAACACGGTCTCTCTGTGGTCTAGCGAGGTGCTCCGCGAACTTTCGACTAGACAAAGTGCGTATGAGCGGCGTTACGACTTGTCGTTTCGCATTGATGCATGAGATCAAAGGCGCACCATCTTCAAGAGCTGACTGACGGCTATGGGTACCTGTGGACGACCCGAAAGACTCTGCAAGGCTTAGAGCTGCATCGTACAGTTCTACCTGTGTGCTTTCCGAAGAATCGTTGATATGCTTCATTGAAAGCTCGCTTCTCGTGCCGCTTGACTTGCCACCAACGATGTGTGTGCATTCCAAGGCCCAGTCGTTGTAAGTCAGAAACAGTGTACTTCGGACTTCTCGTTCAGCAAAAACATATTCTACTCCATTTGAAGTCCCGCTTTGTTCTTCTGTCGGGGTCAAGGCAAGCGTAGGAAGGTTAATAGTAGGAGGAATGTCGAGGCGTCGAGCTTTTCGTGTCATATAGCTACCCTTCATAAAATCCGTGATAGCAGGCATATTGAATTTCTGGGGTTTCAATTGTCGGAATGAATGCCGAAGGAAACGAACATCAACGGCTTGATCGGGAAGCATAAGATCCGACTTCACTTCCTGCGTTATGGCTTCAACGGATCTTAAGTGGAGAGGTTGATCTTCGTGTATATCGAAATGCATATTTATCGGGGGATACTGGGATAGGACATGTAGCCCAATCGGCTCTTTGGTAGTAGGATTAATAGCGCAGGGATTCGGAATAAAACGTAGCGTCAAGGTTTCCCTATTCCCTTTAGGATGCAGAGAAGCACGTCTCAAGACATCGTTAACGTTTGGCAGTTCCGTGCTGAATGCACGTAATGTGTGAATGGTCCCCCAAGGGGACGTAGGTTGATTTGATGTGCTAGTCTTCGAATGGCTGTGAAGTATCCTACCAAAAACGGCGGAAGAATTTACGTGGCTTTCAGTCTCCCAATTCTCATCCTCCATGGGTATAGTGCTAGTCTTTTCCTGTAGTTCGGCAGAGGATTCAATTTCATCGCCAGACGGATAGGGTCCATGAGCTTGTGACTTTGCAACATCTTTCGTTGCCCTCTTCTCTTTCTCGTCGCCCGATTGAGCCGTAGTGCTGCGTACAGGCGCAATCCATCTGGTCCATTCACGAAGTTTTTGCTTCCATGGTAAATCCTGCGCCGTGGAAGCCGCAAAAATCCCGGCGTTCCAATTTGGTACTTGTCTGCAACCTAAGACGTGATGGGTTCTGCTTGGGAAGCTTGTGAACGGGTCAGAGCTGAGAAGAAGACGTTGTGCCATGTCGTTACGGCTAGATCTCCATGATTCCCTGTAGATGCAGGACAACAAGATATCAACCTAAAAAGTCAGACCACGTAATGGATTAAGGTTCCTCGCTTACATCTTTTGTTTGGGTTTGGATACTTTTCCTGGATTTCTTTCCAGACATAGATTTCCCCTTCGATATTGAGATGTAGCAATTTGTGAGTTTGCCAAGTTCCTCAAGGGTCGCTTCATCAAAATGGCGGTCGGCCCATGTTGCGATATCGTCAGGAGTGTGCTGCCAAACACCAGAGATCCCGCCCTGGGAAGCTGAGAAGAGCTTAGATAGGGAGATTGTCTTTCGAGTGATCATTTTTAATGTGTCTTTAATCAACTTGACGGCTTTTCCACAGTGGCGATACGTTCCTGTGACTCGAACTATGTTAGTCTCATGGTATAGTTCAACACCTTCGTCGTCTTTAGGCAGAATCTTTTCTAACATCGCCTCTAAAAGGGGAGATTCTGGAACAAATATTAGCACTTCCTTTCAACAAGGCTTGATAAACTCACGGGCTAAATGTTCAACGTCGCCCGGCCGCAGGAGTAAATCAATATGGCCTACCCACGAAACAACATCGGGGAGCTCCAACTTCCAGCATTCGCGGAGTAACTTAACAACTAGCCGCTGCTTCTTTGTATGAGATGCCAGTGCATAGCCTCTAAGAGAAAGCTTCTCCTCTAAGTATCCATTCGGTGCGGATGTCTCTGGGAGCCACGGCGTTTCCACCAGAACCAAGGCGTCATCAGCGTAACAAGAAGGATCGATAGGGTCTAAGAGGGAAGATCTGGGACTAAACTCCGGGGGTGTCTGCAATGTGAGTTTTCCTTCGAAAGATCCGATGTATTCTTCGAGTTGAGGGCTGTTGAATGCATTCTGAAGTTTATCCACAAAGGCGTTGAACTCTTTTCTGGTTTTGGGCTCTTCATTTTCCTTGGGTCGAAATTCGTCTATATTCTTCTCGACTTCGGTTTGATCGACCAGACCTCGCTCCCTGTCCAATCTGGCAATGATATCAATGTTCTGCTGCCCATTGTCCGGAATGTAGCGCTGACGAGGGCTATAGTGCGATATTTTGGATCCCCGAAGAATAATAACGTCTGTAGGCTTTCCAAGGGTTTTTATCTGCAGTTTTTCTCGCTCGCCCAGCAACTTCTGTCCAGTATGGCCGTAGAAATCCGCATCGTCCTTTCGTATGAACTTATAATGCCTGTGAGTCGGTTGACCCAGTCTGCCGTGCGGAACCAGGAACAACCTGTGCTGTCTGATGTCTGAACGAGGCGGCAAACGTTTGGCAGGAAGAGGTTTAGGAGTCGGTGATGAATCCGCGTCAGTACTCGCTGATCGAATAGCGAATTGGGAGTTGTAGGATTTAGACAGCCGTGCCAGACGACTTTGACATCTCAGGCATATATGCGAGGGGAAGGTCTTCCGAGTGATCATGTATGCGACTGGTGATGCTTCAAGGCGGATGCAGCTTCGAGAGCACTTTTTTTCGCCTGGGGCCGGGCCATGATGGCATCGGCGTTAAGAACGAAACGCAGGGACGCGTTCTGTCGCGTCTCCCCACAACTCAAGACCTACTTTTTGTGTCCATCTACCTCGGTTGAAGATTCGTCTGATTGTCCTCGAAAGGATCGATCCATTCAAATATTCCGACTTTTTACTATCTGGATCACAAACAACCTCTTAATGCCTGCTCAATCGAGGAGACGCCATCCGGTGGGTAGTTCGCTCTGATTAGCTCTTCCTCGTTACTGACCAAGTCTAGGCGCAAGAAGAGGAGGACGACGAAGAAGAAGAAGAGCCCACGCAACGAACCCAGCGTGGCAGAGGGCGAGCTGCTGTTTCTGATGACGATAGCGAAGAGGAACCCGACGATGGCGAGGAGATGGAGGTGGATGCGGGGGTCGATACCCAGGACCAAGCTGTGAAGAAATTGATCAGATACGCTCTGGCATGCGAATTTCAACGTCTGGTTATTAGGAGGACTGGCATAGCGGAAAAAGGTTGGAGCCCTGTGCGACGTAGGTCCCTATATATTAAGGATTTCAGTGTTGGGAAACGCATCTCGAGGATCATTCAAACGCATTTTTGAAGAGGCGCAGAAGCAATTACGAAGCAAATTTGGAATGGAAATGGTCGCTTTGCCAGAAAGAGAAAAGGTACAGCTGAGAGATAAAAGAAGTATGTTATTCTGATTATGTCTTATGTACGCACTAATATTGTTAGACGCCTTAAAATCGAAAAAGGGAGCCAAATCATCTGTTGCAACTTCATATATCCTAACGACAACATTACCCCCCGCTTACCGTGATCCAGCCATCATCGCACCATCATTGATTGGCAACTCTGAAGATGAAGCAGCATACATCGCCCTATGCACAGTGATTGTGGCATATATTGCGATGAACCCGGGTGGACAAGTGCCGGATTACAAACTAGCGAGGATGTTGAAACGAATGAACGCGGAAACGAATGTACCTGGCGGCACAAAGACAGAGGTCGCTTTGGCGCGAATGGAGAGACAAGGCTATATCTGGAAAGTTAAAGAGAACACGGGTGAAGACGAGACCACAGATTGGAGGGTGGGGCCCAGGGGCAAGATTGAGATCGGAAACAGAGGCATACAAGGCTTCGTGAGGGAAGTGTATGGTGAAGATGCAACAGAAGATCTCGACAAAAGGTTGAATCGCAGTCTTGGGGTTGAGGCAAGGGTTGTTGGTCCGGAGGAAGAACTTGCAGCAGAACATAATGATGGCCGTCCCAGAACGCAGGCAGCAAGAGAGAGGAGAAGACTGGCTGATGACGAAGAGGATTGATTCGATGTTTTCATTTGATCTCGTGCTATCTACTACTGATACTGGAACCACCATGTTATGTGTTCATATTATCTTTGCGCACATTGGAGGGCACGATCTGTCGGCTTCCATGGCAGATGACGAGGTGAGACGTCTTATATGATGATCCAGTGATTCGTTTATCGTCAGACTTATTGGTTTGATGCCTTGGACCTAGGACGTAGTCTCTGATCAGTTCCGCGCTGTCGATCTTCAGGTGTATTGGTTTTTGCCTCGCAGAATCTTGTCGTAGGTCCATTCAATACCACCGCCGAAACCTAATAAAACTCCGGCGCATAATCTCCATCAATCCTGCACCTCTGGCGGTTTGCCAACGGGCTGTATCATTTTCTGTCGCCATGTCAGGCCCAGTTTAAACTCCAAATCGCATACTCAACCTACCTCGATCATCGCTCCTCGGACCTTCTCCCGGCACTCGCCCATCCCAATAGCCATATAACTCAACAACGGAGGATGGCCGACATAACTAGCAAAACTGTCGCGTTGAATATTGGAGGACCACTCGAACCGCGTAGTATCTGCGTGCCCGGTACCGACAAAACGAGTCTGCAGCTGTTCGAGTTGCTGCTGAGCGCGAAGTTTGTCCGCCTAAACGTGTCAGTAAGAGCTCGCACACATGTGGATTTTCTGTAGATTCAATAAAAAAAACTGACCATCTTGATCGTTGAAGTGATATGAAGTTGTCTGCGGACAACTTGCGGGCCCAGGAATCGAGATCTTGGAGCCAGGGACAATATCGGGCCGGCCGAACTATCTTCCACGTTTGCCCACCCCCCCAGCCGTCGCAGGCCTCCTTCGGTAAGAGAAGTACTTCGCTAACAATCGCACACGACTTCATGTTGTGCAAGTAGATGAGGGCGTAATAGAAGTTCTTGTTTGATACGCTTCGGAGCTTGCGAAGCTGTAATGGCAGTTGAGTAAGTAACTCCACAATTCAATTCATTTCCATTTCATGGTGGACTTGTGCACGTGACGGACCTCCATAGCTACTCGGAGATCTCCTTTACTGGATCCTTATTTATCTTATACTGATGTTGTATAGAGTCAGCAATCATGGTAGTAGATTGGATCAGGCATCAATATACCCCTTTTCAATTGATGATCGTGTCGAATCAGGCAAAGAATTCCAGAAGGCAAAGTTGCAGCTAGAAGCAAAATTGAAATCCATTCGCTCCTACTTCAACTCGCCTCATGCCCCGGCTCATACAGCTCCTCCAGCCTGCGATCGATGCAATTCCAAGAATCATAGAATAGCAGGAGCGTATCATGATTTCTATTCATCGAATCCCCCATACGGGGTCGATGAATCCCGTTACCGCGATGCGTTGGACAGAGCGTTGAGAGACCCCAGTGGCCCACAGCTGGCAGAAATGCATAGAGTGTTTGGAGCAGCGCTTCAGCAGCATCTCAAGAATGATCTGTGTGCCTCTCAACCTGGGGACAATGAAGATACTCAGGCGTACAAAGATGCCACAGCAAGTATGTTTGATTCTGGTAATCATAGCACACAAGAAATCGTCCAATTCTACATCGAAAGCCAGCTCAAAGCATCAAAAGAGACAAAAGTTGCCGAATTCATCAAGGGATTACAATATGCTACGACACCAGAGCAGCGCGCTCAAGCATACATAAATTTCTACTGCAAGTCTGATTCCACAGATACTGCTCAACAGCGGAACTTCAAAACGAAGTACACACGCATTTTCGAACAACTCAATCCTCATGATACTGTGGTCAGTGCTATGAGGAGTGAGGCAGAAGAGGCGCAAGCAAGCAAAGTTTCCAAATTATCACAAAGTCTGGGCGAAATGCAGATGGCGTTCTCAGCTCATCAAAAAAACAAAGCTAGGAAAGCAGAGAAAGATAAGCGCATGAACGATCGTGAGATTTCCCCTCGATACGCCAATTGCGGTATGGAAGACTGTCCACTAGATATCAACATCCAGACAGATGAGACGATCGAATGTACGATTTGCGAGTGGCTTGAGCGCAAGGGAAGTAGACGTGAACGCGTCTATTACTGTTCAGTCGAGCATGCGGAAGAAGATTTCGAGAACCACGACAGACGCGAACATCAGTGTTGTATGGGACCCCGCTGCATCTATTACCCTGACATTGGGCCTGGGGGCGAGAGCAGACAAGATGGCGGAGAGCTTTGTGGAATTTGCTTTGATTGCGAGGATCATGGGATCATTAGCTTCTTTTGCTCCAATGATTGCTATCAAACGAACATGGTACGGACCACTATTTATAATTTTGTACCGGGAATCTGACGATTTGATAGGAATCACATCGCGATGAGAGCCATTATGACAGAGGTGTTGCCAATAAATCCCAGAATCTTGATACTTACACTCCTTCACCGGATTTGGAGGTCGTCGAATCTCATCTATGAAAGTACGAGGGTTGGCAGTGAGACGAAAGAGGACACCTTTACTCTCCGGACCGGGCATATACCGCTACGCAGATGGCAATGTGATGGTGGGGTATTTGTAAAATCACGTTTTTGGTTTGAAAAGGCTAAGGATAACAGCACCTCTGTCTTTAGGAAGCATGTGACCAGAGAGTGGTAGAAATTGAATCGAAATATCATTAGATTCTCCAAAATAGAGTTTTTCTCCCAGAACCACGACTCGGGCGTTTTTATCCTTGAATGCGCAAACGCGAGGACTATGGACCTTGAACTGGCCACTCAATAAGATAAACCCGAACTTGAGTAAATGTTCGCATAAGTCATGATGGCCATCAGTAAGCCCAGATCTGGCGGACAAACTGATTTAAAGATGAATCGTGCGTTGAAACGGATTCTAGAGGAAGGTCAACCTCACTCGCAAGGTTTCCATTTTCTAAGAAAGTATAGCCTTATTCAACAGTTTGCCATTCCAAAATCTGTTGTGGCTCTGCTATCAAATGGCACCATGTAGAATTTCAAATACTGCGACATTATTAGAGGGTGATTTATTACTCAATTGTATTCGTCAACTCAAGCTGAATAGAAAAACTTTCTAGTAGTTACTCTCTACCTAATCAACACATGGGATTACATTTCACCATGAAATATCAAAAGAAAGTTGCCTTTGATGGGCTTTTGAAAGAGGTCGATGAATTAGCGACCATGATGGCCGTTTGTACATTCCTTCAACAGGGGCAGTGAATGAGCGACAGCGATTGCTGTTTGTCTCATCTTTCAGCAAGGAAGCCAGGCACCCGGAAGATAGCATGCAAGAAAAAGTAAAATTCGTCCGACGCAGATATTATTCGCACATCTGCATGTGTTGGTTGCACCAACAGTCAATGGAGACTCTAGTGTCGAAAAAGGAATTAATGTTCGCAAACACCCCCACAAAGGATATCGCATCTACGCTCAACACGCCTCGCCGGCTCTTCGTCTTTGTTCTGACAGCTGAAAGATAAAAACAGTGTCACAACTGAGAATATAAGGACTTGTTAGCCGTCTCAAAAAGTTCCACTTCCATTCCTACTTCACCGCAATTTAATCAACAATGGAAAAAGATAGCAGCATGACGGAAGTAGGAAACATCCGAAGAGAAGATTCGAAAGCCAAATTACCACCGGAGTTACGGATCATAATCTGGAAGAACTTGGTTGAGGTTGTCCCGCGCATTGTTTGCATACGTTGGGTATCATACTCCCACCAGAAACAAGTATATAGCGGTGCCAAAACATTCGAAAGTATAAACTCCTACGTCCATCCAACATCGCTAAACATAAGTCCGGAGAGCCGTCAAGTAACAAGTCACTGTTACGAACAAATACTCCCAGATCTTGAAATGCAGGGAATTAGGTACTTTGAGCCCTCAACTCGAACTATAAATCGCAGAGCAGACAATCCACCAATAAGATTCAACTTTGAGGTTGATACCCTAACATTCTGTCCTGAAGTCATAAGTACTGAAACGCATGACCCTCTCCCGGGAGAAGATGAGGCGGGGATAGAAGCTAGACGGAAAGACACGGTCATAAAACACATGGGACCAGCTGAGTGTTTCGAGCACTTCAGGAAGCTGTTAAAAGTGCCAGAGAACAATCTTGCAAAAGTCCAATTTCTCGCAATCGGCAATTTTAGTTGTGCAATCCACGACTACGGCGGAGATTACAGCGTTAGGACTTACAAGGCCGGTTACATTAGTTGGTTCAGTGTAGACTCTGCGTTCGAAAATCTCAAACGGTTAATTCTTGTGGTTTCGCCGTGGATTTGGAAAAAGCTTCCCAGCGAGTTCTTGGATCTCAGTAGAATTCAAAACCAGGAGGATGTTAGAGAGAGAATAACTCGCAGGTATCGTCTACTGGATAAAACTCAGCCTAATTGCAAGATCCCAGAGATCGTTTTCGTCATGGAAGATGATCCAACAGCACCTCGCTATTATAAGGTCCACACTCGGTGGAATCACTGAACACCCCCAGTACCTACAATCGTCTTTGATAACCAACGAAAAATCTCATCGACATAATTGTTAGTTCTAGTACGAACAAAAATATACCTATTTCTCTGCCTTATTTTCCTTCTTGACACGTGTAACTGTTGTAACTCGCTTGGTCGGTACGATTATATCTCTTATTTAACCCCATATCCGCGTCCCTGCCTAATTCCTAGTATGAAAGCAGTGGTTCAGGTAGAGACATTGCTACTTTGTATCGCTAGCCCAACCTGTCAAACGTAGGTAGGTATCAAGTATGTATAGTGAAATACCACTAGAGAATAGTCAAGCACTAGCGAGTATCCTTATTTACCAGAAATAGTAATATAACGTTCGTTTAACGCTTGGGTAACAATTCCATCTGCATAGAAGGAGAAATAATTACAAAAGTCAGTTTATTGTAACAGCTTGAAGAAGTAAAACTTCAAAAAACCACAAATCGTTGACATTTAATCACCCGCCTCGTAATAAGGGAACAATTCTTACAGGCAAGACTTAAGAACCATCTCGAAGCTTGAAACTTGGAATTTAATAAGTAGCAAAAGTTGAATACCAACTTTAGCGAATGCAATCTGTTGGCCTGCAAAGGGGTATGGTATTACACAATTGGATACCTTCACCAAGGCTGAACGGAAAGTCAAGCAACTTCTTACGGTAATTCTCTGTCGAAACGTCTATGTGCGTGTCTTATAATGAATGCACGACTTTAACATAAAATAATTGCAAATTTTGGACCGATCTGGAATCATCCTTCGATAATATTCGGCTTGTTGGAGCTGTTTCATCAAATTGTATTTAGATGCTATGAAAATCTCGGCCAATAAATTTCAATGTTTTCGCAGGCCACTATCATTGGTAATGAGTTTGAGGCGGTGTATTGAGACTGATCAAAAGGACTGAGGTATATCATAGCATAAGTGACGGAGCAATGGGCCGAGCATGACCGAGCATCGGAGAGAAAAAAGGCAGCTCCGTACCGATCGGTAATCTCGGTTTATCAAATTTGTTTTCCTGCTTACTTGTTTAGGAATGTGGCCGCGCCCCTAACGTAATTGACGATATTCACTCCTTTACTCTTGTCTTTTGAAGGACAAATTTTGTACGCTTTGCTTTTCGACTAAACCTGGAGTTTACTCGTTTATTCCCAAAACGACCAAAATGCTCGATCGTAAGAATGAGTTGCCGAATATGGCGATGCTCTTACACCATCATGCCGTCATTTGAAAAATCTCTTCGACATCGATTCTTTATGAACAATGACTAAATCAGACCCTGTGAGCTGAATAGCAGTCATGTTCGCTATTCTACTTGTGTCCGTCCAATATAGGACTTCGGCTACATCGCGGAAGCCCAATTTGGCCATATGATGATGGCTTGAATAGATGTGTTATCTACCTCTTAGTAGCCTGGGCATACTGCGCGATGGGCGACCTAACAGGTGTTGCCTTCTAGTTGGTTCTAATCTTTACAAAACTGGCGGTAGCAAATTGTTGTAATTCAGATGTCACTTCGTTGTGCTCGGTCTACCCTTGAGCGAAAATGTTCTTCACTAAGGCCCAGTATTACTCAAAACGGTTGAATCCTACAGAATATTGTGGCTGTGAAAACATAACGTGGCCAAAACCAGACATAGTATTTCCCCTTTGACTATAAATCAAGTTTAACGGGATCAGTTTAGGCGCTAAGCGAATCGAGTTCGACTATCCTCACTACTTCTATCTCAGTTCAGATACATCAGGTTTCCTTTTTAGGGCTAGCATTCGCTGCGACAAAAGTCATGCCACTCATAGCTCGTTTGCAGAGGCGAGTTTCATTCGCAATGCCTCCGTACAAAGCAGTTTGCTTCCTCCCCGACTTACGTCTTACAACTTAACACCAAACAAACCGGAACAATACGATCGTAACAGTTTACAAATTGATCTAATAGATTCTCAATTCCACGTAGATCAATAAGTTTTGTTGATCTAGACCAAATTTTCTTTTTAGAGTACCACGCCAAATAGCTCGAGCTCATATTGACATTGAGCAAAGTAACTATGTGGCTGGGTTTTTTAACATTTTTAGTAGAAAGCCTGCTTTGCTTAACTGCTGAAAGCAATGGGCCCCATTCATCTAATTCTCAGCACGGAGGCGGATCTGTGACGGTAGATATTACAACTGTTAGTTTGGTCTCCTTAGTCTAAAGTCTTTACTGATATTCAGCACAGCTTATAACTGTCACTGTCAACCCGAATGCCAGGTCGCTCAATCTTGCAACTCCCAAGGAGCTTGCGCCCATTAGCACTGAGCCAGATCAAACGAGCTGGGCTGGACCAGACCAGTATTCATCTTCGTGTGATGATACTTCGTGTTTTAGGCGTATGTTGGCTCAACCTACTCAGGCGCTATCATTCTGTGGAACATTTGCAGCATTTAGCGACTCCAGAAGTTGTGATTATAGCATCCATGTACCATATGCAGGTGCATCGGACTTCTATGACGCATGTTCCACTGAAAGTTCTCGAATCTCCAGTGCTTGTTCTTGCTTAGATCAAAGGACATCTATTTCCACGACTAACACCGTTGTCAACTCAGGAAGAGGCGCTAGTGTAGTTTCAGAGATCATTTCCGAAGTTCTGCTTTCCTCGCCTGCTTCGGCCGTTCCTGCTACCCACAAATCGATATCAATGGAACAAATGCCAACATTTTCAGATGCTGCAGTACAGGATATGATGGCAGGCAGCAGTTTAGCTGCTTCATTGGACATACTACCAACTGCTTCTCTTACATCGATTCAGCGCATGGATCTTAAAAGGTCACCCGCCGGAGCTTTAGAGTCTCTGAACAGCGATTCGTCCGCTCAGTCGATCTCCGCATTACTCAATACTGTTACTCTCATATCCACCTCAACTGGAGTGGCGTTGGATGGCTCTGATTATACTACCATTATCAGTACGGTAGTCACCTCTACTGTGTCCAGTACTTCCCGATCATCTGTTAGAGTTCTGAAGTCTCAATCTTTTAAGATTCCCCCAATATCTTCTGCCCTGATGAGTGCGACATTTCGCAACCCGATCTCGCAGAGTGGGCCCGCTGTGTCACCTCTACAGGCAGTGCACAGAATGCACCCGACTCAAGAACCCGTGTATTCAAATCGACGAAACTAGCTTTTTTTATGCCTCCAAACCTGAGCGGTGCATCTCTTGTCAACCAGCCTATGTCACAAAGTCTCACAATCGTATCGGGTTCAGCAACTACTTTGAACGTGGGTTCTTTAACAACAAACGTCGCCGGATCGGTAATTCCAACGGCAGTACCAACCATGGCGACTCCAGGAGGAATTCCAATCGTACCAATTCCGATCACAAACTTACCATCATCTATCGAACCTAACGCTCCTGTAAGTCTGAATACAGCCAATGTTATCGTACGATATATGGGTATACTTACTGATCAGCTGTCACTTAGCTATGCAGCTTTCGCGCCCAAAAGGAGCCTCCTTATCGTCCACCAAACGACCCAGAAAGTCTGCCGTATGACCCGAGTTGGCCTGTAAGTGATTTCTTGGGGACTAGAATTTGATCCAAATTGATGTTGTTTCTGTTGGAAGAAGCTAACCACTCCTTTGGTTTTAGCTATGTACTTTTCGTCTACAGCAAATTCCTCTGTGTCGGCCACCTCCTACTGCAGATAGCTTACCCTTTGACCCCGCTCTGCCTGTAAGTCTAATGTTTTAATAAATTTCAGACACTGTTTTATATCGTCACAAAAGGCAATGTGCTAAGTTGCAATCATTTTAGGTCTGTGTTTACAAATCTCAAACCACCCCTCCCTACAAGCCTCCAGCGAACCTGGAGACTTTGTTACCCGAAAACTTTTGTTTAGAAAATCCTTGGGATCCCAAATGTCCTTCACCACAGTTTGAAAAGGCGACATCTGACATTGGATCATATTCAATTTGCTCCTTGCCAGAGTCTCGCTTCCACTCGCTGTGTATGAGTGATCCTGGCGTTACGTCGACTATAACAAGTGTACCTTCTGATATGTCAGCACAAGCAATATCGAGTCCCACTATCACTTCAAACGCTCTGATTACGACAACCGACGACGATGGGCATTTGGTTGTAGTTCCTTATATATACATCCCCCCTATTATAGGCCAATTCGCTGGCATGGGCGTTATTTTATGGTGCATGGTACCAATTCCTAACGTTTCGTTTAACCTCCCTAAGCTTCCAGGCTTACCAAAGATTCCTGGGCTACCAAAGTTCCCGAAATTTCATGTAGGTCATTTCCGCCCTTAATTGTGACGAGATTCATCGGTTCTGAGTATTTGAACAGTTTCCATGCGTCCCGATTCCATTCGTCAAGAATTGTAATACGCCATCTGGAAGTCCGACTCCAGGCGGTGGTACCCAAGCCCCTCCTCCACCTCAACCTCCTGTAGTTGAACCGCCGGGAAAGAATCAAAAAGAAGAGGAACCGGAAGAGGAAAAGGATGAAGAAAAACAAGAATGTACTACTCTCACTGCTACCAGCTGCTCTACTGGAGTTACCGCCCAGCTCGACACGATGGGATCAACGACGAATTTAATTACTACAATAACCTGTTCTCCAATTACCGCTTGCTTTGCAACTGGGATTACTACAGCAGTAACGACAACCGAAAGTTGCGAGAAAGTCACTGCTACGAGCTGCTCTACTTTCCTGACGGTACTCAACGGGACAGATTCTGTAACCAGAACTATCACTAGTTCTACTTGTATCGGAGTCACTGCTTGTGGTGCCACGGGAGCTTCTACCGCAACAACAACCACAAGTAGTTCAAAAGCCACTAGTCAGCCCTATCAGATACTGCCAAATCCCACCGATTACGTAACACTAGATTCGTTTTCAAAAATACTGAGGCAAGAGACGAATGAAAACACACTAATGTTTTTCGAGGATGCTGCTAAGAAGACAGTGTTTGTTTGGTACCAATTTCTCACTCCTGAGCAAGTGAAAACCTATAAAGGTAATCCAGCTGTAAGTAAATTCTTAATCGGTATAACAAACATATGGGGCTGACAAATTTAGGTTGCGGCTATTCACCCCTACGATGGAAGGTTAGGTGATGAGTCTACTATGGAACCATCATCGTCTGATAACAAGCAAGCCGGTTCTAGATTGGTAAAGAGACAAGTTCCACCTGCAAATGTGCCTATACCGGACACTTCTGCAGAACAGGTTATACACGACTTTGCTGCTTATACCGATCTACGAGTCTTCTCACAATCGCGGGGAACGCCTGATGCCTTCTCCCTGAAAGCCTATTCATGGCGTGAAGAGACGAACCCACTGTTCTCGCAATTAGAAGGGAGTCCTCGACCTAGAGTATACGTTTTTGACACTGGAATGGACAAAGATAGCCCAACGTACCGCTCCTATAGGCCTGGTCAAGTAGAATGGATACATCCGGGCGGCCCCGAAGTACCTCAGGAGTGGGGCGCTTACGAGGTAGACAGAAGTGAGAATGATCACAATTCAATCGATCTCAAATGGCATGGTACATGTATGGCGTCCAAAGCTGTTGGACAAAAGTTTGGTGTCTTTAAGAAGTCAGACTTGACGATTATACGCTATCCTAGGCGTATACTTACCCCCGAAGAAAGAAACCGGGGTGACATTAAGTATGGCTTAACACGCCCAATGATGGAGCATGGACTGCAGCTAATGCTCGACAACGTTAGAAGGAAAAAAAGTGGAAAGTATAGTGTTCTTAGCTGTTCCCACGGCGCAAGCCCGCGGGGTGGACTGATTGCGCCCGATGATTACTTGTGGACCAACAATCCAGCACATGACCCCACTCATCTTTGGAGACCGCTCTGGAACCTTTTTAATGAGCTGTCTAATGAAGGTGTCACACTTGTGGTGGCTTCTGGGAACCATGGTACTATGGATCCAAATGCTCCTGTACACGGTGAACCGTCATATTTACTAAATAATTGGCCGGCAATATTTAACGCCGAATTGCCTATTACTGTTGTGGGCTCCTCTACATATCAAGGCTTGCGTTCCCCTACTCAGCCGTAAGTATATATCATCCTCTTAGACTCACCCCGGAACTGCATGTTAAAACGTTCACAGATACCTACCTTACCCTCGATACTGGCCTCATTCCCATATTAATGTATATGCGCCTGGTTATCCTACTCTTTGTGATTTTGGTGCAGGATATCCCTCCGGCCATGAGAAATTCGGCTCTTCGCCTGGTAGGTAACCTTACTAAAACACAATCCCGTAAAAGATTGCTAATAATTGTCTTAGCCACGGCGAGTGTTGCAGGTCTAGTAGCCTATTTTTTGGGCACAACAGGGCATGTAGAACGAATATACCAAAAGTGGTATCTGGAGGACTCCCGGCATACCGATCGGTCATGGGCCGAAGCCGTGAAAGCTTACCTTGTTGAGATGTCTTACGTCAGATTTTATAATCCGCAAGACACCTATCCCGTCAACATAGTTTGGAATGGCGAACGTGACGCAGACTTTTGTCCAGTGCCTGGTCAGTCCAAACGCGAGGAGGGTAACTCGCTGAACGCAGGAAATGCGAGTTGTAGTACTCTGTATCGAATTTTGCCAAATCGTGTAGATTTCGCAACACTGAACAAGTTCACAACTAGACTTAAAAGTGAAACTGATGAAGCAAGGCTCCGCGTCATCGATGATGGATTAGAAAAGGTATTCGTTTGGTATCAGGACCTCACAGTTGAACAAGTGGAAGCCTATAAGAGTGATCCAGCCGTAAGTGGTGTGGCTTGACTGGTCATCATGGACTTATGAGCTAAGAACTTTAGGTTGCTGCAATTCTCCCTGGCCCAGGGCCAAGGTTGTCTTCAGAATTCAGGTCTGATGATATGGGAAAGTCGTGGCTGGAAAGGCATTCCACGTCGCCAGCGACCGATGTATTTGGGGAAAAGACTAATGCGAAGAGCAACTCGTCCCACCTAGTGAACAGACAGGTACCCTCTGACCCCGTACCGATACCAGACATCTCTAAAGATGTCACATACACCGATGTCAACGCCCTCGAAGATTTACGGGTCTTTTCACAACCAATCAACAAACCCTTGTCGGAATTATTTGGGTACTCATATCGTAATGAAAGCAACCCAATGTTTTCGAAAGAGGAAAAAAGTCCTCGACCTAGAGTGTATATCTTTGACAGTGGAATGGACAAAAACAGTGAAACTTACAAGTCCTTTGCTCCCGGGCAAGTCGAGTGGTTACATATAGAAGGCGATGCGCTACGTCCGAACCTTGGGGTATTCGAGACCGATCCTCGTGAAGATGATTTCCACCCTAGGTTTCATGGCACATTTATGGCTTCTAAAGCTGTTGGCGGAAGGTTTACTGTGTCCAAAAATGCCACTTTAACGATTGTACGTCGTCCGAAGCCGATATTCACCCAAGAGGAGATAGATCGAGGCTACACTGAAGACACCTTCCCAATTCAGCAGTGCGAATATGCTCTGAGGGAAATACTTATAGACATCAGACAGCGAAAAGCTGCATTTACCAGTGTTATTAGCTTGTCTCTGGGTATCAGCGCAGGTGGCCCTATTCAACCGAAAACAGCCTGGTCTACGAACCCAGCTGATGATCCTATGAATGAGTTCGCTCCTTTCTGGCGCACGCTCTATTCGCTGTCGGAGATAGGAGTCACCGTTGTTGTATCTGGGGGTAATTATGCTTCAAACGACCCTAACAGGCCTTTCCATGGGCCAGTTTCCTATCAGATGAGTAACATGCCGGGAATTTATAACGACAAGATCCCCCTGATCGTTGTGGGCTCTGTTGAGAATGATGGCCGTCGCGCCGACTCTCAACCGTGAGTCGCCTGGTCTCTATTGGACTTTGCTAACTTAGCCGCAGATATCTACCTTATCCAGATTATTGGCCTAACGCGCATAACGATGTGTATGCGCCTGGCGAGCCGAGTGTTTGTGACAACGGACCATCATTGCCTAATGGCTACTCAGGTTCTGGCTCATCACTTTGTAAGTAATAATTGATTTAGTGGAAACTTTGTTAATCGTTTATTCCAGCTGCAGCTAGTATTGCTGGTTTGGCAGCCTACTACCTTGGTACACCAGGGCACGTAGAACGGATACACGAAAAATGGCTACAAGGAGATCAGACGCCTAAATCCTGGGCAGAAAATGTGAAAGCTTATGTTGTGGAAAAGTCCTACCAAAGGCTTGACGGACAACCGGGACCACCTGTCAATGTAGCTTGGAATGGCGAAGCACCTCCGGATACCTGCCCAATTCCCCCTTCACGAAAACGTCAGGCAGACGATTCGAAAGATAACAAAGATCCGAACTGTGAGATGATATGGCATGAGATTTACCCTAAGCCTGTCGACCTGGCAATACAGAATAACTTTACAGCTAGATTAAAGCAGGAAACTAATGAAGAGACTCTATATGTTATTGGAGGTTCTGGTTCTACTAGGGTATACCTTTGGTACCAGGTCCTTACCCCCGAGCAAATAGAAGACTATAAAAAAGACCCGGCTGTACGTCATACACTTGAGGCATTGATTCAACGAGCTAATTTATTAGGTCGCGGATATTAAGAAGGTAGATCCTGGCTCTATACAACTCATCTCTAATAAGATTCTCGGTGCTCCTGGACCTTTAACCGAAGACGTAGCGAATGGTACGAAAGGAGACGTCCCCGCTGTCAATAAACGGAAGCTTCCCACCAACCCTCTCCCAGTACCAGACACTACTAGAGATCCCATCATCGTCGACTCTGATGCACCTGCCGATTTGAAATTTATCTCCCAACCTCGCAGCGGTCGCTTATCATCAGATTTGAGTCCCAGCGTTCCCTTAGAAGATTTGCGTGGCTTTGCTAGGCGTGAAGAAACCACCCACCCAATATTTCCGGAGCACCCATGAATCTATGTTCTTGACACCGGGTACAGTAGGTACGGCCCGACATATGATCAACTACAGCCCAATCAATTAGAATGGATGTATATATCACCTTTTGCGCTACCTCCAGCGTTCGGTCGGTATGAGTCAACCCCACGCGAGGATGATGTGGCTACCGACTTTCATGGAACATGCATGGCATCTAAGGCTGTGGGGGAAATGTTTGGGGTCTCCGAAAAAGCTTCTTTAACGATTGTGCGTCGCCCTACCGCTATATTAACCGATGAACAAATTAGGAGTGGATGGACCTCTAACTCTTCCCCTACTCCACAAATTGTCCTTGGCCTAACGATGATTCTTGAAGATGTCAGAAGAAGACAAAATGGACCATCCAGTATTCTTGCCTTTTCCTCGAGTTGCACCCCCCCAGATGGTCGCATCACACCCGGCAGTGAGTGGTCTGTTCATCCAGCAGATTACCCTAACAATATAAACCATCCCCTTTTTCAAGTTCTTAGGGATCTATCGGATGAAGGTGTTACTATCGTAACATCGACTGGAAATCAAGGAACAGATGATCCTGCGCAGCCCTTTCATGGCCCCGATTCATATCGAATAACTTCAATGCCAGCAATTTTCAATGACCGATTACCTATAATTGCCGTAGGCTCAATTAAAAATGACGGCACTCCCTCCCCTATACAGCCGTGAGTAGTTATTATTTCTTATGCGAACTTTCTAGGAGTGTAGATTGACCTTGTGCCAGATATCTTGCTTATCCACCATTTTGGCCAAACGCAGAAATAGATGTATATGCGCCAGGTTACCCCGCTATTTGTGACCAGGGACCGCTTCATCGCTACGGGGCTCCCGTATACGGCTCTTCAGCTCGTAGGTGCTATATAATCTCTGGCCATTGAAGCGTCACTGATACCGTGATCTAGCTACAGCCAGCGTTGCGGGTCTAGTAGCTTATTATTTAGGTACGCGGGGGCATGTAGACCTAATACACCAAGAGTGGGTAAGAGACGGACGGAAAACGCCTAGGTCTTGGGCCGAGACTGTCAAAGCATATGTTGTTGGAAGGTCTTATGAAAGACAATATCGCCAACCACTTCCGCTGGGTCCGCCACAGGCGTCGAATGCAGTCTGGAACGGTGAAACTGAACCTGGGTCTTGCCCGGTGCCTGCTGCCGTGGCTTCTACGGACAAACGTCAGGCTGATGATTCGCCAAGCGATAAGAGCTCGAGTTGTGCCATCTCATGCAGGATCTATCCTAATCATGTCGATTTTACGATAATAGATGCTTTCTCAACCAGGCTAAAGCAGGAGACTAGTGGATCGACTCTATACACAATTGGAAATCCCGACAAGGTCTTTTGTGGTACCAAAGTCTCACCGCTGAGCAGATTGAATTGTATAAGAGCGACCCCGCTGTAAGTTGTGGTATCTCAGATTTAAATCAAACCATAAGCTAATGTGTTTAGGTTGCGGGAATTGACCCAATAGTTCCTGGGGACCCGGAAATGACCATTAAGTCAGAGAAGGTGCCTCAGCCGGAATCTGGATTATCGAGTGCTAGCGATAGCTTGCTTCATGATCCGGTAAAGAGACAGGTCCCCTCCGTACCTATACCAATACCAGATGTTTCTCATGAATTCGCAAATCTCGACCCTGGCGCACAGCCTGATTTACGAGTTATCTCGCAACCCCCTAACAAGCCAATAGGTGCCTTAACTGGCTTTGCATAGCGCGACGAATCAAACCCAATGTTCCCAGAACAACAACCTAGGGTTTATATCCATGATAGTGGATTCGATAAGAGTGGCCCTACCTACAAATCACTAGCTCCTGGTCAATTAGAGTGGATGCATATACCAGGCAATGCGTTGCCCCCGGTCTTAGGTACATTCGAGACAGTACCCCGTGAGGACGATCCATCTCCAATTCTTCACGGTAGTTGTATGTTAGCGAAGGCTGTAGGCGGAAAGTTCGCTGTCTCTAAAAGGGCTAAAGTGACAGTTATACGTCGTCCAAAAAGAATATTAAGTCAGCAGGAAAAGGACAATGGTGCACATGCTGACGAATTTCCAACGGAAACGGTCCTTTTAGGGTTACAATTAATCCTTGAAGATGTTAGGAAACGAAAAAGTGGGATGTCTAGTGTTGTCTCTTATTCTTTCAGTCTCACGCCAGGTGGTCTAATTAGCCCAACTAGTGCTTTCGCTAGACCTTCATGGCAGGTGCCAAATCATAAACACGCTGCCTTGTTTTCGGCTATAAATGATTTGGTCGATGAAGGTGTCACCATTGTAGTGGCATCTGGAAACCAGGGCAGCTTGGATGTGAACGAGCCTTGGCATGGTCCAATCACATATCAGCTTATAGATGTGCCGTCGAACTGGAACGATAAATTACCTCTGATCAGTGTAGGCTCAATTCAAGCAGATGGTAAACGCTCACCATTGCAGCCGTAAGTACCATTTGCTCTACTTACCTTTACCTAACAGTATATTAAACCGATTTTAGGTATCTACCTTATCCTCCGTACTGGCCCAATGCACACTTAGATATTTATGCGCCTGGTCATCCTGTTTACTGCGATAATGGGCCAGTTTATAGTAATGGGTTCCACGATACGGCTCATCAGGTGGTACGTAGTATAAATCTTTTTGTTAACATATCATATATCATACTAACAAATTGTTATAGCCACATCTTCTATCGTAGGGTTGGCGGCCTACTTTCTAAGCACACCGGGGCATGTAGAATTAATACACCAGAAGTGGTTAAGTGACCTCGACGAACTCCTCGGGCCTGGGCAGAAGCTGTAAAGGCATATGTTATTGAAAAGTCGTATGTTAGATTACCCGTGGCAACTCCACAGACAGGCGGGGCGATTAACGTAGCATGGAATGGCGAAATGGAACCCCAGTTCTGTATGCTTCCAAAGCGTGAGGAGGGCGGTTCACTGGAAGATGGAAATTCTACTTGTGCAGATAGCCCGGTGGAGATCAGCTCTTCATACGCTTCTGTAATTAGTGAAATTTCTTCACGATCGGCGCGCATCGCAAGCGATGTATCTGCTTCTGAGCAATCCGTACTTGCATCCGTCTCCTCGAGACTCAGTCACTTGAGTGAGCTGACAGCTCATTTAACTACGGCACCTCTAGCCACGCCATCTAAAACTCGCCCATCGGTTTACCAACCTACGACCACGCCGGACATGTCATCAGCTCGATGCCAAGCATGTAGCGCCGCCATGAGATTTAGCGAATGTGTGAGTGGGGGTGCCAGATGCATTGTATACGAATGCAGAGCCAACGAGGACTGCAAGAAGTGCGGAATTGATTGTGAACAATACGTATTGTGTGTGGGTGGGGAGAGTTGTGCTCCGTAGTAAATAGAGAGCCTCTTTAGACTATACGGTAATAGATGCGTAACCTTAATTTCTATCTGAGGCTGGAAATCTTGCGCTTTCTTCATTTGACGCACGCATTTTATTGTGATTTTCTTTCATATGCCCGACCGGTTTGGAGAGGTAGAATTACCTAGAATTACAACCACATTCGCAGCTCTTTTCGGAAAACACATCATTGATGTCACCCAATCATTGCGGTTGTGGATGGAAAGGATTTAATGGGTCATCATACATTTTTATTTAGAAACTTGCCGATGTTTGTGGAGTCAACGAAGTCAAGATTTTCAACAACTAGGATGCTTCAGACCTGCTGTTGTTGGCTTTCAAGCCTTTGATGTTGGCTCACAGCCCCCGCAAGTTTTATTCGCATTTAATTATGCACGCGATTATATGACTTTACCAAGCGACACCGTTTTAACATAGTCAAGATAGCGTGGAGAAATATTGCTTTCGCTGAACCTGTCGATAGCTTGCAGAGAGTTGATAAATGAAACGTATGGGCACCTGCATGACATTCATGAAGAGAAAAGTGCAATATATTTCCCAATAGAAGCTTACCGGGCGAAGATAGCGGGCAATGCATGTCGATCCCCTGAAATCCAATCGGCAAATAGGCATCTAAAATTTAAAGATTGCTTCTTCTTATTGTCCTTGGGTTTAATTAAATGCACGCTTCTCACTCTTTGGTGCTACCGGGCTGTCGGGATCTACGCACGAGGCGTGCTTTTGAGTGCTTGCCGAATCGTTCTGCCTTGGGGCCCAAATGAAGCTATATTTTGAGGGCTTGCTCAAGATTCTTTTTATTGAAAAGCATCTTGTTCATCGCCCCACCGATTAATGTTGTTCACCTGCGAGTCTTTTTTTCGAAATTCAGTCAAAGTGCCGTTCCCTCTTTACATTGATACAAAATGGTCCGCAGCACAAGATCATCAACTTTAATTGCAGTAAGTTCTGCTCTTGGAATCTTAGCTATCGCTTCTGTAGTCGGCAAATTCTGGGCTCGCCGTTTCAAGTATACCAAGCCTGGGATTGACGATGTTCTACTCGTTCTTGCACTTGTGAGACTCCCTATCAACAAAACTTGTCCTCGTCGTAAAGACACAGCTGATTCATTCGGATAGATATTAACATTGGGCGTTGTCGCCATCAATATTTTTGCTGCGATCTGGTCGCGCATTGGTGAACATGAGATTATGTACGACTCGGGACCGGACGCCGGAACACCGCTAGAATGGCAGGTCAGTCATCAGGTTATTGTGAGTTAAGTTCATACTACTTGAATCGACCTTTCCTTCCGAAGACAGACTTATAAATTTACATTAATTATAGACCCTTTGGTGCCTCGAGATTCTTCACACTTGTGCTATGCCAGCCGTAAAAGCATACACTCTCGCATTCTATCTACGAATCTTTGTCTCCCGGTCTTTTCGAATAGCTGTCTACATTGTAGGAGCATACGTCTTCGCTTGGTGGGTGGCGGTATTTTTCACCACGGTATTTCAATGCACCCCTATCGGTCCTATCGTGACCTTGAAGACGAAATGTATCAATGCACTTGTAAGTTGTCACGTTACAGAAATGTATGTTTAGGTTCAACAGCTAATCTTAACTGGTCCAGCTGTTTTTTCAAATTCCTGCTATCTTGAACATGGCAAGCGACATCGTCGTAATAGTAATGCCCATTCCGGTGATTATGAAATTGAAAATGCCTTTTCGGCACAGGATCATAGCGTCTGCAATTTTGCTGACTAGTTCTTTGTGAGTAGAAAGCCATGACAAAAGACGATACGTATCTTCAACTGACTAAGTCATGATATAAGATTCATCGTCGCTGGAGTTGGTCGTACCGTCGTTTACTACACACTTCCGGATGACTACGACTATTCATGTAAGTTCGGCTCCTATCATTCTTCACGGACTTATAAAAGTATTTCGGTCAGAAACTAACCCGAGTCTAGGGCATGAGTTCCCAATGATCATGTGGAACTCTGTTGAGCCATGCATGGGTTTGATAGGTGCTTGTCTACCGTCTTGTCGTCCGATTTTCGCTGGCTTCTGTTCTAAAACTCTGCTCAAAAATATCAGAACCAAATTATTATCCCGCTTTTTAAAGGTAGGTTATCCATAAATAGACAGCAGGTACAGCAGAAGAGAGAGCAGGAAATGGCTGAACAATAAGTATCTACTTTAAATTTCCCAACCAGGATATTTCCACACCATCCAACCAAATGGTATAGGATAGTGTTTCCGTTACAAATAAAATACACTGTGCAAGAGCTCTTTTGCTCATAGCCTCACGCACAGTTCTTTGAAGATATAATGCAGGTCAGTCTCCTGAAAGTTGGTAAGGAATGTACCGAGTGGAGATGACTGTCTATCAGAAGTTGCTAGATCACATTGACTTCAAATTTGGATATGAGTAGTTTTCTAAAATCTCAATGTACTTTTCTGTAGCCAATTATCTTTGCTTCAGGTGAAGATATCATTTAATATTATTGTAACCCACCGAACTACGAACTAAGGTGGATGCATGAAAAAAGGACGAGGCTTTCGTTAAAAATAAAAAATTAAACGGTATCAAATACCAAGCCGCAAACCTGTCTTCAAATGCGGGTCGATTACACCTACTTGTGCACTCAGAATCCTTGCTACCATTCTCATAGAATCAATAAACTGACATCCGGCATTTCGGGATACTTACCGAAACCACTCCATGTTCTGATCCCCTGAGCGTTTCATTCTCCAGCTTTAAAAATGATTATATTAAGAGCCGTGCTTACGTATCTGCAGGCTGACCGTCTAAAAAGCAGCGGGCTATTTAAAAAGTGGTATAAATAATGTCGATCGTTTTGGCGTAATGCTGGAGGCCTAGGTGTTGGGGTAGCACACCAGCCTTCCGCGTGGGAATTTCTCGTAGACCAGGCTAAAAACGTGGCATACCCGTTATCTAGATTAACGTCTTGGTGGTACAACATCGTGCAAAGCAGATGATAAGGGAAACGGGCAGCTTTTCCTTCAAGAGTTGCCAATCTGTTGTGTACTCTTTGAATATATGCCCGCTTAGAATTGGTTAAAGAATACCACACACGTACGAAAGCAACCTTCCGGGATTAGGTAGACAAGTGCGACTCTTCAAACAATTTGAGTTGCAGAAAATTTGAAGGTCTCCATTTTGCGATGGCCAATTAGGTCACACCTTTTGCGAAACCAGGTCACTCATGTATTATCCCTGTTGACAATTTTGAGACATACAAATAGAATGGAGGCCTGTTCAGATGTAAAAGTTTGCACCCAATGTTGCTATAGATTACTATCTTAATTTTATTTCGTACAGCATGCAGATTGCTGGCACATGAAAAATATTCGATATTGCTTAAACACTTTACGTGGTGTCTGTTATCTTGTCCTATCGACAGAGAGCATTGGTTACCTGAGATTGTCTAGCCGACTATGGTCACAATCCGATAAGGAACCATACTTCAGAACAATCTGTCTGTTGGAGCCAAGTTATGAACCTTCGTGAGAAGGGAAGTGGTGGAGTAAGCAATAGAGGGAGAAAGTAATATATTGAGATGTCTAAAGGAGAGTAAGTGAGCAGAGTTCGTACGAGGTATATATAAAGGAATAGATGGAACTAAGCCGAAAGAAGATTACACGTTGTTCCAGGTCAACACAAGTCATATTCAAATGTAGTTCCGATTTTACTGAATGCGAATCTTTTCCGCTTTGACAAGTTTCGATCCGACATATAGCCCCATATGAAGCACTCAATTGTATTCAGCAAGGAATTTTGCATATGAGTCCCAGATTTCAATCCCTCAACAACTCCATTTCTTTCAACCTTCACACCTGATCGGTAGTCTGCGGATCGCACAACAGCTTGCCCCCAACTCTAGCAACAAGTATCGTCATCTGCCTCTTGTCTCTGGCATGGCGTGAGCAATCGATGCTGTGTTCCTTCAATGGTCCGCTTTCACGGGCTTGCAGCAGCTTAGTGCTTGATTCTGTTTATGTAAATCAAGATGTACATGTGCAATATACATTTAGCGGTGGATACATACCTCGAGTTATCGGAGCTGACATTGCCACCCCAATGAGAATAGTTGCGTAGACGTATGTCAAAAATGAAGGCATTGGTGGTATCGAATGGATTCTTGAAATTTGGAAGAGTTGTGTGATGTTTATATCATAGGTAGCAATTTGTAGACTGGTTGAAGATAGTAACGGAAATCCAGAGCAGCGGGATAGCGAGTATTTATGGTTCTCTGACACTGTTACACGAGTAATCAATAACAAATAATGAACGCCTCGACAGAAATCAGGCCCATGTTCCGCCTTAGTACATAAATTAATCTGTGAACTATAATTAGACATGTGGATGCACATGTTCTTTATGATCTGTCCGATCCCATGTATGAAAGCCTCGCAGCTTCATTTATGATAATTGCAATTCATAAATTGCAAGCGCTTTGAGCTCTCAGGTAACAGTGTGTCTTGCATTAATCTAGAATGTGCATAATTCTCCAGTCGAGATGGACATTAACTTGAGTTTGTGCTGCAAGCTTTGACGGGGATGAAGAAGTGAAATTCGAGAGCTATTAAGCTACATATATACCAGAATCAAATTGAACGAAGAGGAAAGATTGACGGTATGATTGATCTTTTTATCAAACTGACCGTATATTCTCTCAGCGATATTGCCGCCTCTGTGAGAGACTTGTAACACAAGTTTGTAATTTATTGATGTGTCTGTGAGTACTGTTGCCAAAACAACAGAGAAGAATGACAGCCGGTAAATTTAATATTGTATTAAATGTGAAATGAGTTTAAAGTGTGCTCATGAGCTTGATACATCAGTCTCTTATCGATTTATCGAAGGTTCAGCTTCTCGATTCTATTTATAGCTCCACCAGGCTCGCCCCCACGACGGTATTCAGCTGAAAATGGCTGCTTGAACTCAGTGCTTATCTGTCGCAGTTGCGATTGTTACGGTCATAAGGCTCTAGAATTTTTCTGTTTTTGACACAAATACTCAATCTTTAGCTTCGAGCGCCTTGGGTTCACGATGTCAGACGGCGATGCAGTGATCTCAATAGGACCTGTGGATGAGCCCCTGGTGGAAGACGCAGAAAAAGCGACAGGTGAAGAGTATCCTTACGTCGAGGAAATCTTCAGGCTGGCAAAAGAAAATCAGAGGTATTGAACCTGGTCGGGATATGTCTGCTATGCCAATGCTAAAATAAAATTCTAGGTACAAGAAGTTGGCTTGGGCATTGAGAAATGGATTGAACGATGTCGGTAGAAAACCGACCTTCGGATATATCATCGACTTTGAGGAGGAATATGTTCGGATCCAGCATTTCATAGATGCTGATAGTGCGCTGCTGTTTCCTGGCGAATGCAAAACTCGCCCCGATTCGGTCATATCAAGGATTATTATCATAGAGAGCGAGAATGACGTTGATCGTTCAACTTCAAGCGCTGACTCCAGCTACTTGAACCGTAGTTCGTCTGATAGCAGCGACGCCTCGTCGGCTACTTCTTCGACTCATAGTACCAAGGGTCCAGTGCTACCCTATGCTGCTCTGATCGATGCGGTTGGAAGTACATATCAGCTCTCACCATTTTTCTTTCAAGAACCGTTCAGCGTAAGTGAAAATCAATATTTGAGACTGCGGCAACAAGCGGGAGAGGAAGATATACTCTTATCTTATCCAGATGGCGCTTTTGAAATTCGAGAGAATCCTCTATTAGAGACTTGTTCCCCGCCTACAACATTGAAACTCCACTTTCAGGGGGACTATGAACATGCACCGAATCTTAGTATTGTTGTGAAGCAAAAGGATGAGGCTCTGAGTTGTAATGTTGGTCAGCATCTCCTCTAAGTTTGAACCGCTATTGGGCTAATTAATGGCTGTTGGGGAACAGTTGTTGTCCTAGTGAACTCACTCAGCCATCTACACAACGACTACAACTTGCCAACAAACGTACCGGTACTTGAGTTGCTGAAGAATCTTCGCCCAGAGCAATACGAAAGTGCCATCAAACGCCCAATTGAGTACCTAGGTCCATTCTTATCAGTTATTGAAGCCTACTTCACTTATGAAGTACTACGCCTACGACAAGCGCACACCGAATGGATGCGAATGACAATGATAACGGCAACTATTTTAGGTGGGTATCAGGACGAACTTCTCTCCAAACGCTGGCGACTCACTAGATTGATAATCGAAGACTTTGACTTGATGGTCGGAAAACTGGTGTCCATCCAAGAAGACGGAGTCTTGGCGAGCCCGAAACTTCAACCAGCGTTTGAGAGATACCGCAGAATGTTAGCACGAGCCCGATTACTGGAGCAACATATTCGCGACGATATTCAATTGAACGTGGGAAATCTGTCGCTGCAAGAGTCCCGGAAATCCCTACAACAAGCAGACAATATTGGTCGGATCTCTATCCTGGCATTTGTTTTCGTTCCTGTTTCTTTGGTAACATCTTTCTTTGGAATGAATATTAAAGAAGTCACTGGTTCTGGGGCTCCATGGCGAACTTTCCTGATTTCTGCAGCTGGCCTTTGTGTTGCTTTGCTGCTCGTATGTGCTTGGCTTTGGCGGAGGACTATTCGATCCTGGCTCATGCCGCTGCGAATTTGGGTTCACAATTGGCGAGCCAGGAGGAGAAGGCAGTTGAGCGAGTCATGAGACTCTACCCACTTGTACCTAGAAAGTAAGATCTTGAAAGAGCGATGAGGCGATATGGAATTTTCACATAATCTCTTGCTGACCTTCGTTGAAATCCTACCTAAGCAGTGCAATATCGTTCTAACACTGCGATTTCCGCGTTTTACAAATGCTTCCCAAATCTCAAAAGCTCAGTCGGAAGCCAACAAAGCCCTGGGTGCAACGCAGTCGAATTCGATGTTCATAATCAATTCGTCAAGGTTTTCAGGAAACCAAAAGACTTCCGGCGAAGCTCCCTGAACAAGACGTCTGGGGGTAGCAAGTCTTCGACACGGTCGCTCGAGGCCACAGCTATCAGGATAAAACTCCTATTGAGCTCCTCTCGAATTGAATTGAATGGCGAAAGACAGTTCCAGGAGAAGGAGGCACCAGTCGGCTTGTGTTTGGTGTTTTGCGTTTTGAATAAAAGAGAATAAAGACTATGATTGGGTATAAATCATGGGTGTGATATTCACGCACTGTGGGGAATACTGTGTCGTTCATTTCATCAAAGACGAGCTTGATAACACCAGAGTCGCAATTTGAACCGTTGTACTCACCGGAATATGGTTTTAATATTTTGAAAAATGATAACAGGTTTGGTCTGTTGTTGATGCGAGCCGATGATGGTCCGAGCTTCCATTTCTCGACCAAAGCTTCTCCCGCCAAGCTCGACCAACAACAATTTCTGTGGCGGTGGCAGTGCGGCAGTAATGCTTCAATCACTCCAAACTGCCCACGAAAATTGGTCCGGCTTACTCTTTCTGCCCTCAAATCTGCCAAAATCAAATGCGAAGATGCTTGCAACATGCTTCAACGTGCGTCTTCAAGAGCATGCGGTAGGTTGAATGTGGTCAGCGGACAGCGTCGCCCGACTGCAGTGCGGTATATTTTCAAGCTGACTCCCTTATATTGTGTTCCTCTTTTCGTGGAACAGCTCCTAACGATGATTTTTACTACTAAATGACATAGCTAGCAAGATGGAGAAAGCACCAATTCGAGAGGTTGCAAGCGCCATAGCCTCACTAAACTTATCGGACGCGAATACAACTGTCCTACACGTCTACCACTTCAACAGGGAAGATTCGAAGAACTATGTTGTCCACACCCTTCGCAATTCATTAACGCCAATTGTTTTGCCCAAGAAGACAGCGAAGAAAGGCAAAAGTGATACCGCCGAAGTTGAGAAGCTCCCAGAAACAGAGGAAAATGACGGCAAACGTGGGGTTATAGCACCCTCGAGAGAGCAGCATTGGGCGAAGCGGTTCGCGGTGCAAGCTGCCCGTGTCAAGGTCTATGATAAAGCGAAACACGATCCACGCGCCGACCCTGTGTCTCCTCCTCCAGACTGCGAGTCTTACTTCGTCCATCTGCCTACTCTCTGGGGCCACTGCCCACCATATACTCTCCGCAACAGAGGTCACAAACGCGCACCGGTTGTCTGTCTTTTCGATCCACGCCTCTTCTGGAGACAATGGAAATTGGAATTCGGCGATGTGTTGACACAAGAAGGGGTTATCGACGGCCGAGGTCTTGTGAATTGGCGACATGGAACGAAGAAAGGCGAAAATGGCACTTTGAAAGGCTACAAGGATAGGAAACGCAGATGGTGGTTGGAGAGCGGGAAGAAATATTTCTACGAGCAGTTGGAACATGGTCATATGATCCCCGAAGCTGCGGTCAAGGCGAAGCCAGAGGAGGTTGTTAATGTGAAATGGACGGCGCCTTTCGTTCGAGCGAGAGAATACAACTTCGTCTGGCGAGGCTTTCAATTTGCTTGGAAGGGCACAACGGTTGTGGATGTACAGCCGAAGAAATTTGGATGGTTCAGAGAGACGATGACCAGATGGAATCATCTCAAGCTCATCGTCACGGTTCTAGACCAAGGGGAACACTTGCAAAATGGGCCATCGGAAATTGTGCTGGCGCGCTATACGTCTGTTTTATCCGCTCGTAAAGCTGGTCGTCTGGAGATTTTCCACGACATGCTAGATTTATTTCTTAGAGAGAACTTGACGGCTCTTACCTCAACTGGGGGAAATATAGTCCTTGAAAAGCAGGATCCTGCCACAGTCGACCCTTTCCAAGATCTAGGTTCTCCGACAGAGCCCCGTTCCGAGGAAGAAAAGACAGCGCAACGATTGAAAGATGTTGTTGTTGCATCTGCTATGTGCATGATCATGGGCGAGTTCCAGAAAAGGGAATGGGTCTGGGCTCTCTTTTGGTTGCTTGTTGATGCTGCACAGAATGGTGGCGGATGAGAGTAAGTATCAGCTTCCATGAATGTCTACTTCCGTGCACGCGTTCCTTCATCGAATTCACAGGTCAGGATAGCTTAACCGGAGCTGCTGAATTGTCAAATGAGCGTTACATGGAAGTGTGCCTTCATGGTAGTTGAGGAGGCAGTGTTTGGTAGTCCGAGACTCGGCATCGCGTTTTTGATACCCTTTTGTTCTCCCCGGGTTTCATTAAGTTCGTCGCAATCTTTGGGTTCAAGTCGCTATCTAGTCAGATGTTTTCTGACCTATATTCTTGATATCTTTTCTCCTATATTTGCGCGCTAGTTCTTCCGGCATCGTCGAAAATCAATATAGTCATGAAGTAGGGTACTATTATAACAACCGCCTACTACCACAATCATTAACCATTTATCTGTTCAAGCTTCTTGATTATTAGAAGTAGCTCCCTGTGTACCTCGACGGTCACGAGATTTCTCTCTGGTCTGGATTTTATACATTTCCTATTCGTCAATTCTCACAGCCCCACTCCCCTTTCTCCAGGAGCATTTAGAGCAACCTTTCCCATCCCGCTTCAGTCATGCACAACCCGTCTGTTCCATCCCAGCCGCAACCCCACACCAATGCATGCCGCTCCCCTGAAAACCCGTCGCCCTCACCTGAAACACCGCACAGGAAAGTGGGAAGCGAAAGTACGGTGACATCATTTCGGAACGCGAGTCAATAAGTAAGCTCAAGGAACCAAGTGTAAATAATCAAGGCATGGGATGACGAGCTTGATGGATACGGATGAGGGACACGTAAGTTGGTGGTTTATATTGAGCTTGTCCCCGGATTTCTGAGGAATCTCTTTTTACTATTCTGCGAGTTTGACAATTGGATTGAAAACTGTACAACCATCAAAACCAGAATTATAATTCCAGCAGATTATCAAATTCTAAACGTAAGCAATCTATCCCTCTGCAATTCAATCCCAGATCTAACACCCCATCCAGCCATCCATCCTCAACCGCCAAAATGTCAGACACCCAACAACAACAACAAACCCAACAAAACGGCCAGCAGCAGCAGAATGGCAACCAACAAGTCGCAGCCGGCAGCGGCCAGCAGCAACAATACATGATCCCTCCCCGCGCCGAGGGATACCGTCCAGCGGCCATCCGCGAATCCAGAATCAAGGACCGTCCGTATTCGCCCGTCGAAGCGAGTTTGAAAATTAAGATTGAGCTGGATTTGGAGGTCGAGGTCGATCTGTATGCGAGGGTTAAGGGTGATGTTACGATTGGGTTGATGTAGAGGGCATATAGGGTTGAGGGAAAGGATGGCCTGCTTGGAGGAGGAGGGCAGTGATGGGGTGGAGAAGGGAGATAAATCTTGAATAGCGAATCGAGAGGGGTGTCACCGGGTGTAAGGTGTAGGGTGTAGGATGAGTTTGGTGTTGTGGGTTTGGAGTTTAGGCTGGGACATATGATGAAAAATTAATGACTTTCAGATCTATTCATGAATTATTCTCTTTTTTGCCGGCGTTGATGGCGCTCCCGAGTCCAAAATTGCCAGTCGCGAAACATGGCATCTACTAATGAGACGACCAGCAATCTATCGAGTAAGGGAAAATGAAACAAGTACATCATAATGTTGAAGGTTAGGACTGACTCGAGCGCCTGCTTTCCAATAATCACAAACAATGTCCCAAAATAGCCGAGGAATTCTTGGAGGGATGTCGTGAAAGTATTAGTGTCCTCAGTTATTCCTCGCGCCAAAAACTCATTCTTCCGATGGAACGTGCAGTGGAGGATTAAGCAAGCTTCCACATTTATATGTGAATGAGTTCCTTGACTCCTTCAGGTTCAGTGGACATTTGACACTTGAAAATATCTGTTACGTGGTGAAGACTGTGAGTGTAGACGTGCATGAAGCCGGTTGAAGAATTTTGATTCTATCATAAAGTAGCAGGAGGGTTTGTGGGTCTATAATGATGGATGGTTGATTGATAGTGTGGAGTTGAATTTTTTGTGAGTGATGCGGTTGTGCTGCCGATTTGGAAATTATCACCGAATTTTGTGAATTCTTGTTTCTAAATATAAAAGTCCGTGAAGTGGTTTTATTTCTGAAGTTGATTTGCTTTGGTGGGCATGTTCTCTCCAAATAGAAATCATATGTAAGTGTAAACGGGATTTAATTCTATCGGGGAGTAGCCCCCAATGTATGTTTTCGCAACTCTACAATATATTATATTCGTCGACGCTGTTCTGTATTTTATATAGTTAAGGAACAGTCATCTTGAGAACGTTTTTCGATGCGTTTCGTAGCGTATTTCGATGAAAGGAGAATGTTGATGTTTGACACATTGTTATTCTGGAGTATCTCTTTACTTTTGAAATCATCTTTCGAAATTAAATTCTACGTGAGCAAAAGTTATTTCTTATCAATCCAACCTCCCCCTCTCAAGTATCACTTACCTAGGTTACCAGCCTACTCCACTGCTGCCTCTTCCGTTAATTCGCAAAGCTCAAGACGCATGGAGAAGAATCACTTAACCTAGAGAAACGGTACACATTAAACAATGTTTAAATATCAAAAGATGTTCTCTTCTGTAGATTATTGGGTTTACGAGAACAATCAGTTCAACAAGTTGTAAGTCGTAGAGGGAGATGGGGTTTGATTCTACGTATTATGGAGTTATCTGGTTTAGTGGTTAGGTGATTGAATGGAAGAAGTGGACGAAAGAAGGACATTGTTGTTAAAGCTAAGGGGGAAGGAGGTTGTTGTTGCCGATTTGAATCTTATCACCGAATTTGTAAAAGCCGTTATGAGTAGTCATTTTAACAAGGGAACGTACTTTAGTTAAGCGAGTATTATTATCCACAATCAAAATAATTCTATGAATAACAATATGATTTTTGGTTGTATTAGTAGTGGATCCGCAACTCTCTCCGGTTCATCTGTCAGATCGTGTGGTCGTAGTCTTAAAACGTCGGATCGTTCGCTATTTTATAATGCTTAGGAAGGACTTCCTTAGTTTCAGTATTATGGGTCTTTGAGGTGTAGTTTTAGGGAGAAAGGTTAGATCGTAAAATAGATTGCTAGTGTGCGAGATGTTTATTTTTTACGAAGAACAGTTTGAAATTACAGTTTTTAAAGATAATCTAGATTTACACAACCTCAACCAAGAGCGCAAGAGCACTTGACAAGGAAAGTAATGTACTTAAACCCCGTATAATTTGTATTCTTGTCGAGAATGTAAAGCCTCCAGTGTCTGTTGCTCTCGATTCTGTAGCCTTTTACGTTATACCTATAAAAGCCACGGGTTTTAGATCGATATTAGAGATTTTTGAAACTACAATATTTTCTTCCTTAAATTTACCTAGATGTGTCTAGGCTTTGACGATAGTTGCTGATTATTTGTCACCGATTTTAAAATTACTAACGATTTTAAGTTCAACATTGAATTGAATTTTAAGAACGATGTCAAATTCAAGAACGTTTACTAAACCATAGCAACCTTTCCGAAAAATGGAATTGCACTTTATTCTACAATTAAAACTATTTCAACGTTCCTACTTTCCACGACAGACGACAAATCAAATAACCTTCCTTGTATTCTTAACAGCCACACGTGTGTCATGGCAAGATCTAAGCTATTTTAAACCGACTTTTCCAACCTCTCTCGTGTCAATAGATAGATCCTAATAACTTGCAGGAACTTTGCATTAACGAGCTCGGTACACTTTACCGTTCCTTGTCTCTGTTAATTGAACTTTCTTTATATCCCTTAAACAGCAAGAATTACAAGCGCCAAAACTGACTTCAGGTAGTTTCCACTTGGTCAAAATGACAATTTAGAAAGGATGGCCTTAATCTTTGGATCTGTGGTAACCAATTCGCAGATCCACCATATCCTAGATTCTGCGCATCGAATTCCGGATTCCGTATTCAAGTTGAGTAAAGATTTGTATCCATAACTGAGTTGGCTCACTCATGGATTCATTCAGCTACTGTTGTAATGGCACAGACATTTTCGAACGATGATAGTTGGGAACGCCACACCATTTGTATCGGGACTCCAAGCATATGCAAAAGTATTCGAGAAGAGGGTCGGCCAGCCCGTCCACAGCTGCCACTCTTTTGTGTATGCGTATTCTTCCGGCTGGCGCTGATATACCGACTTATTTGCCAACAGCAACAGGGCATCTCGAGTTGTTTTCAAAGTAAAGAATATCCTTGAGTTCACGGTGGATCTTCTTGATCACTATTGGATAATCAAGCTAGCGGTTTGAAATGTGAATGATCGACCGTGCAATACGGGCAGCAGTGGGCTCGAGCAGTTAATATGATAAGAACTGTTAAAAGTTGATGTTTGGCGGCGGCATTTCGAGTTAATCGCAAGTCGTCTTAGACTAAGTTTTTGTGTGTGTACTACCGCGCGGAGAAAGTTTACCACCGCATGATAATGTGACCACTGCCACGGTGTCGGGTTTCGTACGTGATAGTTGCCTCTAAGAACTGTACTTGCAAGTTGCACTTAATTGCTGGAGTCGAGGAAGTAACTGCTGCGTTTTCACCACCCCACCGTAATTTCTCCTTCATCGCACATCGTGTGGAAGTGCCAAAAAATCTTCTACGTTTCCTTCTCGAAACGCTGCTGGAGCCATGAAGTTGGAGAGCCGGCTACGGTCGTTCATTTTGAAAATTCCTCCCTCACCCAGCAAAAACGACATTTTCCAAAAAAGGTGCCATCAATGTAGGCAGTTACCGCTGTGCGTTGATGAATTTTCTAAACTCAGGACCCCTTTAGTCAACGCTTGTCGTCCGCCAGAATCTATTTCTCATTCTCGTTTTCATCCAAAACTGCAGCTCTACTTCGCTGCTTCGGGGGATATTTTTTTTTAGCGAAGGTCACTAAACGTGCCGTTGGACACATCATGTTTATAATCAAAATCGTGATTGGTCTGAATGGGAAGCTGTCGGGGCTACCCCAGAGTGATCGCAAGAAAGCGCGCATTTTCGGTATCGGGAATGATAGAAGAGAGGTGTGTGAGGAGTGCTGCGTGGAAGGATGCGATGTTGATGCACAGTTGGAACTTGGAAATAATTGTTCTCTTCGAAAGGTTGGATGCGTGTGACGATGTTTGAAATGAAGAAAGAATCAGTTGTGATAAGTGACGAAGGTTTTCTAGGAGTAAGGAGCTAATGGAATTTAGTCAACCAGAGTTGAGTTAATTAGGTCCCTTTTAACTCACCTGATCAAACATTGGTCCCCCTAGGGAACGACAACATCTATAACCTCGACCTTAGATATAGCAGCAATTAAAGATTAACAAGATCAACAAAATGCATAAGCGTATAGTTAGGCGGTGCTCATTATTTAACTCATTGCTTAGACTTAAAGAGCAGAAAGTGCCATGAGAACATTTCCACATAAGTATGGATATTACAGATCCAAAAGACCTTGGAATGTTCTGCTTTTCTCAATATATACGAACCATTCCGTTTCAACTAGGAAGTGGAAAGCTATAATGGGATGTGACGTTTTTTCTCCAGGATTATATTTGAATACAAGGTCGCAAAGAAGATCCGGTGCAAGCTACAGGACGAACCTCCCAGAAATGTGACAGTGCAAGTTTTGTTTGGCGACCTATACGCGGGGAAAAAGTTGAGTGCCTCTTAACCCCACAGTTATTGACTAGAAATAACCCCATGCGGTCGAAAGAAACGAAAAAGTGTCACTTCGTCATTAGTGGCTTCAATCTTCGGGTTTAATGATCAAATTATATGGTCTATGGTGTGGAAATAGAAGCTTCAACAAATTAAGATTTTAACTGTGCTCAAAATCTTCTACTTTTTGATATGATTATGATTTTCACTAACATGTGGTTAATATTTCAAGTCAAAGTCACCAGATTCACGAATCCTTTAGAGTGAGTCAGTAGTCCATTAACAAAATAGTCGAAATCGAAAGGAAGAAAGGCTATCGAAGTCACTTTCGTTCTTTCTGGACAAAAGATTTGGCCCAGATGAATCGTGCTGTATGAATATCTCCATCCTACTGCGTAGCCAACTGACCGATCAAATGACACACAAAATCCCTCCCTGTTTCGAGTCTCTCCTCGTCCTGCCACCCAGGAACATGGCAAAAAATTGCTTTAGCTGAGTATCTATTGACGAAAGCTTGCGCGAAACTTTCGTAAGAAATAAAGCCGCAAATGTAATTTCCAGCATCCGGATGAGGCCGGACCTCAATCTTTCCATTCCCCTCCCGCTCGCTCTTCAAATTAAGAGCTTGCTCGGTCTGTTGGGCAATCCTATCAACATCAATTCCTGAGACCGCCCACAATTGATTTGGCACCGTCTCACCCCAAGGACAAGGCCCAGAAAGATCTTTAGATGTCTCACCGACATCATCAGGTGGCATATAATACTCCAACGGCTCACTCATCCTCCCATTTCCCTCGTCAACACTCTTCACCGTTCCCTCCTTCCACGCACTTCTCTCCAAAGTATACCATTCCCAGCCATCCGCCATACCGAGATGAATGATGAAATCAATTTTATTACCATAACTCTCCCAGAGTTCCTTACAGTATTTGCGAACATATCCGTATTCAGATTTAACTGCACAGCCAGGACCAGAAGTGGGATTCAAGATTTCGATTTCTAGGGCTGTGCTGTTATACTCGGAGAATGGCGCGAGTTTTGAAGGCAGAAGTTTGGTGATCAAGTGAGATGCATTGTTGTCTTCGGAGTAGTGGCCTCCTGCTTCGTTTCCTGGGTCTTTGGGGAATGCCTGTGAAGAGAATGAACCGGCGTCCTAATAAAGATAGAAGGTCGAAATACTTACACCCATTCCGGTCACCAGCACTGTGTATTTCGACTTCTTCTTCTCGTCGCAATAATAACTTGGAGCTTTTGGAGATATTTTTACGTGTATTTTTTCATTTATCCAACATTCTTCGCATGAATCGCTAGGATTGCTGCATAGCCCGAAACAAAAGAAGATATTATCCATCATGTGATGCTGTATCCCACGCGCAAACTTTTGAATTGTGTGGGGAAAACTAAAAGAGGCAATTGCCCGTCAATGAAGGAGGGACATCTACTTCTTATATCTTTCGGCTGCATGCCACCGACACATTCGTGCAAGATAAGCTACGTCACATTGCATTGCATGTATTATATCTGGGACTGAAAATCTTATCTGCAATCGAAACATGCGACGATCATGTTGATGGGGATTTGCGATGTTTTTCTTGTCTGCAGCAGATTTCTTTCATGGCAAGAGCGTTGCACAACGACAGTCACTTGAAGACGAAAAAATCAACGATTGGCCTCATGAGTTCGTAGGGGGCTGGATTATATGATGAAACATTGGATACTAGATTATGCTTTTACAATAGAAACTATTTTTCATCCTCGCTGTCCCCAATCGTAAACGATTCGTTTATGGAGCAATTCTGATATGGGCTTCCTCCCGGGGGATTTACTTCGTCGTTCTCATTTTCTGCCTTTGGAATCACCAGGTACCTGAAAAGAACTATCTGAAGAAGAATGAAACAAATCCATACTACAATCCTAGAATTACTGTGGTGTCCCTTTCTAAATCCACTATTGATCATTGCACTTAGTATAATCTCAACAAGTCTAGAAAAAGGGACAACTTACATGCATACATTGATCGCACCACCTACGAAAACACATCGGCCGAAGTATTTATGGTATTTTCCGAGCTTCAAAGGTGCCAGACTATACGTTTCCCGCATTTTGGCGAGATATTGTCGATGATGCAGATATCCCAAGAATATTTGAAATGACAAAACAGCGGTAATTACCATCCCGAATATTTTATGGGGATCATTTAGATTTCTTATCTAGAAGAGGATTAGCGATAAATTGAATCGTGAATCATATTTTACTTACTCCACCATTAGCTATGGACTTCCTCCACCCGATGAAAGCACCGAGAAATTCAGTAACTGTAAATAGCAGCTGAATCACCCAATGCTTTGTAAATGACGCCAATGGTTTCCATCTTATAGCGAGGACCCCAAATGGTAGAATAGCGCCAAAAGCAAGACACATGATGATACCATGAGCTTGATGCGCAGTCATTTTATGTGTGCTATCGCTAATATCTGCGATCTCAACATCTAGGCTAGTCAGATCAATTGAGGGTGAAGCAGGCTGCTCTTTCAAGTCGCCATTCGCGTGCAAGAGATCGAAGAACAACACACCTAAACCGTGTAAGCATCATCTTAAGGCGAATTGAGACTTTGAGATTACCATAGACGTCGTGTTGCTGAAGGACTTTTGGCGAGTTCCGTGATGTTGCTATTTGCTCATAGTTTCTGGCAAATATGAATGGTTGCGATTCGGCAGAGGAGTCGAACTTTGAACCTGACCACATATTGCACCCGTAACACGTCCATTTCATGATATTCGTTAAATTCTCGACTTTTGTTTCTTGCACCTCGACGATTGGGGTGGCATATTGCAATATGTGAGGAGGATAGTGCTTGCTTAACATAATTAGGAAGGATTTCGAGTTCGACAGTTTGGGATTGCTTACATGGTAGTTCGTGTGGTTAAAAACAATCCTGCCATTTGTCAGATATGGTCTGGGAGAGTTTTCAAAGATTTTCATACCCTCATTCTCGATTGTTGGATAAATCACGAACATCAGGGCGTCCTCCATATGTGTGCCCGAACCAATTGCCAACCATCCTTTCTGTTCGCCGAACGCAGTTGCTAATGTAAAATAGTAATCATCGCCTGAAGTCGTCTCATTTTTGAAGATTCTCACATCCATGCAGAATTTGACGGGTTCCTGAATGCTATTGTGGCAATACGCTGATGCTGTCGATAATGGCAACAAAACAACCCCTAATATTGTCAACAGGAATAACTTAGATAGCATAATTTCGACCGATAAGAAGGGGGGAAGCCAAGAAAGAAAGGAATGTTAAAACTTGATTCCATTTCAATGCAAAATGCTACGCAGAAAAAGTTATCTCGCTGCATTCAAATGCGATTTCTAGATTTGAAAACATCATCAGCCAAGGCTACGAAACTTGCATTCTGCACCAGCTCTTCAAAACAACTTGTTGCTTTGAAGCTGTACAATTCCGCTGCAACTATGCCTTGTTCACAGAATACTTTCGTTGCTAAACCTTGGCTCTTGAAGATCATTCTGCAGTTACTCTGCCGATCAGTGGCTCTTGATCACAGTGACGGCTGATGATACTTGTGGGGGTGAGACGATGAATACGCTCCTTATGACCCCGCCTTAGGTCGGGATTATCTCTTGCCTACCGTTACGCTATGCTAAATCAACTATCTTACGAAGTATAAGCTTATAAAGTAAAAGTCGAGTTCAAGCGGTGTGCCAGCTCCAAAGAACGTGCACTAAGTGGAAACCGGGGGTGTGGGTTTGTTTTGACTGGTCAAAATGTGCGAGGCGTTCGGCCCACCCCGAATCCGCCATTACGATAATGGAAGGTGGAGAGACATCCCACCTTATCTATGCGATTGAAGAAGATGAAATTCATGCAATTGATGTAGATAATCGGTTTCCCATCATTCCGTAAGGCTGCTTTTGTTATAGACCGTATTTTGCAGGAATGGGCGCCTCTTAAATCTCTCGAAAGCATTCTCCGAGAGTCCGAGGCATGCAAAGAAAGACCCCCAAAACTTTCTCAAAGAAGACATTTAAGATGTGACTGGTCAAGAACCACCTTTTAGTATGGTTGCCATGTGCAATTTTACGAGCTTTCCACCGAAGACCCCATTCATCCGCGCGATATCCAGTATATATTACCAAAAGAGTGTGGTTAGGTTGTTGACATCTTATTCGCTTGCTCCCCTAGAGTAATAAGGAACGGACCTCTTCCCGCAAAGACCAACATTCTACTACCGCTAGTGTGCTTCCATAAGTGTTGAAACCGTCGGTTAGTTTGAGATCTGTTGTTTGTGTAACTCAACGTGCAGTTTGTTGAGGTTCAAAATGTCTCAACTGGAACTCAATGACTTCAATATTTCTTTTGCAATTACCTGAAACATTTGCCTAATCACATAACAACAGACTAATTTGGAATGTGACATCAAAATAAAACACTTGGCTCTCCTTGGCGTCCAAAAAGCTGATCCACCCTCGAACTCAGGCGCAGTGACGAAGAATGACTGGTGGAACTGGCCATTGGGCTGGCGAACGAATCACGAAAAAGCCCCATCGCAATTTTGGGGATTAATTGGGATGAGCCAATGATCAGTATTGAGAGATCAAGTAACCAGCATCCATCATATCTCCCCATACTTTTGGCAGGCGATTTCCTGAAGTGCCTGAGCTGTAATTATTGTCTTACATGTGGTCTAGAGGATGATCTTTGCCGGTCGGACTTTTAAATGTGGTAGTGCAAAAGTTAGTTTTGGGGTCGTTTATAAGACAAGTTAAGTTTCATCAATTGAGCTCGAGAGCCTCAGCGGCATAGATAAGGCCTACATTTTGAAAAAGGTCCGCCACCAGATGAGGCAAATCTTGTTCTTCGGAGAACCGAAAGGCTCGTGAAATCCGATCATTTCAAGTTAGGCGGGATATAAATGCACGATTTCTACCAAGCAATAGCGGAGCGAGTGGAAGGATGGACATGTGAGTGCTGGGATTTGATATGCTGATCCAGTTCCTGCATGTCGATTCAGGCGCGTATACATGGCTGCGGAGTACGAAGAACGAATTGAAATCCAGCTCCGAAAGACCTCATGCCCTCCTGCGAATGTCGGTTTCTGTCGCTCTTTCCAAATGGATCGTCGCCAAGATGTTAGCATCGGCAAACCTCAAAAAATGACGCAGTATGGCGTGAAGTTTGGGAATATCATGAAATGATCAGAGAGGGACGAGTTTCAACTGCTAGACTCGGACGTAGCTCGAACGTAGATTCTAGTGCCGAACTGGTACGTAGGACCCTTCGCAATCTTAATAGGGGATCTTGTACTCTCAGGACAACTTGGAACCCCTCCAAAACATACCTCTGATTTTTCATGACCATGTCAACACAAGTCACTCTGGAGCGCAAGCGACAGCAGAACAGAAATTCACAGCGAACATATAGTGAGCTAATCTGAATCTGCTACCTGCCGTGTCGAATTATCAAAGAAATATGACTAACTATTTTTGAATAGAGAAAAGTATTCTGAAGAGGTTGGAAGAACTCGAAAAGCCAAGGAGGTACTCTGCAGAAATTCTTCCAAAATTCGAGACACGATGTTGGCCAACGCATGAGCCGGCGTGTCTGCCAACTATCGATACCAACATAATGTCTTCAAGCGAGCTGGACAGCCATGTCAGCCCACTTATCGCAAACCGCGCGTTAAACTCAGATTTCTCATTATGGAGGGAAGGACCTGTTTGCGCGAACGTAGAAGATTTCAACCAAATGTTGATATTGAATTCTCCAGACTCGGATAAGAATGAAAACAGAGAAATTCAACATTCACCCTCGTACCTCTACCCAGCTAGTGGAAGCCAGACTCCAACAGTACTCTCACCTAATAATCAACACGTACGTATTATTACGGGTTTTAAATGTTTGGATTAAAGCTGAGCTTACCTTTCTGCAGACTTTCAACCGGACCCAAGATTCGAGCATACCAATCACTCCACCCAGCCAACTACAGTCAACACCATTACATGAAGCTGTGAAGCACGGAAACGAAACGATTGTTCGACTGCTCGTTGAACACCACGCGAACATTCATGCTTTGAATGTGTATGGCCAAACAGCTCTTCATCTAGCGGTCGCGAATGATCAAAGATCCATAATATGTTACCTGTTAGATGTAGGATCAAACTTAAATACTCCAGATAGTACGGGACGTATGCCGTTAGAGACAGCAATTGTGTCTGGCAATGAACAATTGGTTCGGTTGCTTTTATCAAAAGGCGCAGATGTCAACCTTTCTTGGGTTGATCACTCATCTCCGGAACAATCAAATTCGTAGATTGGCGGAAACTGGTTCCACTTGAACTCCAGAACTTGGTTGGGGGCCAACAAACTCTCACATGGAGACGACCATAAGGTCTCGACCGCCCGGTGGAAGCCTCGGGTATGAAAGAGTCGTTAAGAATTACTGCATTCGGCTAAGCTTGTTGAAAGCTCTCAGGGGTTAAAAGAGATCCACATTCACTGCCACCCCCGGGGTTGAGCAGAACTTGTTGCGTTGGATATTCGAGGTGGCGTTCACATCATGTCGCTGTTCCTTTTTAATACAGAAAAACCCAATAAATTTGAGTAAATTTCTTCTGAAGACACATGTTGCCCTTTGAAAATGTTTAGCATTCAATCTACGAGGTGAAATAAATGTTTTCTGAAACTCAGGCGCTCGGTCTCTTTTGTTGTTACGGAAATTGAGACAGTTGATGTTCTTACCTCTAAATCTAACGGCACAGCCATTTAATAAATTTCAATGCAAAAGGCAACTTTATTGATCTCATAATTGGATTCAATTCAATTATATTCAATATAATTTGACTTCTATCTTTGTGGTTGACGCTCCTATCACGGATGATGTCTTCTCGTCCATACCACCTCACCGTCCTCGGGGTATTCGGACAGACTTTCTTTGATCTCATTTTTCTCAGCCCAGTCCATCATCCCATTGAAATCTTTACACTTATGCATCGTGTTGAAGTCCGCCATAGGTCCTTTTCGTCCCTCAATCCAATATGATAGATACACTCCCTCGTCAGGATGACACATCAGAACCTGCCGCAATGTGTCGATGCAATGATCTGAGTAGCACAAATTAGTTTGGGTCCATTGTTGATGGTAGCAAATACTTACCGACGTGTACTCGGATCAGTTTCATTGGTGCGTTGTAGAAATCGAATTCGGTAGCCTTTTCCCGGTAATGGTCAAAATAAGTAAATTTTCGAATCATGTTCTGTTGCATCAATCAGTAAATGACACCATTCAAAAAGAATTTTCCCTTACAAGGCAATGAATGTGATGACCAAATTCTGTTCCAGCGAGTATTTTGTCGCCGTACTTTGAATGCAAAGACGTCGGAACTCTGCGAAAACTCGTCGGATCTTTGCCCAATTTCCGTACCTTGTCATCGTCGATCATGATCATGCCCTCTACGGATTTTCATCAGTTCACAAAAAATTCCTATTCATTCGCGACTCGTACCATGTATGATAGAGTTCCACATCTCATCGACAACTTCGTTTGGTCCTTGCCGCCATGGCGACCCTCCAGCAGTTAAGGAATTGTTGAAGATCATATTCACGCGAGGATTTGACGCAGGCTCAACCATCGGTGCTTAAACGATTGTCAGCTTCAGTTTGATTCGTTCCTTTTCCACTTACAAGCGACAGAAAACCGGGAATTGCACTGCTGGTCCGACATTCGATATCGAAAAGATATGTCGAGGACGAGAAGAAAGCACAATGATCCCATCAATGCGGTATATATTATAAAATTTGTCCAGCATCTCGGGTGATTCCCGTTCTGGGTAGTAAATCCCCCCTCTTTACTGTTCTGCACTCTGTCAAATAAAGATTGCTCCTCTTTTTCTGTTTCTTCGCTAGAAGTTGCGAGTGCTGCGTATGCTTTCCTTGCGCTTGAGAAGTTCATCATGAAGTATTTACTCAAGCTGTAGATTAAAAATGAAGTGAACAATTCTGTCTACTTCAAAAGAGTCTTTCGGAGTTTACTTTCTTCAACATGGTGCACATCACAATCTACCAACCCAAAAGGATCGTCAGGATTGAAACTCAAATGCGTCAATCCTAGATAAAACATTGCAGTACTAGCTGATGCAAACACATTTGACGGAGGTCTCTCCACAATCAGATAAGCAACCTTGTCAAATACGCAATGCACTTACCTGCAGAGTGCATAACCGCTGTTGCGATGGTACTGTATTATGACGTCCGTTCTGCCTTACTGCATCCTATGTCGTATTCTCGAATGATGTGCTTCATCTTGCCCAAGAATGACCGAGGTCCTTGTGGGAACGATCAACAGATACCGAGACTATGATGCAACTAGGACACGGCACTCAAGTGGAGCAGTCTTCCACTTTACTCTTTCCTTGTGTGTTGAGGGTAGTCTTGTTATCAATTATCTCAAGAGTGGGTTGATGTGCGCTAAGAAAATGCATTCGCTTAGAAGACTAGACCAACACATCAACGAATCAGACCCCACTCTACTTTCTATGAGAGTCGGAAGTTTTTTCTTTGCTTCATCGGAAAAAGTGGGAATAAAGAGAGAAGAAGAAACTGCCTCGTAGAGCTTTGAAGTTCAGCTTTTAAATGATTAATCATTCAATAAGAAATTGAAAGGTCGGCAGGTGAATGAGATATTGAGAGATATTATCAAGAATCTCAAACACGGAAAGTAATGCGATGTTGAAAAAAACGCAATAAGACATCGTTTTTCGGGACTGATGTACATTTAACTGCTCTACGCCGAAAGCTGCTTTTTGAGTTTTGAATGTTTGCTTTCAAACGTTTCTGACCAAAAAGCACTGATCTAAAACATCTTAAATAATTAGATGCATATATGTCAGAATGGTTAGCGCCACCTCGCCACCACATTCCAAAGACATAAGTTTTGTATCATATTGGCTCTAATCCTATCGTTCCTCAACGTGGCAACTGGAATGAAGTCGGGAAGGCGCATGAGCAGTAGTATATAGCCTTCTTTGAATTTTCATTCTGTACGCGTCTGAACTAATATTAAGCTCAGAACTAGATGAAAAGAAAAAGATATCGATAGATTGAATCTATAAATTGAACTCTGAGATCAAGCTTTGACTACGAGAGGGAAATTCGACTAACTCTGCAACTTTCCCAAGTGCGCGTCCAAAATGTTGGTTTGCCCTGGAATGCAAAAGCAATCACCCTCATTCTCTATTTAAATTATGTCCTGATTCGAATTTTCAGGTCGCCAATTTCTTGCCCATACTATCATGTAAAACGGATAGTTAAATCTCAATGACATCCAGTTGTATTTCTTGAGCACTTGTTTCAAGCGGATTCTTCTGAGTGAGTTGATTTACGCTCTTTCAACTTGGAGTCATGTTTCTTCTTGTGCTCCTTTTTCTTTTTACAGGGCTTAGCAGATTTGCGAATGCCAACTGCTGCACAACGGGCCAGTTAGCACAATTAGATACTCCTGCTTGTAACACCCCACGTAATCGACAATTCTGGGGAGATTATTCAATTCATACAGACTACTCAGCCGTGACCCCTCAAACGAACGTTCTTCGAGAGGTATGATGCTTCAAGAATTATGTCTATTCCACATCCGATCACGTTTTTCCTGACTTCTATTTGCCTCATAGTACACGCTTATTCTAAGTAATATGGTCATAGCACCCGATGGAGTTCCGGTTTTGGGAATGGTCATGAACAATCAATTTCCGGGACCATTGATCGAGGTACGTATACCTTCGGTAAAGAGGTGATACCAGTATTAAGTCTATGGAATCCATAGGCAAACTGGGGTGACATATTGAGTTAGTGAATGCTATTTTATCCATGGATTGTTTTAATGACCCCACAACAGGAATTCGTGTTCATAACAACCTCACTAACTACAACGGAACTTCAATACATTGGCATAGAGTCCGGCAACTTAACAGAAACTGGCAAGATGGAGTTGCCGGTGTCACCCAATGTCCTATCAGTGTGAGCGAGAAAGTTCCAATCTCGACGACTAAAGTCTGATCAATGATAGACCGGAGAATCTTATGTGTACGAGTTCAGGGCCACTCAATACGGCACATCATGGTACCATAGCCATTTCGCTCTTCAGTGTATGTATATTGTTAGCCGTTCAGTTCTACCATTGTGTGCTGACGACCCCTTCAAGATCACGATGGGCTTATTGGTAAGTGCTTGAACTTAATCTTATATAGAAAGGGTTAGTGGTATTGATGAGACTACTCATAGGACCACTGAAGATAAACGGGCCTACAAGTGCAAACTACGACGTGGACATTGGCCCGCTGCTGATAACTGACTGGTCACACGAGAACGCATTCTCGCTCTTTTATCTTGAGCTGGAGGGAAACCCACCAGTGCCGGATTCGTATCTCATGCAAGGAAAGGGTATCTACTGCTCCCCATCAGATGTCTCTGCACGGGCAGTCGACACGTGGTCGATTTCCAATACGGAAAGACATACAAGCTCAGCATTGTTAACTCCGGAACAAGCTCACAATAAACCTTCTGGGTCGATGGTCATAACTTTCAGGTGGTTGGTACAGACTTTGTGCCAATTAACCCCTACGTTACGAATACTCTGAATATTGCCATTGGTACGTGACTCCAAGCTAGTAGCTTGTCTTTGTTAATGTTATCTATAGGCCAACGATATGACATTGTTGTGACTGCAAATGCAACATTCGAACATGGAACTAGCTTCTGGATGCATGCTCGCAGCTGCAGTAACGAAACAATAGCGTCAACTCTAGGAATAGTTCGATACGATCCAGCTTCAACGGCTGATCCATATACCCCTCCTGGAAATAGGGTCGGATATGGCTGCCTGGACCCGGCAGTGGGCGACTTGGTCCCTGTTGTCCCCATGCAGGTCGGCGTGGCCGTGAACAACCTCAGTCCTGCAGAATACCTGAATTTTTCTATGCGGTACTACCCGAACATCACACAAGAATCTCCGTTAAAGAAATGGGTCATCAAAGGATCAAGTATGTATGTCAATTGGAGAACCAAGTCTCAAGCTCTTGACGGATCAAGACGCAACAGCATCGAGTTTCCCACCAGACTTGGTACCAATATTTCTCGACTATCCGGAAATGTCCTGGATCTATTTTCTGATTGAAGGTAATTTCACACCGACTGCGAGCAATATCTTTCCAGAGCCAGTGGCTCATCCGATCCACCTTCATGGCCACGACTTCGTAATTTTGGACCAATCCAGCATTCCATTTGACCCAGCCAACTTTATTCCAAACCTCAATAACCCTCCGCGAAGAGACACAGCAATGCTACCAAAGGGAGGCTATTTAATGATCGGGTTTCAGATGGATAATCCCGGTTCCTGGCTTATGTATTGTCATATTGCTTGGCATGCTAGTGCTGGCATGGCAGTGCAGTTCATTGAGTCGCCTCGTGCGCTCCATGATATGGTGGAAGCTTCTGGCATTGTACCGGACATGAACAATCAGTGCAATACTTGGACACAAAGATATAACACGTTCAACATTCCGGCAAAAGCAGTACAGGGCGATGAGTCGGGAATATAAAAAGGAAGCATCGTTTGGAGCAGCAAGATTTATTAGATCATGTAACGACATGGAACAAAGTAGCCTATCAAATCGTAACAATGGGCTTACAAAGAAAAGACGTGATATGACAAAAAGTTTCTACGAGTGTGTTGAAACTTTAGCTAGTGTCGTCAAATTCGAACCATCATTGAATTTATTTTCTCGCCAGTTAAATGAAAATGAAAGGTAATGAGTGAAACGGATTTGAGTAGCCCAAATCTCAAAGGTATGAGTTCCCACATTTGATGAAATGTTGACACAATAATATTGGGTTTCGATCGTTCAACAACAGTGTATATAGTGTCACCCCTTCACGCAAAGACTGCCCCCCAAATCTATACCTTCCAAAAACTTTCAACGACAAGACCCTTTGAACAGACAAACATATTACGTCTCGTACTCGCACACTTGAGTGATCCACTCAAGCCAAACGTTATGTTTTGGCGGAATTCCATCCTCCGGAAAAGCCCATTCATCAAGACTATTCAGACAGTGCTCGATATGACCTGGGTCTAAATCGCGACTGCAAACGTGCTTTCCACTTTCTCTCGCATTCCAGTACCTCCTGAGTGCTAACACGCAATGCGAAAGATGGAAGCGGAGATCAACATGGATCATATTCGAGGGGGCTGCCTCCAGGTAGTCGCCATCAAGATGCTCGCCGCTCCTGTACACGTCCCACAACTGAGGGTAGAACTTCTGGAACCACGATTGATATTTGACTTCTTGGGTGCTGAGAAGCTCTTTTGGTACTAATGTCTGATCATCGATTCTAAACGCAAAAGATTCGAGATCTTCCCTGTGACTGGATAACCATTTTGTTGTATTCGACTTTTCAATTCTGAGCTGTATTGGCGGTCCGTCACTCCGCTCAACTGGATAAGCAATCCAGACTTCGACTTGAGGTTTCGAGTAGGAATTTTGTAGATAGGTGAGCCCCGTTAACGAGCCAAGCAGCAGAATACTGAAGACAGCTGCGAGTCGGAAGCTGCCTGTCGAAAAGTCACTGAAGCGCTTTTGGCGACTGGTTTTTTCCGATTCCAGTATCCAGTCCGGATGTGTATCCCGCAAGTGCTTCGACAGCAGGCCCTCACCTGGAGATGTTTCGCCTGATTCAAAGACTGTTGAAGCGTTCAAGTCGACAGAGTCAAAAAGAATATTTGCCATTGTATTTTTTGTTATTCGGGAATGAAGCGATGACTCTGGTACCTGTTCAGATCTTAGCAATCGGCAAAACTGAAAAATTGTAGTCGAGAAACAATGACCAAAAGGTCTTTGCATAGATCAATAGGATAGAGATAATTTCAGAGTGTAGGATGACGATGATAAAATGATGTGGTGAGGTGATGATCGTCGGTAGTGGTGTAGCCAAGCCCTGCACGAGGAACGAATATGCACTTACCGCGCAGAGATCGTCCACCATTTCAGTTACCGTCAATTAGAACAGAGTTCTTAGGCGAGCTTTGGTATTACTCTATATTAATGGTAGATCTTTTCTTGTTGAGGACCTATTCTGTTTATACATTCCCGTCGAGCATTGATTCCAGCAGAGTAAGAGGTAATCACTTTCGGAAAGTTAGACGCAAGGAAATTCAAGCGCATGCATGTAATTACCAATATGAAACTCCTCTATAGATTTTGGTTCAAGAAATCAACAATGACGTAGAAAGATTAGATTTGAGCTACATGGGCACGCGACTCAATGCGGTCTTGATGTATATAAGTAGAACATATAATATCTCACCATAACATCTATCAGCCTCCAGATTAATACACAAGTCTTCACCGTCAACATCATCATCGACCAAGTCAACTTCTATATCATTACTCAAACATTAACTTTACATTATAACCCTTGAAAATGAAATTCTCCACGACTCTCCTCGTCTCCGCTGCCTTCGGCGCTGCTATATCAGCACCAATCGTTGACAAGCGACAACTCACAAAATACGATGCTTTAGTCGATGCAGTTGAGAAGCGTCAACTTACCAAGTATGACGCTTTGGGCGACGATGCTGTTGAAAAACGTCAACTTACCAAATACGACGCCCTCGTGGACGCATTGGAGAAACGCCAACTTACAAAGTACGATGCATTGACCGATGCCGACGCTGTTGAGAAGCGCCAGCTCACCAAATACGACTCGCTAGACGACGCTGAAGTCGCTCCTGCCGTTCAAAGACGCCAACTCACTAAATACGACGCTCTGACTGATGCCGACCTCGCCGCTCTTGGAAAGCGTCAACTCACCAAATATGATTCTTTTGATGATGCTGAGGAGGCAGCCCCTGTAATCGAGAAGCGCCAACTGACCAAGTACGATTCCTTCGACGACGCTGAGGAAGTTCCAGCTGTTGAGAAGCGTCAGCTCACCAAGTACGATGCTCTGGCCGATGCTGATGCCGTTGAGAAACGCCAGTTGACCAAGTACGATGCATTGGGTGATGATGCTGTTGAGAAGCGACAACTCACCAAGTACGATGCTTTTACTGATGCCGATCTTGCTGAGCTTGCTGCTCTTGAGAAGCGTCAGCTCACCAAGTACGACTCTTTTGATGATGCTGAGGAAACCACTGTTTAAATGCCCCAAAAGGCTACTGTACTGATGCTGCGAACCCAGCAGAGTTAGAACCTCGTGTGGTGGTTATGAGGGCGCATGATGATTGAGTTTCAGGGTTTATTTTCAGTGATTCCGAGGACGTGGTAGCTGAGAGAGTTTACATTGTATGAAAACATGAACGCTATGAGAAACTACGATCATGGTTGAGTTTAGACATCTGAAGCATGATTTGCGAAAACTTGGAACTTTATTTCTTTTGTAGACATAGAAAATGAGTCAATGAATATTTATACTTACATAGCTCGCTTCAAACTTTATTTAGTGCCTTCCATTGGCGAAGATGTGAAGTCCATGAAGATGAATTTCTTTTTCACAATATCGCGTTGATCAAATTTGGAGACAAAGATTGTTTTAGGAATTTTCATTGTATCAGCCCCTCCTTAATACTTCAATATTGTGGTTGAAGTACTCTAATATAGTACGTAGAGTTTTCATAAACTGACGTAGTGATAATGCGACGACTCTCCCGAGGTGTAAATAAGTTAAACCAAAAGTGGAAAGTTTCGCATATTTTATGGTTCAAGTGGTTGTCCCAAGCAATATCGAAAACTATATCTCAGGACCAGCAACAATAAACACTTCGTATAGTATGTATATAAACGACATAACAGCCAAGTGTATTTAATTCTGCTAAAGCATATTATAGCAATATAAAAACACAATTAATCATCCCCTGCAACCGGAATGAAATGCGGTAATCTCCCCGTCTTGAAAATCTCATGACCCTTTTCAGCCCAACTCTGCAATTTCTGCTCATTTCGGCAAGTGTGTGGTACTTCCCACGCCGCATCATAATTTTCAGGTACCCCATTCTCGTCAAATGTAGTATAAAACAGTGGGACTGGCGTGGTGTCACCATGACAAAGAAGGGCTTGCCGGAGATTTTCCACGCAGTGATCTAGAAAGCCATTAGGTTCTGAAAGACTCGAGGCTTAACAGTAGTCGATAATAGGAGAAGAATATACCGGTATGCATTAACCTGAACTTCTCAGATTCGTCGTTGGGATTTGTGTCGCCCCATGCCTGGCGGCGAAGTCGGTCCTACATATGTTAGAAATGTGTTCAACTTAGTTTTAATAGTTACATTCTAGCACAAGAACAACATACCAAGCACTAGAAGCGGGAGTTAGTCGAATGCGCCGACAGTTTTAACGAGAAAACTTACATGAAGATGATGATAAACAGAGATAATCACAGGATAGACCGTATTGTCATCGTATGCCTGTACCGTGGGCGTGGATAACTGTGCCGCCTCTTCTTTCGTGGCACCATAAAGCATCACTACCATAAAATCAGATCGATTTGGCTCGTGAAATAAATTCCCGCATAAAGGTGACTCACGATCAGTTAAATTCTTCCATCTTTCATTATTTTCCGGCGTTGGGCGACCTTCAAAAGGGCTTGGTATTCTCCCTTTTTGAGGCCTTGCGACAGAAAGAACATTGAAAATACGTTCTTCATACCGAATATGAGATTCAGCTTCATCTAACACATTTGTTATCAGCGCACATTTCAACGATAATTGCATTCATGTAGTTAAACTTACTTAATTCACTTTTAAAGCGTAATTTGATAGGTCTTTCATTAATGCTAAATATTAATGCTGTGTAGATACACAGAATCAACATGTGAATAAGAAGCGGATAAAATTTTGAGAAGAAAGTCCCAGGTGTAAACTTCCACTGTTGATTTAAATCAACATTGTAGAGAAGGTGTTCTTCAGAGGTTATGGATACATCTTGAATCGATCGATCAAGCATAGGAGATCTTTCTATCTTTTGCTGTTCCACGTCCATAGTTGCTTAGAAACAGGAGATTGAGAACGAGGAGCAAAATTGTGTTGCGCTTCAGAAATTCGAGGAAGGAAAAGGCTGGTAGCTAGAGAGGGTGAACCATGAGTATGGGAGTATCATAACGTATTCTTCGTGTTGTGAAATCCAAAATCGTCATCGTTGGTTGAGAGTTGCTCCAGCGCGGAGGTGTCAAGGGGCAGCAACTCGCTTAATTCTTCTCCACGCCCTCGGAAGATTTATATGCATGCACTTACTTTACATGAACGCCCCACTCCTGCACGATATAGCCCCAGCACAAACTAAAGCACTTGCTATATGCAGGCGACAGTCAGACGCAGCAAGATAGCAGATCGACTGCCGTGTGTGACGACTGCTTGATATGTGGTATTTGTCTGGATAACGAGCTTGGCGGTACCCAAGCATTCTGAACATATGATAATAAGATCTACAAGAAATCTCCTGGGCAAGCTTAAGTTTTAACGCCACTGACATAGTCCCAGAATATTTCCAGAAATATGCAGAGCTAATTGCATAGGAATACTGTGGTGAGAGACCTAGGTTTCTTCGACAAGATCAGATTCTGAATACGAATGTGATTGTCGATCAATAAGAACCGGAGTCACCGAGAATTATCTCATGGTACACTTCTCGGTAAAATCTCTGACATGCCTTCGCTGTTCATTGCCTATGTCTCACCGTGTTCCCCGATAATTCCGTCTTTCTCGCTTTCTGAGACTTATCAAGTTCGAAGACGACCAAAATCTCAATAATCGATCAATATTCCGCGAATTCAATTTTATTCTTCATACAATTATTTTATAACCACAAGTAATCATGGTGTTTGGTGTACCATCATCCCCCTCCATGGAAGCCCTCCGCAAAGAAGTCGGTAACTCCTTAACCTGGGACTCCTCCTCCAAAGTCTCCAGATCACTCTCCAAATGGAAACAAATAGCGACACACGTCTTAGTCTCTCTCCTCACAGCGTCAATTTGCTGGCTCTACTTCACCAATTCTTCAACACTAACAAATAAAGCGCTCGCACCCGCATCCAAGCTTCTGCATTGTGGTAATTCGACGGCAGAAGCGAGAGCTCTCGGTTGTGAGTTCGATCCGTTGACCGTGGCGTGGATTCCGGAGCCATGTATAAATCATCAGATTACGAAAGAGTTTATAGCGGAGTATCCGTGGGAGGCCTTTTCGGATAGGACTTCGAATGAGTTGATTGTTAAGGATCAAATGTCGGAGTAGGTCTTCCTCATGCATTCAAAACAACGATCTAGGAGTGCTGCATAAATTTTTCTATTTGGCATTACAAGAAACAGTCTCCAATTTGTTCCGGAATGAATATCAGCTAACACCTCTCCGTCCAGATACCTAACGCCAAAATACTACTATACAACCGGCCGCGAGCACGCCATTCATTGTCTCTTCTCCTTCCTCAAATTACACCAAGGATACATGGGTCATACTGGTGGGATGTATATTGACAGCGAGTCTGCAAACTATATGCACACAAAGCACTGTGTGGGGGTGGTGAAGAGAGCTATTGATTCGGATCCGTCAAAGTTAGAGAACTTGCAAACGAGAAACACGGTTGCGTTGCTTACTTGCACGGTTGAGACTTGAATTTACTTCTGTAATCTAGTTGGTTGCATGTGGTTTTAGTATTATGTCAAAAGAAAACATGAAAACGATTTATGATTCTTTATTTCTCAAGTGAATAAAGTAAAGCTGTTAAATTTTCAAAGTATCCTATCCCTCTGCACGGAATCGACAAAATGGAATTCAAAATATCGTGAAACAAAACCATGTTTTGAATGTTGAGGTAGAAAATCAATTCTACATTGTCTCGTTTTCTTGAGGTAACTCTTTCTTGTTATACTAACTAGGTTTCTAAAACCAATAATGAGGTTAAAAACCCAATGTACCGCCGTCCTCTGTCACCAAAACTGTAGTTTTTCAAGTATCCCATTGATTGCCTCTTTGATTGTCTTCATTAACAATATTAGAAGATCTTATCCATTCTAGAAGGCGAAGAAAGCGGAAATTGCTCTTTGAAAAATTTCACTTCTACATCCCCTTTACAAAGAAATTTCATCTACATAAATACTACAATTGTTGTACCGCCGAATTCACCCTTGTCGCCGAAATCAAAACATCATTTGAGTCGAACTCAAACAACTAATCACTTTTCTGTCCAATCTTTAAATATTGCATTTGAATTCAAACCATCCAGTTACGCCAGCTGTGCCGGAGAATCTATCAGCTTATCCTCCAAAATAGGGTTCCCCTTCATGTCTTCCATCTTCGATGCGTTGGTAGATATAGACTTTAGAAGTTGTTTCCTCTTAAATAATTAGGCCTGTACAAGTTGAGATTTTTGATTAACTATACCTTTTTTAATAGACTTTAGTCGTAGAAGGTTAGTAGATAACTAAATCTAGTGTATATAGATTCCGTACTTACTGTATAGACTAATATTTAGCTACTGGCTTACTTATTGAGTTTTCAAGGATAGCCTCTCTAGACTACTAGGCTGATTTACTATCTACAAGTATTATCTATATTTCGCGTCTAAATAGAGACAATTACGGGGAGACATTAGTTGTAAAGCCGATTACAATGAGTTCTTCTCTAATATTAGGCGCTTTCTCAATTGTATAATATCTAGTTATTTGTATTATTTGTAATTGCCGTTCTCGGTAAATATAACTTATACAAGAAACGCTGAATTTTACTTGGACTTTTTACAACCTCGTATCTATATAGTACAAGGGGTAAAGGCTTTACACAAATTATACCTTCAGCGAATTGCAATTGTAATATAAACACAAAACTATTACAAAAGCAAGCTTTATACGAGCGTATTTTAAACTCGAAACGGCAGGGTTTAAAACAGGTAGATATACTATAACCTTATAGTACAAATAATAAACGGTAGAAACTAAAATGTATAGTTGTACTAGTGATTTTATTCTAGTTATCTATTATAATTAGCCCTAGGCGCGAGTTTATTTTTTAAACCTCCTTGCCACCGGGTGGAATTAAAAGTACAAAAAAGACGAAAGAACATTCTTTTGGGGAGGGGTTGTCACTAAATCTCATATCACTACCGAATTTACATTTATAGTAAATCTTGTCACGATAAAAAGAAGGAAATTGACCTATATGCACTCTCTCTACCTTCTTACTAAACGACTTATGTCTAAAAAATTCGTTCTTTACTTAGTGTACAATAAGTCTTTCACGCAT